TCACATATCAGTTTGCCAATACAAAACCTATAATCATTTTTGATAAGGATTAAAGGACATATTCTTATTTAACGTATTGACATAAACTGATAGCTGAATATCATGTTAACAATGATCTCTCTTTAGATGCTTACGTCTGGTAAAGTTGGTACGGGAAGCAATTAAGAATATTGAGTTATTCTTTTTCTCATTTGTTAGTTTGTGATAATTGTGAGGATATCATTTATTGCTTACACTAGACTTTTATCTATAGGCTGAGATTTATAATTTAGTTATAATGAATCTTAGATTGTTGGAATTGTGGCTGGATTTTTCATTTCAACGAACTAAAATCATTAAATGAAATGTAATTGAATTAAATAATCCAGAAAAGTGGTAATCCCACAGAAGTAAGAAAAGCAACAATATGAACATTGCAGAATCGGGTTGTCTGTCTGTTCATGAGTCTTTTCACTGAAAGGTGTTATGTCTGACAAACTTGACACAGGTAGTTTAAGTTATTTAAGTGCATCAGTATGAATTTAAGTGTTTCCTCTCTTGGGCTACCTATAAGAAAAGATTTCACTACATTTCTTTATTTACTGACATGCTTTGTTTTCATCATACATTACAATTTGCTTATTGTTGATGCTGCACTTGTTAATTCCGGGTTGTTTTTTTTTTCAGACAATTACTCTGTATCAAAAACAAAAACATGTATTTCTATACATTACGAAAATATGTAATTCCCTTTCATTCATAGACTGAAATAAAGTACCAACTTTTATGTACTTTATGATGTTACAGATGTTTTTGGTCTCTTAAGCAAAACTCGTGAAAGTTGCATAGTATTCAAATGCATGCACATATGTTGAATATTTATCTTACGGGTGTAATTTGATTCTATAACAGTTGTAATTTGTTACTTGCCACACATAATCCTCAATTCAAGCGCCGGTTTTGGATGAATGGATCTCCAAAGTCAATGATACATTTGGATCAGAAAATTTAAACAGTGGGATGAATTACGGAGCAACATTTTACATTACCACACAAAATTTATTTCGTCTGTAAAAGATGAATGGCCCCATAGCGATAAAATTCATGTAATAAAAAAGTAAGTGAAAAAATTAAGATTGCAGACTCGTTTTGAGTGAGTCTTGCCCCAATTTGTCCTGTCCTGGTTAATGTCCTTGGTCATCCCTTAAAACCAACAAGGTAATTAAAGAAGAAAATTAACATGTACCATGTACATAACCTGAACGATCTTCAAGGATCGAAAATATAACATCTTTGAAACCTTTAAGTGAAATATGAATATGAAATTTGTTTTTTATTGTTTAATGTGCGTGCGTGCGTGCGTGTTTGTGTGGGGGTTCTTTGGGGGTGTTTGGTGGGTTGTTGTATTCGTTTTCTTTGTAGTAGATGTTGCTATGATTTTTATTTTGTTAATTTGTTCTTTATTCTTTTGTGTGTATGTATGTGTTGTTTTTTTTTTGTTTTTTTTTTGTTCTTTTTTTTAAAATATGTTCAGATTAGATATATAGATTACAGTTTTCTACTTACAACAAAATATCATTAGATAGCACGTTAATAGTTACGTATTTGATCTTAGTAAGATTTACTCTAATCATTTCATGAGCTAAGCTGTAAAAACGATATTTGCTACTTAGTTTTTCACAAGATGACAAAAGTAGCCTGTTACAATAAAAAGCAACTGGAGGGTAGGGTAGTAATCTTTATTTACATCTCATCATTGTACAGATATACATGTATACACAATGTTAAAAAGTTACATCATAAAAGTACAATGCCACTCCAGCAAGGAGTTATGAGAGATGAAAAATCTATATCACAGTTTTAGAATATAAATATATATATATATATATATATATATATATATATATATATATATATATATATATATATATATATAAATGCATAAATCATTAGAACAACACGTTTAAGTGATAAAACTGAGAAATCATTGCTGTACATAGACTAATAAAAGGAAATATCGTGACTACCTGAAAGAAGCAATTTAAGATAGTAAGCATACAACATTAAAACTTAGAAATAAAAATAACTAAAATAACGATTTTATTTCAGACGTAGAGCAGATGAAAAAGCTTGTGATTGTTTATATTGTTGATTTGTAAAGTAACAATATTGGTTTTCAGTAAAAAGGAAATAACATAATAGAGTTGCGTCAATAGAGTCATGCTCTTATTCATGTATTTCAATTTATGTTCAAGTACGAAATGCATCAAACGCGTCTACAATCAGACAAGCATGAGCATCAAAATGCTTCAAACAAAATGAAGAAGAATTAACATAGTTTACCAAAAATAATTTCTTGGATTTATTTTAGAAGCTAATTATTTAAACTTAATGTTGTTTTTTGTAGAATTAAATAATTGTACAAATCGTGTGAATAAAAACATTTTATAATGGTGCCTCTTACTGTCAATTGCTGAATCTACTTTCCCTTTAAGTGAAGTTCATCATTTTGTTTGATAACAATTAACTGGCGCGTGTAAGAAAACCTATTTCTTTATATTTCATAATATATGTTTTTCAACTATATTTATACATTAAGAATTAAATCGCCATATTGGACGATAATGTGTTTCGGTAAACGCCTTTATTGATAAACGAATATAAAAGTTTGTTCAGAGGCACTTTTGATGAAATATTGTCCTTTTAGTTGTTCGCATGTATAAACATAAACCAAGTTTTGTATTTGATCATGTGGCAATTTCACATTATAGAAGAAAAACCTTTATCGTATCCTACATGATAACTTATCTAAAATTGTGTTAGTAAATATAAATGTGTTAAAAGATATATTAGAAATATGATGTTTAAAGGATCAATTTACAATCAATATGACATAAATTGTTGGATTGTGAAATGCATTTATTCAGTAGAATTCCGAACGCTATTTCTTAAGGCATAAATGTGTAGATGTTTCTTTGTCCTTATAAGTCAATGAATTATAAAAGGAAAAGTAATTTGTTAGTGCGGTATTATTCGTAGATTGTTATTTATATCATTGAGAATGAAAGAGTGCTTAATGTGATAAGAAAAACATGTGCAAAAAGATAAATTTATATGTTCCCATTTGTTAGGATGATTAGTGTTTTATGTGGTGAAATGATTGGTTAGTGTGCCATTAATAAATCTAAACGAACAAATTCACATTGTCTTCTAGAATTATTGTATTGTTCTATTCGATTTGTCCTATTAGCTTCATAATCAATTTTAATTGTTCATTTATTATACTTTTCATTAATTACCTTTTATATCGAGGGGAAATTTGTAAAACAATCGTTTAATTTCTAAATTTATGGCTTTATTTAGAATTATGAATTAGTATTAACGCTGCACGTCTTAATTAAAATCGATACAGCAGACAGATTTATAATAGACACCATCCATTCTGTGATAGAGAGAACGTGACTGTAATAGTGTTTGGGGCATTAGTACATCAATGAGTACATAAAAACTTTTAACATTACATTGTAAAGTTGTTATGTATTGATACCATTTCCAATATTTTTATATTTTACTTTTATTATCAGCAGTAACTATCACAGTGCTAAGGAGTGTAAAATAACATAAAATTACAAATTGTTTACTATAGTGTTCGCATCAGTAACCACTGCAAGAAATGTATTTGCTCTTGTCAAGATAATGATACCACTAAACAAAGATGAATCAATTGAAAATTATGTTAGATATTTACTTTATTTCAAAAGAACAATGAATATTCTCGATTTAATTATCTCACGTAAAGATTTAAATAGTTTGTGTATGTTTTGTTGTTGTTTTTTCACTGGTTGACTAAGATATTGAAAAATTATTGCATTTTTAAGAATCGCCAAAATGTTTTGTTTTTCGTCGGTAAATTTTATCGACGACAATTCACAAATGATATGTTCATACAACCAGTCATTTCCTAATCATCAAGAAAATTTTACAATTCATGTTTTCTAAAAAGAAATTTCAATAGCAACAAGTTTTAAAAATGTTCTCCTTGTATCACTGTCTGCTGTTGTTATCACTTCTGAAGAAATAAATGAGATTGATTGTGTGAATATTTTAGTTCTGTATCACAGCTATATGATTGACAATTTTAGGTATTACCATATCATTTGAATGATCTTAGAATTTTGATAAACCAGAATCAGTCAGTGTCTAGAAATATCACGGTCTCTACATAGTGCTTCTTCTGTAACAACCATAGGATTATTATATAACATTGCTTTATAAAGATGTAACCGATTTCATATCATTCTTAGCATTTTGATACATGAACTTTAACAGAACTTCGTAATCCAAACGAAATAATATAATGAAAATGGGCAAGTTAAGTCTCTATGTTTACTTATTTGTCTGGCGTTATTTCCTGATTTGTATAATAAACTGAAGCCGCGCATACATATATTTACGAGAACAATGTTACAAGTGTCTTTTTTACATAACCAAATATGATATAAAATCACAAAAAAATTGACTTCATTAAGAAAAAAGAATACAATCTGATGTAATAAAACATATTTTACATTAGACAGAATACGGTTGTATAATTTTGTTAATGATTTTATTGATCTGTAAAACAGTTACATCTAAAATGTTCAGATGGTGGATTTTATTAGTTGAATATCATTCTACTCAGTTGATTACTGAAATAACATGCACATTTTAAGTGCGTAATCTGAATAAAATGTATTCATGCAAAAGGGAATAAATGTAAATACATTAAATTGTTAATACATGGATGGAGTTTTGCAAAGACTTCTGCAAACTAATGAATAACTCTTTTTACTTAAACTTTCATTTACAAATACACAATCAAGAAATAATGCCATATCTATGACAAGAAGTGAAAAAAATCTCAAAACTTTGGAAAGTGAGAAAAAGTCAAAAAACGGAATATTTTAGATAAACAAAGTCATATTGACAATTTAAAAAAGGGTAAGTTGGTGATTAACTTGAATTTGTTTAACACAACATTTATACCGCTTGTGACATCATTTGTAATATTGGAAAAATAAGGACGCTTTTAGTATCTGTAGATTTCTACTGGAAAACGCCATAGTAAAATGATCTGTTGAGAGGATATAGCTTACAGAGGCCTCTTTAAGATATAGAAAAAAATAAATCAAAGAGATATTATTATGATGTTGAATGTTAATTGAAATAATGGCTCATTTTTTGTCTAGAAAAATTGATGAATCGATTCGGAGTGCTCCGATAAAATTGATCACTCAATTCATAATTTTGTGCCTTAGTGGTTTGTGTTTACATACAGCTGGAAGTAATGTGACTATTAAAGTAGGTGTGTTATTGATGACAAATTCAACTTTCCCTGTAGACTTACCTAGGGTCGGACCAGCAATTGATAAAGGAATAGACGAAGTTCGTAATCGTTTTGGTATCAATTTTGATCCTGTTGTAAGAAATTATAGCGTATGGTGTACCAAGGCTAGGTACACGTCCCCAGGATACCTTGCTGACATGTTCTACAAAGAAAATGTTCGAGCGTTTATTGGCCCAGCTTGTTCATACGCTGTTCAGTCATCTGGTCGTCTAGCCGAATACTTACGTGTCCCCATGGTTACAGGACTGGGTGATTTGACTGAAAGGAATCCATCTGAAGATGATATGTTCGAAACAACAACTATTTTGTCTTACAACATCAGAAAATTATCAGGTTTGGTAAACTTTTTTGATATCGACAAAGTATTAATTCAAATACATTATTCAAAGTTCTACTTTTAAATGAACCGAATAATTATATTTATTGCGGGTAGGTGAAGGACGCTGAATTCGGAGACTTTAAATTATTTTATCTAAGTAAATTCGATGGTTCTCCTAAGTTGCTAACTCATATCTGAAATAATGCACAATTTGGCATCTTAGGATCTTTAGTAAATATAATGTATTTTTGTAGTTACAATCCAAACTTATGTGAAAGAAAATAATTGATAATTTTCTTTCGTTCTCACTTTTCATAAAGAGGAAAGGAGAGAGGTGGCCTAGTGGTTAATGTGTCTGCCTTTTAACCTAGGGATCATGGGTTCCAGCCCGATTCGGGTCATGATCATGTTATTTCATATTATACCAGTACTGGTTAGTTCCATGTAGCGGATTCAAAAATGATTAATATAAGTTGCAAGAACTTGTTTCGCTATTCAGCTCTAATAAGTATGTTTAATAAGAGACAGGTCCGAAAACAAATTCGTAACGAAATAAAGAAATATTTTAACTTCATTTTAATTTCTTATTACATATCCTGGTTTCTTGAGATTCAAGAACATAATTATTTTCTCGATATATAAAGTTTATCTTCTGAAAAATGGATTTGAATAGTTCATGTTACACAAAATGAATTAACAGAAGTGAACGAAAATAATTCCGTCTATCAAAAAAGGCTTGTTTGGTACAAATACGCGTATATGGTTTTTTTTTTTTTTTTTTTTTAAAGAGTAGTTTAAATATAACTCATGTCTCAGAATGTCTTTAATTTTTGTTTAGTATCAGTGCGTGCCTTACTGCGTGAATACAGTTGGCAACACGTGTCCATCATTTATGATGAAGACGAGATTTTCTATCTTGTTGCTGGACCAAGTATGATACATGATTTTGAAAAGGACAGCGAGTTTCCAGATTCAAACCCAGTACCTTTTAAACGTACAAAAGCTTGGAATCCTCGTGATACCCTAACCATGGCATCAAAACATGCTCGAGGTCAGTAATATATTTCAAGTAAGCAAAGAGTCCTCTTATTTCAAAGAATTTTACAATTTTAACAATGCTCTCCATATTATATTCATTTTTAATTTTGTACCATGAGCACACGAGGATAGTTGGTGTTCTTTCTTATAGCCTGAAGAAATATGGTGTTCGGATTGTGAATTATGAGAATTATTAAAGTTGATTGTGTCCATGCGCTCCAAAAGACAACAATTACCAAATATAAGTTTTAGGCAAATATTTTATGATTTTTTAAATGTCTGTAAGTGTTTTAGATAACAATACTAATGTTAGAGATTGATAATACTGATTCCTGATGCATAAGTATAAATATATGTTAATAAATACTTTTATCACATAAACTACGGTGCGCTGGAGTGTAATAAAGTCATTTATAAAACGATATCAACGTATTTGCCTTAAATACAAACATAGCGTTAAAACGTGCTAATGTTAGCGTTGCGCTTAGGACGCGTTAATGAACAATTTATATTTTTAACTGTAAAACGTTCCTTTTTAGATGTGTGATAAATAGAATATTATATTCGCGTAGATTCAATTCTTAATTCATTGAACTAGCCAGAGGCTCGCATATGATTTTTTCTTTAGCTCGTTTAATAACTTTTATATCAAATCTTCACTCATTCATTATCCTCCCTCACTTATTATATAAAACATAATACACATATCTTGCCTATACTCTGATGTAAGACTTGTTCATATTATTGCTCTAACAATTCTCCCTTTTCAAGAATAATTATACTTTAAACAGCAGGTACTTATGTGACAGGAGCTGTAAAAAAGAAGTTATCTGGTGCTTTTTATTGTCTGAACTATTGTAGTCACCGGCGTAACCAATTATGTTAGAGTTTTTGTAATACCTAAAATATTTTCAAAGTACATTGACATATGGCTTTGAAACTTTTCACTTTTTTTCACCATCAAGACCCCAACCTGTAGACAGGAGGAGGTAACTGTATCAAGTATTTTGACAGAATTATGCCCCTTTTTTACTTAGAATTTACTTTTAAGTTTTTGTAACACCTCAAATATTTTCAAAATCCATTGACATATGGCTTTGTAACTTTGCACACTTGTTCACCACCATGCCATTAACCTTTAGACAGGAGTAGGTTACTCTATGAAGCATTTGGCAGAAAAATGCCCCTTTTTCAACTTAGAATTTACATTTAAGTTTGCATACCACCTCAGCTATTTTCATATTATATTGACATCTGGCTTTGAAACAAGTAGAAATTTTGTACTCTTCTTTGAGAGCATAATAGGACTCTCTCCAATGCCTATAACTTTAACATGGATTTAAAGAAATTTTTACCCTTTTGTTAACTTAGAAAATTTTACATTATCAAGACTCTATTACTATCAAGCACTAAGAATAGTCGAGCGTCAACCTACCTACAGCTCTTGTTGTTAGCGCTATTATCCTTTTGGATCATTGAATTTAATACGTTTAGTGTTGAAGGTTGACAACTGCTTTAATCGCGTGAGATATGTTGCTTTTCTTCTATTTCTCAAATAGAAACTCGAATCTGCAATTTCTCTTAAATTTTTGTTGCGATGACGTTTTGTCAGTATAGAAAAAATGAGTCGTATCATTCATATTATTTCTAGTCGTTTAAGATTATCTCCCATATGCTTTTGTTCCTAAACATGCATGTGGATGTCTAGAATCTAATGGCAATGAAATCGACTTTTCATATTCTCTGAATTCTTAACCCATTTTGTTTGTAGTTGAAAGATGTTTAATTTTATTTTTTTTTTAATAATATTGATGAGAATGTATAGTTATAAGATAATTTAAGACCATTTATTAAATTTATCTTGATACATTTTAAATCAAAGATCTCAAGGGAATATTAGACCAAGATAGTAATTGCTTCTCTCAATGCCGTCTGCGTTGTGATTATTTATTCAATATGACAAATACTGCTTTTGGACAGAAATACGGGGTTTTAAAAGACATTTCATTTGTAGATATCTTGTCTACATTTGTAACATTCTGCAGAATCCTTCAATCCCATTGATTTACTTTCTGAACTATTAATATAGCAAATCGGATAATGTACGATAGAAATAATACTGTGTCATAAAGCGTTCTCTAAGTGTATAATCCAATACTAGCTTAGTACAAACAAAGACGTTTATGTTTTTAAAGATACATCATGTCCAAAAATGGCAATACTTTTGCCATTATTTACCCATAATTACAGACCATTTATGAGTTTACAAATATTCAATCATCACTCGACTCTGACAAAATACGTACACATTAAGTAGACCCAAGAGCACGAAACAATTAAGACCTTGTTGTGTTGCTTAATGTTAGCTATAGCTTATGCCAATAAATACCTCCCTTGACATGATATATCGTTTGCGAAACGTGTTTATATATAAAGATCACTAATACCTGGTTCCCTAATGATGACTATAAGTAATTGTAACAATCATTGAAAGAGAATTGTCTTTTACAGAAAACAATAGACCGATCGTTTAATTATTTCATTTTAGATACAGGAGACAGCACCAACAATGTATGTGTACATTATACAACATGTCATCTTACTGGTTCCCGTAAATACACAACCGCGGGTATAAACGCACGAACACAACAATAAAAGTAAAGATAACGCATATAAGTGCTTAAATTTGAAGAGAAGAAATAAAAAATCTATGAAACGTCGTACTATGTAATATACTTGTTTACATGTTTTCAAAGATTGGTGCTTATATTGAGCTAATTGCAGTTATAGTTCAACCTTGGATTTGTTTTGACATGTTGCGGCCATTAAACGTCTCCCTGTGTAATAAATAAACGACCCTATATCTCCAATTTTGTACGACAATCTTGTTGTATTTCTGGAACTTTAGTCATAATAGTTTATCAAGCTCAGTTTCTCGTTTGGCGTTTCCAGCATTCCTACTTGAGAACTGTTAAATCACCTATCAGATTTGCTGTATGTTTATCTTTTTCAAATCTGTCTTATGACAGTTGTCTGTTATACGCAGTCTTTAACCCTTGAATCCTTCCAAAAATTCTATTTTTCATAATTTCGTTTATACTGGTATTTGTGAGTGCACGCACATCGTTTTATTCGGCAACCATCCTCACCTGTTCATGGCATGGCAGAAAAAAGTGCCACGTTGAAGATCCCATGACAAGCGCGGTATCAACACATATGCAACAAGAGCACCGCTAGGCGGAGCATTATATGCCCGAAAGTGATTTTTTTTTAGTAAAGATAAAGCATTTGTAAGACATGGGAATTAAATAAAGTATTACCTTCACAAAACAATCCTCCTTTGAAGTTTCAATATTGTGGTCCAAATGGAACTTAAGTTATGCCCCGGAAACTGTTTTCAGTTCTAAGGTAATAGTGACCTTGACCTTTGACCTTGTGACCCCAAAATCAATAGGGGTCTTCAACCCAATATGGACAATCATCCTATGAAGTTTGAACACTGTGGGCCAAATGGAACTTAAGTTATGCTCCGGAAACTGTTTTCAGTTTTAAGGTCATAGTGACCTTGACCTTTGACCTTGTGACCCCAAAATCAATAGGGGTCTTCTATCCAATATGGACATTCATCCTATGAAGTTTGAACACTGTGGGCGAAATGGAACTTAAGTTATGCTCCGGAAACTGTTTTCAGTTTTAAGGTCATAGTGACCTTGACCTTTGACCTTGTGACCCCAAAATCAATAGGGGTCTTCTACCCGATATGGACAATCATCCTATGAAGTTTGAATACTGTGGGCCAAATGGAACTTAAGTTATGCTCCGGAAACCAAATTGCTAACGGACGGACGGACAGACGGACGGACGCCAGGGGGTATAACATAATATGCCCGAAATTCTTTCGGGCATATAAAAATGAAACATCGTTTGTGGAGAAGGGATCCCTATATGTTGCTATTACTCTGTAGCAGGCGGCATAATAAATTGATTGTACTAAAATTATATTCTAAAGAATATTAGACCTAAATCTTTTGTTTCCTGTATATATCTGCTTAAGTTTGATATAGAAGTCATCATAAATGAAAAATAATTAGGACTGTTATTGACGTAACGAAAACATATCCTAAATTTAAACGTTTGCAGTGTGGTTCCTGTTTCAGTTTTTATTGTGCTTGTGAATGCTGGGGAGTTTCGTACACTGATGTATCATGCATATCATCTTGGTATGGCCTCTGGAGACTATGTATTTATAGCCATTCAGTTAGCAGAAATAGATTGGTGGGGCTCGTATAGAAACTTCCTAAAAGGTATTATCAAATTGTTCTCATGATGAGTAAGTATGCATAAAAAGCTAGAACTGTCATCAACGATAGTAAAATTCTATAATTATTGTAATTTTCTTGTTGTTGAGTGCGTGCGTTATTTGATTGGCTACTCTGTTCATGTTTAATGCACCTACAAAACACTCATAAGAGATAAAGTCAAATTAGATGTAACTAATATAACTAGTCTATATATATATACATCTTCAAGCTTACATTACGGTATCAAGTTATAATTATTATATATATAAATATTCACCAGACGACACAATGGATGGAGCATTGAAGAGGGTTTATGAATCCGTCCTGATTCTCACTCTCGTGAACCAAGTAACGAACAACACTGAGTTCCAGACAGACATACGAACACGCTCCCTCCGGGATTATGGCTACAAATTTAAAGACGACGAGCCGGTTTGTCAAACTTTCAAACTTTTATTTCCATCTTAGGTTTACTTCAACTAAACAACATAAGCATCATTTTATAATAATTACTGTGAATAATTGCGGCATATTAAGTTAACTAACAAGTGCTACGAATAAATAGAGAATGACGAACACATCCAAAGAAATCATAACATGTAAAATAACAAATAAACATATGTATAGCAAATAAACATTTTTTAAGGGTCAAAACTAACCTTAATCTTTCATTGAAATAAAGATGATATCACCGTCACATACTAAATCTTTTTTGATTAAAGGAGATTAAATTATTCTCTTACAAAATGGATTTTTTTCACCAATGCGTATTTTTGAGATGATAAGTTATAGCACTCATTTCACCTTTGTGGAAACAAATGTTAGTGTGACATCAATTAATACGATGATTAATTTTTTCATCCCATCCTTAAAAAGTGTTTTGAGATTGACACCACGTTACTTACCTGAAGTAATTGATATTCTGTAATATCCACGGATACCCACATTAGTATCCACTGGGAATATTACCCATTAATTTTTACATATAGCGATAAGCTAAAGTAATGTTTTATCCACGGTCATTTCTATTATCGTTTTGTAATAGTTTTTAAAACTCCTTTCACGTTTTTTAATCTTTTGGGAATACACTTCGTTTACTAAAATAATCGCTTAAATGATGGTGATTGAAACAGAGATAAGCATACCATAATGTAAATTGTATTACAAGAACATAATTTCAAATTACATTGTACAAGAACATTTTTTTGTTAATGATTTTACAAGACCATAATTCTAATTACATTTTACAAAAATGTATTAAGTTACTGCCATTAAGTTCTATTACAAAAAAAAAGATTCTCTAAAGGACGCCAAAAACGGTAAAATTAAAAATGTTGCAAGCTTAGTTTTACTGAGCCTGACGGTACTGGAAAGTGCTAGCTATCCTTCACGCCCCCTAGTATAGACGTTTTACAGGCCATCCATTAAGATTACATTTTACAAGAACATTTTAAGTTAATGTTATAAATGAAGTACAAGATACAATTTCTTATCCAATCTGTCTTATACTACAAAGAGACAGTTAATCTTTTGTAATGAACAAAACGCGTAATAGAAGCGCGACCATGTTTTATGTTTCTCCTTTCCTTTTCCGCGCGTGTCATCTGTACCGATGTATCGTCCAAACTGTTTTTACCGCTCTTATTAAAAAACAATTGTTCCGTTCATTCTTCGAGTATCTGATATAAGGTTTATTATAAGACAGAAACTTTAAAGTAGGAAAGTCAAACATGACAAGCTGACAATCAAACATTTCTGATGAATAACCATGTCATGAAAATGATCGAATGATATAAATACACTCACTTTCAACACTTGTGTAAAATAAGAATTAATTTACATTTTCTCTATTATGTAATTTGTTTTATTATGTATGTAATATTACTATTTGTTCTGTAAAAAAAAACACCAGAAAATTCATCAGATCTTTCATTAATGTTGTAAGTGCATAAAACAGACTTGTTGAAATTACTCAGAGGTTAAAGCACTTTTGTCGGAAAACATCATTTGAGCCGCGTCACGACAAAACCAACGTTATGCGTTTGCGACCAGCATGGATCCAGACCAGCCTGCGCTGTTCGCTATCATTTTCTCTACTTGTAATAGGGTTTGTAAGCGAACAGCATGGATCCTGATCAGACTGCGCGGATGCGCAGACTGGTCTGGATCCATGCTGGTCGCAAACCCATTATGTTGGTTTTGTCATGACGCGGCTCATTTAACATTTTTTTAATTAATGTTTTAAAGTGCATAAAGCCATGAATCTGTTGCAAAAAAAAATATATTTTTTGATCTTACAAAAGAATACTTCCAAATGCTTGTGTTGAAGAAATATGGTAGTTAGTTGTCTTAAAGCGAATGGTGCACGCATGAAAACATAGTTAAACGGATGAAACCTTACTTAAAATAGCAGAATAATATCTTTTTCGATTATTTTAAACTGTTTACGTAAAATATTCATGTGTGTTAAATATCAGAGACATTCTATGTTACATCCACTTTCGAGAATCGACGTAAGATTATGTGAACAATATAATTTCACTGTTGATTAATTTTATAAAATATAGCTTTATATTCTTAAAGATAGTCACGACTTTGCACTGAAGTGCGGATGACCTTTTTTATCAGGTATATATAATTGAAAATGGTCTGCGTTTTACATTAATGTGACATTATGTTCATTTTTGTCACTGTCATGTTGTGTTGAATTAAGTAATGTATTACAAAAGATTTGCTATTTTAATGGTAAATGATGAATAATATATAATGAAAAATGTTATTGATACAATATAAAAACAGCCTATATTATGAAAAGATTGTCCCACACTTTTTAACCAATACATTTTGAACTATATTTATAGAAATTTCCCTTAGCTATGTAGATTACTGATTATTTTTCATAGTAAATTATAAAATTGAACACAATTATGGCGAAATACCTAGTTACTATGATTTTACCTATTCAGTGTCCATTTACATCTAGATGGACATAATATCACTTTAACTGTTGTTCATAATAATTAAAAAAACATTGGCGGTTAAAAAAATAAGAATTAACTTGCGGTAATAGTAGTACAATCATAAGGTCCTGTTTAAAGGCAGACACAGGCAAAATTTTCATTTCTTAGTTTTGAATTTTTCATTCATTATTCTGTAAATGCCCTCAAAATGAATATATTAGACACTAGACAGTCAAAGGAACAAAACTTTTCTCCATATAAAGAATAAAATGGTGGTTTCCTAACTTGACCCGCTAGGATTTCACAATAGTTGTCAAAGTGAACCCTGGAAACGTTAAAGAACATGTCAAATGAATGACTTAGACTTGTTTCAATCCTACAATTTCCACAATATCTGTTATTGTAACTTCAAGGGTTTGTTCAAGTCACCTGACTTATTTTAAAACTGTTTGGAGATTCTATTGGCGTCTAAATTTTGTTCAACATAATAATTATATAGATATATTTAAGCTTCAAACCCAAAATATATATTATAATTTAAACAGAAATGCATGCAGACACTTCAAGAAATGTCATTTTAGCGTGATTTGAGTACATAAGATCATTTTAATATTTTGTCATTATTTCGCCTGAATATCTTAATAGCATAAAAATAATAATATCTGGGGTATTTCAGCTTTATAAATTTACTATTGTTATTTTTGTTAAATAAATGCTACACTGTAAAAAAAACTTGGAGGAAATGTCTTTTATTTGTACTTTAGTAGAGAAAGAATCTATTATATTTGTACATAATATATTTTTCTTGAAAATATAACTAAAATAATTTTTTGAAAACAAAACACAATATTGATATAGTGACTGTATTAATTATTTTCTTTATTCAAACTTCTTTCATGTTTTAGGTGCATTATTTCATCACATCATTCTATGAGGCAGTATTGTATCTTGGGGCGGCTTATAACAAGAGTCTTGTGGAGACAGGCAATATACTTGATGGTTACAAAATTGCACGATCTTTTTTTAACGACACTTTCAAAGGTTTGTATCAGATAAAGCCAAATGTTATTTTGTTCAACATTGATACAATTTTAGATTTTTATGCACTGTGTTTGGGAAATCGAACAATATTTCATATTTGTGACTTATCTATTGAATCATAAACACTGATTTAACCCTTTATCTGCTAAATTAGTTTAATGGATTTTAATTATGAACAGTCATTTTGAAGTTTAAGAAAAAACAAAAATTGAGCTACAAACAGTATAGAGCACGGTCAGACATCACATACTTGCAGTGTTATGTTGCGCATACAGCTCCCGTCGTTTAAAGTAGTATATATCCGGGAAGATTTATCCGTTACGTATGGTTCACTTCAGTGTTGTTATATTTTTCTGGTCCTTCGGGATCATAGATTCCAACATTTAGAATTTTAAGTGTTGAAAAATGAGTGCCATTCAAGCCGGTGCTAGGGGGCGTGATGGATGTTGCATTTTTTCATTATCCTTCATGTACAGATTGAATCAAGCTGAGTCTGCAATTTTCATGTAATTTTGTTTTGATTTATGCTTCCGAGAGATCAATCTTTTCCTCTAGATTTTTTGCAACAAAAAATCTCATAAAGAGGAGGAGCTTTAAACGTCAAGATGTGCCATTTGGATGTATCGTGCTCCTTGATGATAACGTAAAGGCATATGATAAACATTAACAATTAAATGTACCAGCAACAACTGCACAATTCGGTCTTTTTTATGGCATCCCTCTTATAATATGTATATAAAGGGTCTTTTGGTTGAACAAATCCTTTTGGACAAGAAATGTCAGGTTTGTTTCAGACAAGTATTTACGAGAATAGATTGCATTCCAACAAATACTTTAGCTGGTGTTTGTTGCAGTGATACTTTACTTTGAAACTGATACATGATGTTGATGAACAAAGCTCCGGAAACATTTTTGTTTAAACTTTCCGAATAATTTATCATCCATTTATTACGAACAAAAACAGCCACCGCGGAGCTTTATCCGTTAAAGTGCAACAGACAATCCTCCCCCGACGAGTACGGGGAAACAGTGCAGGTTGATTTAACACTATACTGGTAGAAAACAAGCCAAACACTTTCAGTTCCAGCAAGTTATGGGTTGAATAATATTAATACTATTTTGAAATTAAAATGTTACATCAATGCATTATTAATTACTCGTGCTTAGTTTATTATGTTGTATTTTTTAATGTTAAAGTATGTAATATTTACATTGACATTCCAGGGAATATTACTGCAAAAGATAATGTTTTTGTCGTCAATTCTTGAAAAACAATTTAATTTTTTAAAATGATAACGTTATTATAGACGCAATGTTCGGACTTATTCTAGTGGAAGATGATGATGTTGTAAATCTTACGTAATCATGAAAAAAAATGATTTTATGAGACATCGAAGTATCTGTTCAACTTTTCCAGAATGTAGGCAGTCACTTAATGGGTTTAAAAATTGATATAAGATAAAGAAATTCACCATTCTGAAAATATGTTATGACTGTTACTATGGTACTATAGGTGTAATGATCCAAAAAAGGGTACATTCGATGTGTTCAATGTGGGTGTCTAATTTGCCGTAGTCCAGTTATTTTATGCCCCGACCAACACAGGCATGTATTATGGTGCTTATCTTTGCATATAAGAGTTGTTTCTACTATACAGGACTAAATGAGTTGGTTGCTCTAGATGAGACTGGAACAAGAGTTGCTGATTTTGAAGTTCTCGATCTAGTTGATGCTGATGATGAACTTTTTCAGGTAACTGATCTTCCTAATTAATTTCTCCTATTCAACAATTTTCTGAACTTTGTAATCTAATTATATGAACTAGTGCCACATTAAGACGCCTAAGACTAAATTTGAAAAAGCAATTTCAGTAATAACGCTCATCGTCGCACTAAAAAACCTTTTATAACATTATAAGACAAAGACAAACGAAAATTATTACGAATTTGGGTGATTGAATTACGATAGAGGATAATTGCCAGAATAATCGCAATTGTATACTAATTTGTCTGAGGAAAAATATCTGACACTCAAGTGTTATTAGGGTAGTCGAACAGTCTCTAATCAAATAGGTAAGTTTCATGTATCATAGATACTTGAAATATTATATAAGTACACATATGATTCTGAGGAAGCTTTGCAGACACTTTCTTCCAAAAGGTCATAAAATTAATAAACATTAGGTCTTCTAAAATATATTTTTCTGAGAAATTTATATTTTTCTGAGATTCTTTGATAATGGCTAAAAAGCATGAATTGGTAAAAAAACACTTACTGTATCTAAAAGGGAAAGCCCATAAATTCTCCACACGTTCCTTTTTCAAAAGGTCAGAAAATAAGACACAACTTCTGCTGATTTTTCAGATTTTCTTATATTCTTTAGGCTTACAAGCTTTGATTTGTAAATTATATCAATGTTCATAGCACGTTTATATCTACATACTTCCTTTAAAAATAAAACAAAATATGTTTTCAGTTTTACAACAGTTATGAATCTATCTAAGAATCAAATTCGGTCATATTTTTCTTTCGATTATAGAAAAGTTTGAGATAATGTTTAAAATGTATTCATGTTGGACCGATAATAAAGTAATACGTATGTATTGGTAAATGGATATTGTCACAAATAACGTTAGCAATGTTATCTTTAACGCGGAAAATGTGGATGTTTGACAAACTTTTACCGTTATTGCCTCACTTTGCACTACCGTTCACGAGTGGTCAAAGTTTATTGCAATATATTTACAAAGATGTGTGTTTGTACGCTTGCATTAAATGGAAAAAAAACTACATTTTCCGAGTTCAGGAGTATCTATATATGGTTGTACTTTATTAACATGAACGTGTTTATCCTTAATTATCTGGTTCTCTGCCGCCTACTATACTGCAATTAATGTAACGTAGTAACAAAGGCAGATTAATTCTTAAATTATTGCCTGAATGTATATGTTAAATCTCTCAGCAAGTTTGCTGCAAGACAAGGCAAGAGTTGTACATTGCTAAAGCAAAAGAATACGACACTCTCTTTGTAGACACTAATCATGCATCATATCAAACGGTCTTGTGAATCATGATTTTTATGTTTCCTTAAAGCGTGTTGGTGTATTTCTCGGCTCAAAGAGAAAGTATGTGCCGGTTACGTCGGTAGAAATCAGATGGCTGAATGGCGTTCCGGTGGACAAACCTGTGTGTGGTTACACTGGTGAATTATGTATCACAGGTAGTAATAATTTCATTGATATATGACGCATCTGACCCATGTGTTTAATAGTGTTCCATTTTGACAGGATATGTATAAGATGATGGCCAACACCTAAATATTACAAAAGGTAAACATCGGTTCTTAGACATCATACTGCAAGTATTTTGTATAATTCATGTCGTACAGTAAAATAATGGCAGCCGTTGAATTGATAGCTCCATGTATTAATCAAAATTGTCATTTGCTCGTGTCACACACAATACGATGTAAACATATTAACAACATGAACGTAGACTGAGATAATGAAAATGCTCAATTGAAGCTGGGAATGTCTTTGATGCAAGAAGAGAAATATTATGAATGAAACGGGAAATGAAAATACTCTGAGATTGATTTTTGTATCTGTACAAAGGTTCCAGCTGTATTTGTTTCATAATTTTAGTTAAGCTGTCAATATTGCTATAGCTTTCTCAGTTCAGTATGAGAAAGGTTACTTAAAACAGTAGAGACATTTGTCCAAATATAGTATAATTGAAGAGCTAAATTACTCTTGTTCTTGTAATACAAATTGTTTTCACACCACCATGATAATCTAATGTTGATTGAATTGTAATTTCGTTTATAAATATCCGATTTCGTCCCTATTTCAAATTGTTTGAAAACTAAGACTTCTACAAAAGAATCAGCTGTAGATATCTGACGATGAAAATAATACACATTGATTGTTTGATATTTTAAGGAAGCAAAAAATATTTATATGATTAGTTTAATAGCAAAAAATCTCGGTCAGTCAGCTTTGTAATATGATCATGAGCATAAAATGTTTGTTCATGACAGCTGATCAATGATGAAGGAACGGGATTAAATGTGACTTTTAGTAACCAGAGAAATCAGTGACGAGAATCGAATGATTTTAAGAATTACCCTATTTATCTCTAGGAAAGTGTAAAATTTCTAACAAAACTCTTAATAGTTGTTATGCGTTAACTGAGTGATAAATTTTGTTATGTGCTTGCAAAGTGTTATAGGTTTTGAAACAATCATTACTCTGAAAAGGGCATTAGAACGTCTATTTAACAACGTTTTAAACAATTCTAGCCCAAAATTGCAATTTTACATCGAATATTTATTTCTGTTGTTTTTAATTCACAGCTATTATAAAATCGACATCTTTTTTTATCAAAGCTATTAAATACTTGTAAAATGCCGATAAAATTACATAGCGAAAGTTGAGTTTATAAATGTGATTAAAACTCAAAGGTACATTTGGATACGTTAACTAATATTAGCAAACCAAATCAAACCGAGTCTGTAACATTTTCATTTTTGCTGCTTTGGACAAACTTGAGTCAAATTTATTCATTTCAATTTGTATGTTCGAACTGTAATAAGTATTTCATAACACAAATGTAATTAGATTAAAGAAAAACGGAATCCCCTGAGACGCCCAAAATCTTGTTAGCTCGGTAAAGTATATTAAAGTATGTCTGAAATGATTGAAATTTTTGGAAGCGCTCTATATAGAGATTTTAAACAAAATATAATATAAATGACTTAAAGAAAACAGCTTTATTAATGATATTTCGGTCATCGTATTTTAGCACATTTATATACTAGTATAGATATATTAGAACCAGAACTGAGTGATTCTATTACACAACTGGGTTATATGTTTTCTTTGATACCATATAAAGTACTACTTTTATCGAATGCGTTCAATCCTATCACAGAATCAATATATCATATATTTCAATTTAATCTTTTTATATATTATTTCTACATACGATATATATGTATAATGACACTATATATCAATCATTTCGTTTCGTTTTATTATCACTATACGAACACATATTCAATAAGACTATGATTAGTTTTCCCTTGTAAATCATTCAATATTCTGAAGACAAACTTATAATATAACTGATTCTATCTTTACCAGCTGCCGAGGAAAATGTCTCTTTGATCTGTAAGCTCAAGCTTGTGACACTGTGTCTATCATAAAATATGCCTTATATCAGTTGACTTGAGGGCCAAGTATTTCATCAAATAATTTTGTTTTATTTCTATTTTAGAACGCTTATCAACTCAGGCAGTGATTGGAATAATTGCAGGTTGTTTAATATCTGTACTCATAGCGATCATCATAATTCAAATCGTTTACAGGTAAAACAATGACTAAAATGGTTGATCATTTTGTTGAGAAATATTTTCCCAGCCAATTAATTAAATTAACTTTACTCATTATTTCCAAGAGTCATTTTTTTTTTCTTTTCTTTTCTAATGAGTGCTTTTAGAAAAATATATATCTAACTACACGTGGGTTTATAACATGAAAAGGTCGTGTTCTAATTAAAATAAGAAGGTCTGATTTTTTGTCTTATTATTTACGGGATATTTTTGTCACAAAAAAGGATATCTGATTTCTGTTTTAACACAAGTAATAATAATGTTTCAAATAGATTAGTAGTCCTCGTTATTTCCAATGTTTCGTGTTGTTTTCTTTTTGTGTTTTTTTGTGGGGTTTTTTTTAATTGTTTTTTTTTTCATCCAATTAGATCTCCATTTTTCCTTTTTTTTCTGTTTTTTTTTTCTTTTGTATTTTGTTATTGTTTTTTTTTTTTTTTTTTTTTTAAAATTTGTTTGTTTGATTGTCTGTTTGTGTGTTTGTTCGTCCGTTCGTCCGTTTGTTTTGTTTTTGTTTCTGGGAAGTTGTAAGGTGGGTCTCGTTGGAAATCGGCTTCTAATTTCTTTTAAAATACATACCAGATGTTCAATCATAATTTCAGTCGCAGAAAATTGAATAAAGATATGCGATGGCGAATTAGTTGGAAAGATGTTGATGTTTTGAAGACAAAGGGGAGTGTGATGTCAGGATTTTCTAAATCTAAAATGTCAATAGAACAAGATGTAAGTTCACATCTGTTGTGCGTTTTTATACCCCGTGAGTTATCAGTAATAATATGTAATAAATTTGTTAATTGTTTTTACAAAACGGTTCATATGAAATTGAGCGCTTTAATCTTATAAATTATATTGAGAGTTGCTGGACTTCTCAATCATTTTCAATCAGTGTTTCTTCTCAATTAATTTGGGAGGGGCCTTAGCCTCTTGATTTTTTGGGAAAATCAAAAGAGAATAAAAAAGCTGATATAAGTTCAGATTTTTTGGGAAAAGTAGCTGCATGATGAGACCAGGCATGATTTTAAAGAAAATTCCAGTTGTAAAAATGCCTTTTATACGCCTTTGTTATATAAGAAGGAAACTCACTGACAATATTATCTTATTTATGTCTTCACAAGAATTATCATGACCCTTCGTAATCATATTTCTTTCTTCATTTCATTGCACAATCAACATACAAATTTCGCAATTAATATGTTACAAAAAGGCATTTTGATGTAGAAAACAGCAACATAGTACAAACATTGTATAGGAATACATATAACTCTTAGCTCCTCAATACTGTATAAAACTTTTCAATAAACTGTAGCTTTATTATCAATCTTATAAGAGTTGAAACATTAATACCACGTCAAAGATACTGCTTGTTTTTGTTTATTACGAGTTATATGGTATATGTTAGGCTGAGAGTGTGCACAAGTTATATGGTATATTTTAGGCTGAGAGTGTGCACAAGTTATATAGTATATTTTAGGCTGAGAGTGTACACGATGATACCAGGTTTATTACACAAGTAATATGGTATATTTTAGGCTCAGAGTGTATACAACTTATATGGTATATTTTAGGCTGAGAGTGTACACGATGATACCAGGTATATAACTGGCTCGAATTGTTTATATAAAGGAATGGCTGTTTTTATCAGAAAATACCATTTTTCGTCCATTGATATCACATCAAAGGTCCTTGTCGAAATGAGACGGGTATGTGTTTGTTTCATAATATATGAAATACTAGGTATATATACTATGTTTAGCTGAATTAAACATGACATAGCAGGGTCTGTATTAATGTAGAGATCATTATTTTGATTTTCACACAAACGGCCACTAAAGTTCTCTACCAACTTATTTTTACCATTTTCAACTACAACTAGTATGCAATTGTACTTTATATCAGATATTTGTTTGTGTATGTCAACCGATAAAACTATTGGAAAAAACAGGCGCTTTTATCATAAAACATCTACAAATACAAAATGTTCTGATGGTATCGGACGAAATGCTGTAACCAAATGTTATACTTTTACCAGCGTAATTTTATTTGTTCACATTTAGCTAATGATAATGGTAACACTTATGTCTGTTTTATCAATTCTAATTTTAGTTGTATCATCTGCGGCACAATAATTTGGAGACATTTATTGGAGCCTGTACTGAAACAGGAAATATTTCTGTTTTATCAGAGCTTTGTCCAAGGGGAAGCCTTATGGTAACATGTTAATTTATTCTTCGAAACGCTCGGTGCTATTGTTGTTAATTGAAGATATGGTACTTAAAAAACTCATCTTCTAGGGGTACTGACATCACTTCAGCATCCAAAACAACAACACGAAATAAATGACACTTATTTAGGAAATCATAGATATAGTAAGGAAACGACATCACACTAAATCGACAAATAAATAATTATATGTACTTTTCATTTGTCGTTTTCGTGTCTACAGGGTTACAATAAATTCAATACTGCTTTTATCAAAAACTAATTCTGCATACTTATTAAATTGACAATGGAGTGGCTAAAGAAATAATTTTCACAAAATATTAACTTAAATATAAAGTACGTTTTTATATTATTTTTTATACAGCAAAAGTACTTTAATTACAAGTACTTTGTAATAAGCACTGTAACACCGCACTTTGGGGTCAAACGCACTTTGGGGTTCGACCCCAAAGTGCGTTAAACTTCGCACCGCACTTTGGGGTCCAACGCACTTTGGGGTCAAAATCGAGAAATTGACCCCAAAGTGCGTTAATATGCTACATATCAACGCACTTTGGGTTCCAGAGGTCTAAAGGTGTCATCTGAGTTCAGCTCAAATACTTGAGTACTGACTTATTTTCGATCTGCGGCATTGAAATATTTGAGGTGGAGTTCAAGATGGCGGTCAATATTTTGATGTGCTTAAGTGATAAAAGTTTCATTAATTTTACCACTTGAAACATCTAAAAATTGTGTTCTTATAACAAAATTACGGTGGCATAAAAGTGACATTTGCATTTTTTTAGTTTTGCATACATATTTTTTTTAGTTTTGCATACATATTTTTTTTTAGTTTTGAATTCATATTTTATTTTAGCTTTTTGTACATATTTTATTTTTGTTTTTCGTACATATTTTAGCCAATCAAAACAGCTTTCACATCTCATAACAGCCCATAGTTGAGTATAAAACTAGCACAGTGGTTTGGTCACAATTCGGCCTATTTTTGGAATCGGCCCAGTCGTTTTCTGCCGGGCTAGTCTGGTTTCAGCAGACCCTTTTCGGCCCATTTTTTAAATTATATGTATTTTATGGCTCTTTCAACATATAATCAGGCATTTTTTACTGAAATGTCTTACTTATATTGCCCAGAATTTATACCTTTGTCTATGCTAAGACTATCATATTTCTATAAAATGTGTAAATAAAAAACGGGAAAATAATCCATTTGGCTAAAAACAATGGAATTAATGAACGGTGTACATACTTGTAAAATAAATGGAAAATTTGAGAAAAAAATATATAAATATTTTAAGCTTAATATTTGATACAAATTCATTATGAGGTGATTTATTTGGTGAAAGTTCTTCACTTACTAATCAAAACCATTTAAATCCCTATTGATTCTATTATAATCCAGGGCACATGTTTTGCGTCTATTTAATACCTTGATTTTTGTTAACCATTCGCTTTGGCTACAATATATTATTTAAAACATAATGAACATTAATCTTCTATGACCCCAAAGTGCGGTCGTTTGCCTGATGTTAAAAAATGCATATGTACCTGTTTAACGCACTTTGGGGTCGAAATTGGACCCCAAAGTGCGTAACGCACTCTGGGGTCGGACCCCAAAGTACGTAACGCACTTTGGGGTTGGACCCCAAAGTGCGTTTGACCCCAAAGTGCGGTGTTACAAAGCACATTTTATCAATGTTTCAATTCCTTAAAAGTATTTGATTTTTATCTTTCATCAAATAGCAAAGCATTATTGTTTGAGATTGTACATGAAAGTATTAAATGTATGAAATTATTAAATTGTCCTTGTATTTTTCCATATTTCTATGTTTTAATGATTTAAGCGTTTTTATGTAAAAAATGATTCAAGTAAAATGTATATAATTTAAACATTTTTTTTCAGGATATCATAGCAAATGAAGGTATAGAACTGGACTGGTCATTTCGACATTCCCTGATCAACGATATTGTGCAGGTAATGATGTTCTCTTTCATGGTTAGATATTTCTGATACCGGAGTTGTTATCCCACATGACATTAGCGACTTTCCAGCTTTACTGGTCAAGGAACACCTCAGGTGCCCTTCAAAGCATTATTTAAGACATGAACAGTCACCTGAGTGGAACTACCTTGCTAAATAGATTCCTCGCGTGAAAGAATCAAAAGACCCTGTCGGAATTCAAACCCAAAGTGGTAAGGAGAAAGTGGTTTGAAGTCGACAACCTTAACCACTCGGCCACAGACGGCCCCTTTAACAACATACGTCTTTTTGAGGTTACTACAGAAATAGGGAAATAGAAAATTGTGCCATTTGTACTGCTTCAATTTGTTTTTAAATTAGTTTTAAATAAGAAAGCTAGGTTTGAAAATATAAATAAGTATCGGTTTGTTGTTCTATGCCGCCTTTCAATTCCATATCATTTTTAATGTCATGAGTTAGGTGGAATGGGCACCATGGATAAGGAGAGATCTTTTTCTTGAGCAATGGAGAAAAACATAATAAATGTAGTAAGAATCATTTAAAAGCGCAACATCTCTCATATACCAATATTTAGCCTTGTTTCAGTCTTCAAGAACACAGTTTTTTTGAAAATTAACACTTCCAAAGAACCAGAGAAATAAGCTGTATTCTCGTAAAATATCGTGTTAGGCGATATATCGTCTTATCCATGGAGTAGTTCATTGATCGTTTTTCTACAAATACGATACATTCATATGTCAATTTCTTTATCTTTAACAGTTGTAAACTTCCTTTAGGTATGATGGCATTTATATTCTAGTTTTATTTTTTTGATTAATGTAAATATCATTACATTTGCAAAACATGGTTACAGGGTTAGTTTTGAAAAATGAAAACAATCAGTTCCTTTTCATAAAACATCATATAATTATATTTTATGGGTGTCACATTTTCCAACGTCATTGATCTTGTAAAATTTAAATATCCTGTTTGAAATTGCGTGAAATATTTTTATTAGTTTTACGGGTTAATGCCCAGAGCCAATTTTCGTACAGACATACTACTTTCTTAAAACTAAATCATAAAACAGAAGCTCTAGAGTACACTAAATCATTTTTTTTAAGCAATGTCTGTTAAGAAATCATTTGACACTTTTTTTACAAAACAAAAGGATACAAACATTTTGTTGTGGGACTTATTATGTTTATAACGTTTTTGCCTAGGGACTTATCCTGGTTTCAAACATCTGATTTAATTAGATCAAAATATCTTCAAGAAAAGTGAAGTATTCTTTAAAGTTTCATTTTATAAATATAGGACAATTTTTTGCCATCGGTCTAAAAGGCCTAGCATTCTACAGTTTCTTTTTAACAGTAAAATATTGTTCAGAAATTATTACAAGGATAAATTCACCTTCCTTTAAAACATATATATTATACAGGGTATGAAATACCTCCATAACAGCGATGTTCACGTGCATGGACGATTGCGTAGCAGCAATTGTGTGGTTGACAGCCGATTCCTTCTCAAAATCAAAGGCTTCGGACCAAAAAGTTTCTTCGAAATGGAGTTCAAAAACAAACGGGACGCATTTCATAATGATTCGAGTAAGTATAAGTGTTCCTGTATGAGTAAATGATATTACTGTCATTTTAGGAATCTTTTTTTATTTTATTTTTTTTGTGCATCAAATATACACACTGAATAAAATATGATTTGATGTTTTCTTTTTTCTTCTTCTGCGCTGCGATACTTGAAATTATAAAACTTTTTATCCCTCTCGATTGTGACCTATATATACATGTACACGAGTCATGCTCAAACAACGGCTTTAATGCCTGTGCAGAGATTTTGACATTTTAATTATTTCCCGATATTTGATCTGCAAATGTGATTATTATTCTCATTTGCGTATTTTCTGCAGATGTTTTCAAATCTAAAATGACAGTCACAGGGGTAATTTTGGTCTTTTACAGCTAGTGAATTATGAAATAGAAAACGAACAAGAGATACAGTCCCCTATAATATATATAGTAGACCGCTTCATCGCATGCTCATAGTGTACTTATAACCTTTCCATTTAAAACTGAAACTGAAACTGTTCTATTTAATTAAACGCCTATTTCTATATACATATTCAATGGCGTTGTACACAAGGATAATAAAAGTATGTACATGTAGATAAAAAAAAACACATATGCATGGCAAATGAATTACAAAAAAATATGTTAAAGATATCAGCCGTGAAAAATATTAAGTATTAAAAACTTTAAAAAAAGAAAGAATAGTTATAAAAAATAACAATAAAAAATAATTTAAAAGAAAATAAAAATTAATGGTTATTTCAGTAAAATTTCAAACACATTTCCACATCTCTATCAGTTTACAGCCCAATCACAATTTTAAAACAATGCGTGAAAATCTCTAAAATAGTAGGTTTTGACATTTTTCTTGAACATGTCCAAAGTCGAAGACTGTCTTAAATACAGAGGCAATTTATTCCAGAGAGTTGGACCAACGGTACTAAAACTTCTGTCGTTAAATGTTTTCCTTTTATTAAAGGGGACAGCAAAACAATAATCCATATTATCAACAGATCTGAGATTTGGTCTTTTTATGACAGGCTTGTGTATCAGTTCTGTTAGATAAACCGGAGCATTGCCCATAAAACAGTTATACATTGTACATAGTATTTTAAAATTGGTCCTAGCTTTAATTGGTAACCAATGCAGTTCCAACAAAGAGTCTTTGGAACTATCATATTTCCGCGTTGCAAAACAAGTTTAGCGCACATATTCTGGATACGCTGTAATTTCTGTAACTCACTTTCTGAAATGCCAAACAATATAGCGTTGCAATAATCCAAATGTGAGATTACAAGCGACAATACTAGGATTTTTGTGGCGTCCTGAGTCAGATATTTGCGAATGCTCTTTATTCTCAAATAATTTAACATAGCAGTTCTACACTTGGTCTTAACATGTGTTAAGAATCTTAGGCCCTCGTCTAAGTAGACACCTAAGTATCTTATGACACTGACATTTTGAATTTTATCACCGGCGATATCAATTTCTTTAATTGAACATTTACCAAGTTGGGCTTTACTACCAAACATAATGAATTCTGTCTTAGTGGTGTTCATTTTGAGTTTATTGGCATTCATCCAGTAATTGATGATTAAAGCACTGTCTTCAAGTTGCTTTATAGCGTTAAGTTCATTGGTCACTGAAGTTGGTCGAAAACGTTGACTAGCAATGTGGTCATCAGCAAAGCCGTACACAGATATGGATGGTGGTATCACATCAAAAGGGTTCCCGTATATGTGAGATAGAGCCACGGACCAAGACAGCTCCCCTGAGGTACACTGCATTCCAGCAATCGATTCAGTAGAATTAACACTGACGCGACCACTACGAGTCCACCCAAGCTAACACGGTACCATTGACACCGTACTGACTGTGTAACACGTCGATTGGAATGTAGTGGTCAACGGTGTCGAAAGCTGCACTTAGATCTATTGCAATTAGAGCTGTGACCTCTTGCTTCTTCATACCGTCTAGAAGATCATTGACAAGTCTTAGTAAAGCAGTCTCACATTAATGGTGACGCCTGTATGCTGATTGGTTTTTGGGTAACAAATTATGGGTATCGACATGGTTATTTAGTCTGAAGAGCGCAGCCTTTTCTATCAAATTTGAAAGAAACGATAAGTTACTGACAGGCCTGTAGTTTGACAATTGTAATTCTAAACCAGACTTCTTAAGAAGGGGTCTAACGATCGCCTGTTTCCAGTGTGTTCGAATTACGCCTTTAGACAGAGATAGATTGACCAGTTTGGTAATGGTTTGCAGACGCTCATCTAGATGTGACTTTAGATGTTATATTTTCGATCCTTGAAGATCATTCAGCACGACATTATTGTTGTGCTTGTGGTATTTTTAGTTTCAACTTTTCGGCATTTTCTAGTTGGGTGGTTCCAGTATTCCTACTTGAATAATGTTGAATCACCCTTAGGATATGTTGCCTGCTTTTTAAATTTGTCTTTTGACGTCTTATCTGTGATACGCAGGCTTCATAACCTCTGATCCCCTTTCAATATTCCATTTTCTTTAGTTCCGCCCATTGTTTTCTCGTTTAGGGCACACGCTTTCTATTACTTGGGGACCATACGCCGCTTTTCATGGAATGGCATTACTGTGTCATATTGAAGGTTCCATGATAACCGCCGTATGAACACATCTGCGGATGTTTCTAAATTCATAATTTTACTATTTCATGTTTAAATGTTGAGTTCTGCTTGGGCCGGTGCTGGGGGGCGTGGACGGTAACTTGCACTTTCCAGTACCGTCCATGAACAGGCTCAATCAAACCGAGCCTGCAACATTTTCAATTTTGCCGTGTTGGGCTTTCTTTAGGGATTCTGTATTTATCTATTTTATGATCACATCCGTGTTATTTGTGCCGTGTGGCGGCTGTAAAAAGTCTCCCCGTACATTTAATCAATGATGTAATATTTTCGATCCTTGAAGATCGTTCAGCACGACATTATTGTTGTGCTTGTGGTATTTTTAGTTTCAACTTTTCGGCATTTTCTAGTTGGGTGGTTCCAGTATTCCTACTTGAATAATGTTGAATCACCCTTAGGATATGTTGCCTGCTTTTTAAATTTGTCTTTTGACGTCTTATCTGTGATACGCAGGCTTCATAACCTCTGATCCCCTTTCAATATTCCATTTTCTTTAGTTCCGCCCATTGTTTTCTCGTTTAGGGCACACGCTTTCTATTACTTGGGGACCATACGCCGCTTTTCATGGAATGGCATTACTGTGTCACATTGAAGGTTCCATGATAACCGCCGTATGAACACATCTGCGGATGTTTCTAAATTCAAAATTTTACTATTTCATGTTTAAATGTTGAGTTCTGCTTGGGCCGGTGCTGGGGGGCATGGACGGTAACTTGCACTTTCCAGTACCGTCCATGAACAGGCTCAATCAAACCGAGCCTGCAACATTTTCAATTTTGCCGTGTTGGGCTTTCTTTAGGGATTCTGTAGTATGAACAGGCTCAATCAAACCGAGCCTGCAACATTTTCAATTTTGCCGTGTTGGGCTTTCTTTAGGGATTCTGTATTTATCTATCTTATCTATTTTTTAATATATGTGTGGGTATTAAGTCCAGCTCACACGATTTGGTATTTAGTTCACAAATAAGGCTCTTCACCTGTGTTTCTGTAAGATCCTCGAAATTTTCTAAAGGTTGTATTTGTTTGACATTTGGAATGAAGCTTGGAAAATCCTGAAGTGATTTACGAATTTTAGCTATTTTGTCCATAAAAAAGTCTGCAAACTTCTCAGCTAGCTCACCGTCATTTGTAGACTGTGGCATAGGATTTTCAGCTTTAGTACCAGTTAATTCCGAAATTAAACCATAGAGTTTTTTTGAATCACCTTTGGCATTTAGAATTTTCTCACTTATTACTAGTTTTTTCTCAGCATCAATTTCTTTACAGTATCTATTCCGTGCTTCTTTAAATTTCTTGAACTGTTCTGGCTCTTTGTACTTTCTCCAAATTCTCTCTTTTTTCCGGACAATACGCTTAGATTGCAATATTGACTCATTGAACCAAGGTTTTTGAGTTCTGCATTTCCTAGTTTGTTCCTTTGTTGGAGCATGTTTGTCGATAACACATTGGATTTCTGATTCAAACAAGTTTACAAAAGTATTGACATCCTCACTATCAACTGAAATCTTCGTTAAATCATCAGAGAATTCAGAATGGGATATGCTTTTCCAGTTTCTAAATTGTACAGTTTTACTGGTAATGTTTTCTTTCTTCACATTAATGACTACGTGGACAGCACAGTGATCGGAGAGAAAAGGTCCTTGTTCACATTTAAGTACACATACACCATTAATCGATTCAGTGATAACCAAGTCTAAACAGTTTCCAGCAGTGTGTGTACTAAAGTTGACATGTTGCTCTAAACCCAAAGCATGAAGGCAATTTTGAAAGTTTGTAGATGCACCACTACCATTGTCAAGGTGAAGGTTGAAGTCTCCCATAATCAACAAGTTAGAGTATGTAGGTAAGATATCTTCTATGAAATTTGAAAAGTCAGTTACAAATTGCTCACATGTGGCTAGGGATGGGGGTCTGTATAAACCAACTACGTGTACTGTTATACATTTGAAAATGAGTTTCCATATGCCAAACTCAAAACTTTGTTAGTTCCCATGTTCCATCTTTCTCATTTTAATTTCGGTTATACAAGTCAAAGCAACACCACGACCAATTTTGTTCTTGCGGTTTGCATCACTGATTTTGTAACCGTGTTGATTGAGATCAGACGTTTCATACTGATGTTGTTTTTCGTCAGAATACCATGTTTCAGTCAACAAAGCAAAGTCAATTCTTTGTTCCCTCAAATACTGGCCAACAAAATTATCCTTGTTAACAACAGATCAACAGTTAAGTGTAAAACATTTTTTTTAACCTTTTCATTTGTTGTCAATTATTGTGTTACCATTACGTCCCCCTTTTAATGGATTAAAATATTTGAAAATATTAAAGTATTGAAATTAATCAGCCAACAGAAACGCTTCTAGAGGTTATACATGATTGCTGTTGTAATAAATAAAGCATTATCATTGATGATTCTCTGAGGTTTCAAGTTATATAAGATGATATGACCATTGCCATTAAGGACGTAATATCGGATTCTTTCAATATCAATCTGATAACAGAAATATTTTTGGTGAACTTATTATATATCTCGAGTACGAATATACATGTACTAGATAGAGGATTTACTTAAAACATGAAACTGAACTTTATAAAAAAAAATAGAAAATAAATTGCGAAGTAGAAAATTTATTTTGTGATTGTTTGTATTATTCAATCTTTCGTTCGTTCGTCCATTTATTTCATTTGTTCTTTCATTTGTTGTTTTTTTTTTCAATGAAATAAGTGACTAAGTGAAATCGAGTTTGTTTCATAGCAGGGAATAACATTTGAAATCTTGTTTCATTTTTTGTGGCATATTTGATATAATCTTCTCAACAGATATCCCAATCATAACAGACCTTGACATAAATTTCGATTGAGTATTTTATAGATTCAGCGGAAATTAGAAAATCTGTAGAGCCGATGCGTTGACATTTTAATCAATTCTTACGTGTAGAAAGGAGATTATTTTCCCGCTCTCACATATCAGGGATAGTTGAAGAAATTGACTTCAATGTTTTTATAATAGATTTTTTATGTAACAATATGATACTAGTATATGTTTCTTTGTAAGATAAGAAATTAAAGATGTAAGATGAGAAATTAAAGATGTGTTCATTTATTCTATGTAATTGGAAAAATTCTTTAACTGTGGTTGTGGTCATATCCAAAAAATAATGCTCCTGTCTAAAGTACACATTCTGTCAGAAACAAAACAATGTATTCACCACAATATGGTTGTTTTGTTTTTGTTTGGTTTTACGGCGATCTGACATAATTTAGGTCATATGGCGCCGAAACAGGAAATATGAGTTTGACTAACCTTGGGTGTTACATACTTTGACCTTGACCAGGGGTAAAAAAAACTCACCTCCCAAAGTTAAATTATGCAAAGACTCCAGTAAATATAGTACCCATTTAGTCGCATCTTACAATCACGCAGGGTTAATCGGTGGCTGTAATCATGCCTCAATCCTACCACAAATGACCATCAAATGTAGTAATTGAATTGATATAACAAAAAACATCAAACTCAAATTTATAAAGGGAAGTATCATTAATACTATTATTTATAAATTAATTATCTATTTCAAGGCTTAGAACAAGAAAATCTTCGTCCAAGTATTCTTACAAATTGATAATGCTTTTATTTCAAATAATTTTTAGAGAAAAAAAACATGCTGTCTGACCAATCTTCCGAAAAGGCTCTAGTCATCGGCAATATAATGATCTGAAAAATAGTTTCTTTTCATTTTGGATTAACCAGGAATTTCAATCCGACTTTGAATTTAGATCTATTAGCATAAAAATCATTATGTTTCAGTAATTAGGTAGAAAAAATATACAAATCAAAGCTTAGACGAATCTAATGTACTAGACCGCAATACTTTACCTATGATTACTATCATTGTTATTATTCGACTTAACTAAAAAACATATATAAAACGGTAAAAAATTCTTGATTAACTAAATAGTATTTTTAATAACATATACCTAAATTTACTAAAAGTAATAATGGAAACAGTGAAACTTATCACCATTTATCAGTCTTAGTTAATTATTTACTAATTTCTAAACGAAAATGTCCTTATAATCTCAACCAGCTAAGCGCAGCTATATAATAGAAAGATTAGGGATATTTTTCTGTTAAAAGCATTCATGTAAATGGGAAATTATGCGCTTATATTCACACCAGATTATCAATCGGGAAGGGCTTAATCTAATGTTGTAAGAACTTGTTGCCCAACCCATTTGCATTCTGATATATACTCATTATTTGTATAATATGCATGTTAACATGTATCTAATGCCATAAATATGTTTGAACTAAACAAGATTATCATCTTTTAAAAAAATGATATCATGAAAAGAATGTCATCTTAGCTATGATAATTAACATCCAAGTTCAAATTACAAATTTAAGGACAAGATATGTAATTTGTAGTTAAAAATTCTCTATGAAAAAACATGTCATGAAACTATTTACAAATCTGTTTGTTTTTGTGTAAGATGTAATTTTATTTCATCTCGTGACATTCAAAACCAGTATTCTTACTCGTGGTACCGTCACTCTTGAGAATACCTTTTCTGAAATAAAAGTTATTTTTGCACAAATATCAACAAATGTAATGTATCATATGACCCGGAGTGATATTTTAGTGTTTATTTGTTATAACATATTTGTAATTATTTGTTATAAACTATTTATAATTATTTGTTATAAACTATTTGTAATTATTTGTTATAAACCATCATGTTGTGCCTGTCATTGATTTATAAATTTAGCTTTTTCACAACTTCTATATATGGATTTATCAAGAGGTCATTTGGATAAAATTTGTAACTCAGCTTTAAAAAATATAACCATACATAATATAACATATATCAAGTCTGATGTTTTCGCCACTTTTATTTCCCTTTTTTCACCTTTCACTTAACTGATAAATTGCAGCGGAAACCTTTTAACCAAAATTTTTATGAAGATCAATCAATCATTGAGTGTGTCAGTGTGTTACTTTTAAGCTTTTACTGCCATATTGTGAAAAATGACGGTTTTCGTTGAAAAGCCTTCTCTTACATGTTCAAACTGCTTTGAAACGTTAAAAGTTGCTTCAGTGCTGATCAAACTTGGCAAAAATGTTGACTGGACCATAGCATTTGTACCAGCATACTCAATCTTAAATTTCCTGTTACTAGTACCATGGCAACGAGGGGACATCTTAAAATTGCCAAAAGCACTATTTTGCGTTGATTTCTTTACTGATTTCAAAGTGCTGCAATGAGATAGAGTCAAAGGCTTTTCAGTGTTGGTTACATTAAGATGTTAACATCGACCTTAATGTACCTGTTTTATAGGGGCGGCGCTGAAAAAAATGATCCCATTTTTAAACAACTTTTCTCAAAAGGAAAACAAGTGTTTGGGGCCAAAATAGGGCATTTTTTTAACTATTTGAGGCTTCAAGAAGGGGATGAAAAGCCGTCAAAACACGTCTATATGAGGTTAAAGGTTAAATAATTTTGTTTGAAATACATATTTTAGGGTTCTTGAAAACTATTAATCTTAAAATATCTTAGAGCAAAATCACAAACCTTGTTAACATGTGTATTTCATTTGAAACATTGAGATCGGTAATCATTATCAATTATATCATATTGTTCATTTTATTCCGCTTTGACAATATCATTTTAAAATATACGCCGATTATGTTTTCTTCAAAGATATTTCTTTTATACTTTATTTTCACTGAATTACAAAACTGAAGATATTGCAAATGTCAGTAGATATCAACTTTACAGAATAACTGGTTGTCTTTATTAATAAACAGGATCTATTGATTAAGAAACATCCGTCATTAAACAAGAAAAATAAAAATGTATGTTTCACGACATTCTTGATATAAATAAAGGTTTTTGGTCAATCCGAAAACATAAAAGAGCATACGGTTGATAATAGTAATCATCTTTCACGACAAAAACATTATTTATTGGGAACACAATATTTTATCTCTAAAAGCTTAGCTTCCGTTAACGGTGGGAACTTCGTAATGAAGATAATTGAGATATATTTTGTACATTTTTAACTTTTGAAATATGTTTCAATCATCTTGTCTTCTAAGAAAAGAAATTGCTTTGAGCCCTTCGTCCGACTTTTTCCTTGAAGTACAAATGTTAAAGAAACACGTAAATCGGTCACAAACTTTTGTACTACCTTGGAGATATCCTGTTTGTGCTAGATGAGTGTCATGTTTGATGCTGTAATTTTCAGATATTTTTAGGTCAAAATAGTAAACCAAGAGCTACTAAAAGTCTAAGTTTTAGTCAGACTTCATATTTATTATGGCCAGTCCTTTAATGATGACATACTCCAGCCATTACTACATGTATATAAAGTTCAGCCATAAAAAATAATAAATTGCGTACAGGTTTTTGCCCCTTAAGCAAACAAAAGTCAGAAACTATCATTCTTTTTCTGCAATATTTTACAACTTTTTTTAACTTCTTTAACAGAGTTACTTTGGACAGCCCCTGAGCTTCTGCGACAATCAGGATGGCACCCGGGAACACAAAAAGCCGATGTATATAGCTTTGCCATAATTCTACAAGAAATCATAATTAGAGGAGCACCTTTTGAAATGTCAGACCTTACCTCAAATAGTAAGACATTGCTTACACAACTAATTTCTTATTTTCCTACGACTTGATGATGTTAGCCTCACGATGATATAATACAGAATTACACAGAAGTGCCTTGTATCCATATGTTTGGACTGGTTGTGTATTCTTTGGATCTAAATAAAATTCTTTGTGTTGGAATAACACTGAATAAAATAGTTGTAATTTTTCTAAAATAAAATGCATCGACTACATAAAATCAGATATATGTGATTTTGTATGATATCTTGAGCTATATGATCACGAGATTTGTCAACATTATAGAAACGTTCTGTGACTAAATCAAGTCTTTAATTAAATAACAAAAAAATGGTGAAAAATAGCATGCACATATTTTTTTATTTATTTTATTTAAGAACAAAGTTTGTTTCTTGAAACAATTATTGCATAACATATGTGTCAAATCAGATATTTTTTATTAGACGTAAACAGAAAAAAACAATAAACAAATTTTATTTTGTTTGTCAGTGTTTTAGGCATAGTCAAATCCTTCTTTTGATTACAGATATTATAGAGAAAGTAAAAGCTTGTCTTAATCCACCATTTCGACCAGAATTACCATCTTCTGTTGAATGTTCCTCGGATTTGGTAGATATCATGGAATCATGCTGGAATGAGGAGTCAGAAGCCCGACCAAACTTTGATGCAATCGACTCTTTCTTGAAGAAAACATTAAAGTAAGTACTTTAAATATGGTTCCGCACAACATTTCCCGTAAAAAGTCTTATGTAGATTTGAATCTTCATTCTGCACTTAATAAATATGTTAGAGATTAACTACTTCTGTTGATCAATCGGTATTGAGATATTCAATTAAAGTAGTAGAGTAAACGACAGCATGATCATGCTTAATGTATTGCAGAAATATTTGATTACTCATTCTTTTGGAAAGAAAATTATCAGTACAACTTATTATTTAGGTCAAAGGGCAGCAATATAATGGACAATCTTATGCGAAGAATGGAGCAGTATGCTAATAACCTTGAAACTTTAGTAGAGGAACGAACAAACGCCTACTTGGAGGAGAAAAAGCGGGCGGAGGATCTTTTATATCGAATGATGCCCGTGTAGGTTTAGGGTTCAGTTTTTGATACAGAAGACAGTTTATTAGCTAAATTCGTGTGATTGTAAGCTTGATACTTTTTTTAATGTATTGGATTATAATTGTGAAAAGAGTAGAGGAAGATTTGAACAGTGTCATGAAAAGAGCTATTTCATAATAATTTCATTTGTCTCATATTTGCTCAAGATGATTGCTTGCATGCTGGCATGATAATTGTTTTTCCTTGTATCGTTTTATCAAAATCAACCGTGTTATGTAATGTCCATGAATCCAACAATTGAAATCAAATAAACTGTAATCAGGTTTCTACAGAAATGGATTTTATTTTTCAAAATCTAATCATGCTTTATGGCTGAAAAGTGATTGAGAAATTCCTCACGAACGTTTAGACTCCAATATTATGTATACTATCTAATCATATAACCGTTCTAATTACAGAAAGCAATATTGGATGGCGTTAAAAAAATAAAAAGATAATAAATGCTTCACGTATTACATTACTAGGGCATTAATTTAGTAAACAGTTCAGTGATAAGTGTTCCCTGGAGAACATGTTATTGAAAATTTAATGTCAAACGTGTGTGAACTGTGAAGTTTAAAAAGTGTTTTCTATATGGCATACCTGTCAGGCCATAAAAACATACATTATTATCAGTCCTCTGGGTTTAATAGTTTAATTAAAATATCTGGATAAATGATAAATCGGTAAATCATTACTTAAAACAAATTTAAGATACAATAATTTTCCCCCTTTTTTCAGACCTGTTGCTCGCCAGCTACAAAATGGTGGGAAGGTTGAACCGGAAACGTTTGAAGCGGTGACTATATATTTTAGCGACATCGTGGGATTCACTTCTCTTGCTAGTAGAAGTCTGCCGATGCAAGTTGTTGACTTACTTAACGACCTTTATATAACGTTCGATGCAATTATAGATAATTTCCAAGTGTACAAGGTGAATTTATCCTACTGAACTGTTCATATTAAAATGCATATGGAGTGTAACCTTACTGAAAGCTTACATTATTCTTTGAATTTTCTGATGCTTTTTCATTATACGAGTATGTCCTTTTAAAAAAGTCATTGTCTGACATTTTTTAATTTGTTATTAACACATTGATCGATTTCAATATGTATAACATACCCATTCAAACCGTTTCTAAGTAAATGTTTCTGGTAAAAGAACAATACACTATAATTTATATCGTAGTTAAGATTATTTTATTTGCTAAGGTTGAAACAATTGGAGACGCTTACATGTGCGTTTCCGGTTTACCTATTCGAATCGGGGACAAGCATGTAACCGAAATATCAAATATGGCGCTGGCGATCCTTGACAGTGTTAGAAAGTTTACCATACGACACATTCCAGAAGAACATCTACACATAAGGATAGGACTTCATTCAGGTATGATAACAGTTGCGATGTTTTATTCTAAGCAGAAGTATTGCTTTCAATAGGAAATGGAAAATCTCTCTAGATTAATGAAAATAACTTAAAATGGTAAACATTGCAGACTCGGTTTCATTTTAGCCACTTATGATAAAGGTGGAACATTACTCACGCCCGTCTACCACCGGCTTGTATGTTTCAAAATTATTATTACATGATGTATAGTACTAAATGGAGCATAACGATATAATTATTAGGTATATAACAGAAGGGAACATATGCAGAATTATAATATATAAAAGAATAGGTTGTTCATATTTCTCATTTTTGTCACGAGAATGCTTTGTGATAGGTATCTTGTTTGAACATGAAACAGGATGACTTTGAATTATTCATATTTCATTTTTCTATATATATATATATTTATCATTCAAAAGTAATTTCTGGAGAAAACAAATTGTTTATTATTATCTGTTTATTAAAACAATAGATTAATGGTATTCTGCATTGTTTATGTTTCAAGGCAATAAAGTAAAATACGGAATGCAAAAGGCTATACAGTAAATATTCGATAAACTCAACATTTGGTTTGGACAATTCAAATAACATTGCAAAAATAATAAATAACATTGCAAAAATAATAAAAAAAGGGATAAAGAAAATTTATAACCCTAATAAGGGTCCTTACATATTTCATTACATCATATAACATTTGTAAAGAATATTTTTATCAGATAATATTTCAATTATTTTTCAGGAAGTGTTGTTGCAGGTGTCGTTGGACTGAAGATGCCAAGATATTGTTTGTTTGGGGACACTGTGAACACCGCTAGCAGAATGGAGTCTACAGGTGAAGGTAAGTACCAAGCAATGATGGGTAGTAAATCAACCTTTGGATGGTTGATGCCTGACTTTTTTTATATATGTATATCTTAATTAAGCCTCCTACAATATACATAAACCACAAATTTGTAGCTCTATTTAAAAATTCATTTGTCAGATTGAATTTGAAATATATGTAAACAATTAGATTGGTCTTCGAACATGTCGTACATAACGTAAACTTATATTCAGTCCTAACAAATTTAATGTCAGTTTATAGCAACTTTTATGTTTATATTAAAATATTTATAAAGATATTACCGAATTTAACATTTCATGTTCATAAAGAGAGGTAATACAAAATATTTTTTATAAAGTCTAAGTCAAATTTTTCATAAGAAATGAATGCATAATTTTTAATGATTACATATAATATGTACAAATATTTGCAGTACATATTTTACATATTCTTCGATGTTTGAAAATTGTTTTATAAGCATAATTATATACATATATATAATTTCACTTAAGTGTGGTATACAAACTCAATTACAACATACAGGATCTTAAACATTACAGCAATGAAAATCCACATATCAGAACCTACTAGAAATTTACTCGAGAAAACAGGAGGATTCCGTACACCATTTAGAGGGGAACAGACAGTTAAGGTGAGAATTTAACAATTGCAAGCGTGGATGTTATAATGACTGGTTTGCTTGAAACATATATCTATATATTTACGGTATCAATAAAAGGCAAATTTTATATTTAAATTTTATTTTTAAGCTACTCCTCCCTAATATGTTAATATAACATATACATTTTGAGCAGAATTTGTTTTACTGTAATCAATAGTTTTGTGATCTCCATTCTTAGCGGTATTTAAAATGAATAGTATTTGCTTTCTGTGTATAAATACATCTATTTGGAATCTTGATTGTGTTTAGAATGTAAATCAGCAATTCCCTGTGTCTAAAATCGACAACGTAGAGCTAAATAAGTTTCTCGAAATCATTACTGATAAAGCAAGGTGTTAATACAAAGACAAAATGTAAATTAGGCAATCAGAATCGGTAAGTGAAGTGTGAACTAGGGAAATAAGACAAGCAAGCATGCATTAAATGTGCAAGTTTTAGAAAATATACGTTCATGTTTATTGTATGATAATGATTTAAGGTTATAGTAGTCCTTTAGTGAGATTTTTGCTGTTTGTTGTGGTTTGGTTTTTATTTGCCATTTTCAAATCGGTTTTAATTTATTGCATGTCAAAGTTTTATATAATGCAATTAAAATTTCTTGTTAAAAGACACATTCTAGGGGAAAATAAAACAAAAATATATGTCTGTTGATGTTATCAGTTTAAATTGTGGCAAAAAACTCTAAAACCATGCTGATAGTTCCTCAATTGTTTTTTATCTTTTTCTTATACTATTTCCCTGATTTTTTTTTGTTCCCAGGGCAAAGGTTTAATGAAAACGTATTGGCTACAATGCCAAAGTGTAGAAGATAAAGAACAGTTACCATGTTCAGAAAACCTTATTGAAACAGAAGACAATACATATAGTAGTTATGGTAACACCAGCATGGAAAATGAACTGATCACACTAAATGACAGCGTTCACGTTACCGGAAGTGCCTTTGAAGAGACTGATCGCATGGTTGATAGTTTGCTACACCCCAAAAGTACAATCATACCCAACCCTCTTGTAATGGAGGCACCACATGCCGACCAGTTGTCTTTAAACAAAATGGACGTATTGGATGCGTGTTTTGGATCGAACGGTTTAAGGAAACCTCAAACGAAAATGGTGATAGGCAACATTGCTGAAAAAGAAAGTGACCTTGAAGATACATTGTTAGAACTTGATAGTGTCAGTACGCATTCACATGATGCATCCCAGCTAAATGTGGCTGGATTGCCTAGAGTTGTTTAGGAGATTATTTACCGTGGTATTTCAACTTTTAATGTGGATGAACTGTCATATTGTTATCATTTGAAATTGATTTTTTTTTTCATATTGAGTCTATCTATTGTTCATATGATGTTGTTATTAATATTTATTGTATGTATTAATGTTAATTGTTACCTTTGTTAAAATTATGCCCTTAAAGATGTAAAGGTATTAAATTATCAACGAGGCTGAGTTCGTTCAATACTTTTAATTGAAATGTCCATTCATTGTATGATCTCAGTATATTACTATATCAATATAAGATCAAGTAGATTTAACCCAAGAGGTTAAAGTCACACCACAACTTCACATCAAGCACTTGTTTAAGCACCATCAATATATAATCAGTATCAAGAAGATATCAAATATGTAGATCAATATGAAGATCAAGCCCTGAAAACAAACAAATATAGCAATACTAAAATCATGTACATACTGAGATCATTAAACACACATCACAATATATACAATTTAAGTCATAGCATGATTATAAACATACATCTCACATCAAATAGCCAATATAACAGTCATTAAACCATTACATCAATTAATTACTTTAATATTTAATTAATGAACATTCCAAGTACAGTTTTCTGTATTATATTCAATATGAAACAATTCAATCCAGTGGCCTATTAAATGAATATAGTTAACTTATAAAATAGTAAAAACAATAATATGACTTGTACAATTATACATACCAATTGTGGATTGGACTCAATGACACTCATACAAAAATCCTCTCAATCTTGTGATGTTACTGCAACATACTGTAATTAAACATGTGCACAAATAGAGAATGACAGTGATTTATATTAATTACTGCAAATAGATATTTACTTTAAATATGCTGCCATTATCAGATGCATTGTAAAAAAAATCAATGTACAAATATACATGAATATCTTATTTTAATAAACTTTAGACACACAGCTCATTTGTAACTCACTTAAAAAAAAGAAACCAATTTTAAAATTTCCCCAAAAACCCTTCCAATCCAAAATTTCCCCAAAAATTCCTTTTTAAAAATTAAAAACCCAAAATTATTATTAGAAACAACTAAAAAAACATGTCTGCCTTCCCAAACCAAAAACTGTGACAACGGGAACAATTAACCGTTCAAAAAATTTAAAAAAGCCAAGGGAAAATTCTAAGATTTTTAATAAAATAAATTTAAACTGATTATTTCCCTTTTTGGTAACCACAAAACCCTTAAACAATGAGGGGACGTCTTTTTCCTAAAAAGCGGGGAAAGTTTAGGTTTTTTGGAAAAAATTTTAAAAAGGTTGGTAAACCCTTTAAATTTTTGGGTTTGATTTAAAAATTGACTGATGTCTAAATTTTTATTAAAAAAAAATATTCATGTTTTTTGGGTAAAATTGATTTGGGTTTAAAAGGGCTCTGAAAAATTGGAAATTTTTCAAGTAAAAACCCTTTTTTGAAAGTAATTATAAAAATAAACTGTCTTTCTTTTATTGTGCACATTTTTTAATTTTAACCAGTATGTTAAAATTTAAACACAAAAGTTTGGAGGGAAATTTTATGATTTGTCATTGAGCCCAAAACCCACAATTTTTTTGGTATAATTTACTTTTTGTTTTTACTTTTTAAAGTTTATTTATTTTCTTTAAAAAGGGGCCAATAGAATTATTTCAAAAGAATTTTAATAAAAAAACGAAACTTGGAATGTTCTTTTAATTTAATATTTAAAGAAATTTAAATTTGGATTTTAATGGTTTAATGACTGTTAAATTGGCTTTTTGATGGGGGAGTTTGTATTTTTATAAATCATGCTATGACTTTAAATTGTATATATTGTGATGTGTGTTAATGATCTCAGTATGTACATGTATTAAGTATTGCTATATTTGTTTGTTTCAGGGCTTGATCTTCATATTGATCTACATATTGATATCTTCTTGATACTGATTATATATTGATTGGTGCTTAAACAAGTGCTTGATGTGAAGTTGTGGTGTGACTTTAACCTCTTGGGTTAAATCTACTTGATCTTTATATTGATATAGTAATATACTGAGATCATACAATGAATGGACATTTCAATTAAAAGTATTGAACGAACTCAGCCTCGTTGATAATTTATACCTTTACATCTTTAAGGGCATAATTTTAACAAAGGTAACATTAATTGTTATATTACACAGAAATTAAATTGTACAAAAAAGTAACTAATTTATAAGTAATTCCTTTTGCACTTATTTGATAAAGCTCAAGTGTGATTCTCGACTTTAAATATAAAATATATGTGTTACAATCTAAAATGGTCACGCGTTTATCAATATCATTTGTGACAAGGAACATGATAAAATATAGAAAGTTAAACTGTCTGAAGTTCAGTTATCTGGTAAGCGTGACAATTATTTCCATTAAAGCTCCTTGCATCAAGCATTTTTAAAGACTTGCAGTTTATATAATGCAATAGTTTTGTTGATATGTTCGGTAGACAAAAAACAAACAATTTTATCACCAACTCTTATTCACAAATTATGATAACATCCCCGCATTCGGTAACAAAAAGGTCTCTTCAAAGTTTTGTGTGTGTAAAAGATCGTTTAAAATGGAGGTTAGTTACGTTTTCGTTGCATTATTTGTTGTTAGCACTTAGGCAGTTGACTTAAAAATGCAACCTAAACCTTGTATACGTAAAGAAATTATGTTGGCCTTGGTTTCCAATAACAAAAATTTTATCACAAAAGTTGTCAATTATTGAAAATGATTTTAGTTTAATGAAGAAACAGTTAGTAAATCAAATGGAGAAAAAATAGAAATCTGGAACAACGTTATGGTGACATGTATCTAAGACCTGCAAATGATTTGTTTCACAATGTGCCCTCAGCTAGAACAGAGGAAGCAAGGAGTACAGAACGATCGTACAATACAATGAGATATAGCTCTGAGTCTTTCTTCAAAAAGGCGGGTTATGATAGAGGTATTGTACAACAAAATTCTACTTAGTATAAACATAATCTATATCAAAATTTAATGTTCTATGAATATAAGTGATTGACGGACCCCAATTAAACAAAATCTCTACATGCATTTATTCTATGTCTTTTACTTTTGTCGAGTCGCAGGACGCAATTCGATTCACAGATATCTTTAAGTGAATTCATCCAGGCATAAATGACATTTTATTTGAAATATAGAAATAAAAATTGCCCTTTCAAAATATAAGAATTTATTTTAATTCTGATTAATCTTATTACAATTTGATGTACTCACATTTTATCTTGTAATTTTTACCCTGTTCACTTTTTCAGTAAAGAGCCAAGAACGTGAACACGTTGCATTTTCAGCTTACGGGGCCCAAAGAAGAAAATTTAGGGGTAAAAAGAAAACTTTTTCAGTTGAGAAATGTTCCCTTAACGGGGGGAAAGGGATTTAAAAAATTACATGGAGTATTTTCCCCAGTCCCAAGATTTGGGTTTCCCTTTCTTTTTATTTTTTTGGGAAGGGATTTTCCCAAAGGTTTTAAATTTCCAATATTTAATTTTAGTTGTTAATAGAAACATTATGGGCAACTGCTATAGCTGAACCTTTCGCATGGATCAAAACATTCAAGGTGGCAATGTTGTGATGGTTCATTTAAATGCCGGTGAATCTGTTTGGGTGTCTTCTTGTAATGCAGGAAGTACTATTGAATGATATAGCATACTAAGAAAAACGAGCACGTTTTCAGGCTTCCTTGTGTATGAATAAAAAAAGTTGTTTTTAAACAATTAAATGTGTAACGGCTATTAAAGCACTGAAACTTTGTATGCTGAGTTTGTTTTAAAAAATGAATCAAACGCTTTTGTTTTTAGTTTTTGAATTAAACATCTTTATAGTATAATTTTTTTAGTCAAATTAGAAACTTCTTAATTAGAAAGTTAGAAATTCCCTTCCTATAATTTGAAAATATTAGTTCATTCTTCCAATTGAATTAAAAAATAAAAACATCGATGCATGTGTATGAAAAATTATGAATGTGATCATTTCTTCAAATATTCTAATTGTTAATACATTACAGTTATTACATACATTGTAGTGTACAAACGAATATTATTGTATTGATTATAATTCCCAAATTTCGTAATATACTGTTCTGCAAAACGTGTTTGTTTGTTGTTTTTATTTGTTTGTTTGTTTGTTTGTTTGTTTGTTTGTTTGTTATAATGATAATAATAAGTTGTCAGTGGAGACATCACGCCAGACTAATAGAATACTGGACACGGTAAAAAATGAGAAATCAATTTTGAAATAAGCGCTCAGATACAACATTTTTCGCACCACATGACAAAAATGGAGATAATTCTGAAAATACTAGACTTATAATTCGACTCAAGTATGATGCAAGTGTTGAAAAAGAAAATAAATTTGAACTTTGAAATATGTCACTGACATACAAAATTGTAAGAGAAAAAATATGGATTCTCTTTCAAGTTTAAGGGGGAACAATTCTACAAATATTAAGCTACAGTTAGGAAGTGGGTGATGATATGAAAAACAAATTTTGAAGAAAATCCCTGGAAAAGGAAATTTAGAGTGAATAAGGAAAATGTAAATTCATCGGCGAGACAAATCTTGAAACATTGGTGCTTGAGTTATAAAAAAACAACCTCCATCCTTCTTCCAGATATTTATTACATATGATTGGCGTAATGAAATGAAACATCTTTTTCAAGTTAAAGATAAATTCCCTCAAGAAATAAAGAAGTAAGAATATACAATTTTTAAGGAAAATTCTATGAATAATGGGGATGATTCTAAAGATATAAGTGCTATATTTATAAATTTACCATATATGATACCGGTAATGATATGAAACACGTATTTAAAGTTTGGTGTGGTATCCTAAAAATAGAGAGGTTACGGTAAAATTGAAAATTCTAAGGGGAAATAATTCTTGAAATATTGGTGTTGGAAACATAGCATGTGGATGATGAAAAAGAACATATATTTGAATGATTTAGATCCCATACGAAATGAAAGGTTATTGTAAAATATTATTTTAAGGAACAATTAATTTTCCTCGTGCATTATTTATTTCAGATGAAATAAAGAAAAACAAAAAAACTATCAATAACTCAATAAAGAATATAAAAATCATATGAATAAGTAATTACTATTCCATTATTTTTCAATAAAGATTCATTTTACCAACATTGCTTAACATGCTTGTTTCTGATTAATCAGTTTTCACGTATTAAATCATGTAATCCTTCGCTTTATTTTGTTGAAATATTGAAAATAACACCGGTAGTTAAGATCTATAGTAATGAAAATATTTTTTTGGTTTTCTCCCCAGGGTATTTTGGGAGTTTATGATCAGGGTTATAAAAATTTGGGTTTGTTTCAATAAATTATCAGGCCAAAATGCCTCAGAAAAAAGTTTTTTTATGCTTTTTTCCCCAAAAAAGCTTTTTTTTTTTGGTGTTTTTAAAAAAAGGGTATCATTGGCCCCCAGACTTGAACAAATACTCTTTTCATGTATTAAGAGCCCTGTTTTTGTTCAAAAGAAATTAAAATTTCAATGTTCTATTTCCCGGGAGGCGAAAACTAAAATTTAGGTAAATTTTAGTTTTTTTGAAATTTTGATTTCCCAACGGGTTTTGAAAAAATTATAAAAAACAAACTTTCGGGGAAATTTTTAAAAAAAAAAGGGAAAAAAAGCTTTCAGGCTTAAAATGTGCAAATTTTTGGGCAAAACGTGATCGTAGTATGTTAAAGTATATGTTTTAAAAATTTGCTCTGGAATTTATCGCATGTCAAAAGTAAATTATTGTTTAGAAAAATTCGTCTTTAATTAGAAATTGAAGGAGCACATAGAATAAAGTATCAAATAAAAACCGTTTTTAAACATGCAGATATTTCATTTATATAATTTTCTCTGTTTTACAGCATTTTTCTGATTAACTGATTTTAGGGCAAACGTTGAATTTAACAAGTTACAAACTTTTTGGTTAGATTGTAAAAGTGTGAACAGTTATCAGCTTCATAAAACCTTATTGAAAACAGAAGTCTGTACGTATAGTTATTATGGTACAACCAGCATGGTAAATGAGCTGATCACACTACATGACAGTGTTCACTACACCGGAAGTGCCTTTGAAGAGTCTCATCGCATGGTTGATAGTTTTCTACACCCCGCAAATACGGGCATTTCCAATGCTTTTGTGGTAGAGGCACCACATGACGAACAACTATATTCAAACACAATAAGGTTAATGCGTGTTTTGAATCCTTTGGTTTAAAGAAACCTCAAAAGAAAATGGTGGTGGGAAACTTTGTTGAAAAAAAAAGAGTGACCATAAAATACGAATTTGACAGTGCCAGTACGCACTCACAAGATGCATCCCACCTAAATTTGGTTGGATTGCCTAGACTTGTTTACGGTTTAGAAGATTATATTATTAAGAGATGTACGGTCATATTATGTTTTGAAATTAAGTTCTTTGAAATTGACTTTCAAAGGTCTATCCAGTGTTCGAACAGGCTCAATCAAACCTAGCCTGCAACATTTTTAATTTTGTCGTTTTGTACGTTCTTTACGGTTTCTTTATTTCTCTCTATTTTCTCTCCTAATCAGCGTTGTTTGTGGCGTGTGGAGGATGTAAAAAGTCCCCCGTATATTTAATCAGGGATGTTATATTTCCGATCCTTTAAGATCGTTCAGCACGGCATTATTGTTGTACTTCTTGTATTTTAGTTCTTTCAATGCGGCTGTTTTCTTGTTGGGTGGTTCCAGTATTCCTCACTTGAATACTGTTGAGTCACCCTTAGGATATGTGGCCTGCTTTCAAAACTTGTCTTTTGACGTATTATCTGTGATATACAGGCTTCATAACCTCTTATCCCCTTTCAAAATTCCATTTTGTTTAGTTTCGCCCATTGTTTTCTCATTTAGTGCAATCGCATTTTTACTTGGGAGCCATATGCCGCTTTTCATGGAATGGCACAAACGTGTCACATTGAAAGTTCCTTGATAACATATCTGCGGATGTTTCACAATTCCAAATTTTACCAGTTCATGTTTAATGTTGAATACTGCTTAAGCCTGTGCTAGGGGCGTGGACAATAACTTGCATTTACCATTTCCCATGTCCATGAACAGGCTCAATCAAACCGAGCATGCAACATTTTCAATTTCGTCGTTTTGTACGTTCTTTAGGGATTCTTTATTTCTCTCTTTTTATATGATGTTGTTATTAATATTGATGTACAGTGTATGTATAAGTATTAATGTTTATATAACTAAGAAATTAAATTGAACGAATATGATAAAAAAATATTATTCCGCTTGGAATCTAACATAGCTCAATAGTTCGATTCTATTTTAACCAAAACAAAAATCATTCTAAAAATGGTGAAATAAATTCAACATAATCATGAAACATTATGAAAAATAGAGGGTTTAACTGAATAGAATTAAATAACCTGGTGATCGTGACAGCTATTTCCGATATAACTCCCTGCATCAAAAATTTTAAAAAGGACATGTTTGTTTAAATAATACAATAGTTTTGTTGATAGGTTCGGTTGACAAAATGCAAACAATTTTATCAACAATTTTTTTTTATTCACAAATCCTATTTATACAAGTTATGATAACATCTCCTCATTCTGTAACAACCTAGCCTTCTGCAAGGTTGCTTTTCTGAAAAAGATCGTTTAAAATGAAGTGTGGTAATACTATCGTTTTAGTTTTGGTAGGAGTAGCAATATTTGGTTGTAGCACTCACCCAATCGGTGTCGACTTTAAAAAGCAGCCTGAACGTTATGTAAGTGAGGAAGTTGTGTTAAACTTAGTATCTGATAACAAAAAGTTATCTCAAAAGGTTTCTGTTCTTGAATCCGATTACAGTTTGCTGAAGGAACAATTGGAAAATCAAATTGAGAATAACAAAAATCTAGAACAACGTCTGGATGGCATGTTTGATAGACTTTGATAGACTTCTGAGTGATTCTCAACATAAAGTTGCGACAGGGACGACAGAAGACGCATATACAGAGCCATTGTTCAATAGAACAAGAAATAACACTGATTTTTTCAACAAAAGGGTAGATAATAAAAGAGGTATTGTTCTTTAGTGGAATATTGAACTATAATTAGTTTTAACATATTCTACACTAAAATAAACTCATGTCAGACATCACTTTTACAAACGCTTTACGGAAATATATTATATAAAAGGCAAATATTATATGGCAATTACTGTTGTACAACATTCGTTTATTTCAATTAAAAAGTATCTTTTCAATGCAGAAGTATTTCTAATACTTTCTATCAATAACAATTCTTTTTATCTTTTGAATTTTGCAGTTATATCGAAACTTATACTTTCGATTGTTTTTATTTGAGCCGAAGAATCTTGTTACATTTACGCTAGAAATAAGTTTCCCATTCTATTGTTTCAGTTAAGAGACAAGAGGGAGACAACATTGCATTTTCAGCTTACGTGGACCATGAAGTAAGATTTATGGGTAAAGACCAAACTGTTCAGTTTGAGAATGTTCCCCTTAACGAGGGGAATGGATTTAACAATTACACTGGAGTATTTACAGTCCCAAGAAGTGGAGTTTACATGCTTATATTCTTTGTCGAAGATTTCCACGATTTTCAGTCAATATTTCATTTAGTCGTGAATAAAAATATTGTGTCAAGTGCAATTGCTGATCCGATACCCGAAGGGCAAAACATTCAAGGTGGCAATGTTGTGTTGGTTCATTTAAATGCCGGTGAATCTGTCTGGGTGTCTGCTGCTGTTGCGGGTGATGATATTGAAGGATATAGCACGCTTAGAACGAGCACGTTTTCAGGCTACCTGGTGTATGAATAACAAAAACAATAGTTCCTTGTGAATTATGTACGTTTTTGGTCTTTTATTATGTTTTCGAATTCAACGTTGTTTCAAAGGAAATCAAATTTTGTTTTTAAATGTTTTTAAAATTTAACATTTTAACATTTTGAAATTAGAAAACCATAAACTGTTATATATTGTAATATTTGCTAATACGTGAACGTCTGATTAAATAAAAATATAGAAAATCCGAATCCTTAAAGAAAGTCCAACACGGCAAACAGTTAAAATGTTGAGGGCCCTTACACCGGCTTAAGAAGAAAAAGAATCTTTATTCTTTCATTAATCTCAAAATACACAATTGACAAAGCCATTATAGCTCATAGTCACATTTTTGTATATACACTTATGAATTAATATTGGCATTAGTCAACAATAAATCTGTCAATAAATTAAACAAAATATATGTAAAAATAGTAAGATGCAAGAAACAGGATACACTACTCTTACATTAAATGCTTTTGATTCGTAATTACTTCCCTTACATTTCAAAATATTTAATACTGAGACTCGTTTCTAAAAATGTGACTGTTTTAAAAATATCTGTTTTTGTTCATAAAAATATCTGTTTTTGTTCATAATTGAATCTTAAAGATCCTGTATGTTTTGTGATTGATATTGTCACTGTGTGTATACCACACTTGCAAAATCTAATATATTTATATAATTATGCAAATAAAACCATTTTCGAATATCGAAGAATATGTAAAATCGATACTGTAAATATATGTGCACATTCTATTTAATCAGAAAATTATATGCATTCATTTCTTATTGGAAAATTTGACTTAGAATTTATAAAAAATAAATTTCTAATTACCTTCCTTTATTTACATGAAATGTTAAATTTGGTAATATCTTTGTAAATAATGCTTATTGGAACTTACAATATTGACAAATCTTAATTTAAGCATCATATTTATGAAATAAAACCATGAAAAAATTGTGTTACAGGATCTTTAAATGTTAATTAAGATTGATATGAAATATAAACTAAGTATAAAACATTAATTTGCATCTTCTTATTTTTTGTATTATTTGTATAAACAGAATTCAAAATTTAACATGAACTGGTAAAATTACAACTGCAGATGTGTTCATATGGCGCCGGTTACCATGTAACCTTCAATGTGATACGTTTCTAAAAGCGACAAATGGTCCTCAAATACAAAAATGCGTGTGCCCTAAACAATAAAAACAAAGGGTGAAACTAAATAAACTGGAATTTTAAAGGGGATCGGAGGTTATGAAGCCTGCATATCACACATAAGCTGTCAAATGACAAAATTAAAAGCAGGCCACATATCCTAAGGGTGATTAAATAGTATTCAAGTGAGGAATACTGGAACCACCCGACTTGAAAAACACCAAATTGGAAAGAACTAACATTACATTACCAAAGTAAACACTCACAACAATAATGTCGTGCTGAGCGATCTGTATAGGATATCGACCGAGTACGAGGTCTTTCTGTTTAGGAAAGACCTGGTCACGAATTTCATGTGACACCGAGAGCGCGTAGCGCTCGAGGTGTTTCATGAAATTCGTGACTAGCGCTCGAAGTGTTTCATGAAATTCGTGACCAGGTCTTTCCTAAACAGAAAGATCGATGTACGAGGCCGATATCCAACTTACACACCGTAAAACTATATTTACTTGAGCAATGGCTGATTCGGAACATTTGATGTAATGCACAAATATTATTTTTAACACAACGCATATACAGTATAGGTAAGCTTTTATCAACGTTTTGCATTTAACTTTGCTTTTCCCTTTATAATAATAATCAAAAAAGCTAAATGTGTAATTTGTCAATAATAAAGTGAATAGGTCTGTATTCGAAAGTATGTTGAAGTATTAATAATTATTTTGATAGAATTTCGTATCAGACAATGGAGATTCTAAGACATTTGTCCCCGGGCAGTTGCCCGCCGGACGTTTGCCTTCTTTTTTTTGCTGTTGTGACTTGTCACTTGTCATCTCGTGTATAGATTTTTGTATGTCAATGGATACATAATAGTTCATTTATTTATGGGTGCTATTTTGACTTTCACAAATTTGCACGACATTTTGTGTATTTAAGCACAATGAAATTTCGACAATAGGCGATGAATTTTGGTAGCTATCAATTCAACAATAAAATGTTTTAACATTTTTAAAACAGGGAAGGGGACAAATGTCCGTCCCTTCCAAATATATTAGGGGCAAATAACCGCCACTGGAAAAAGGGGGCAAACTTCCGAGGGGGCGGTTGTCCGAAGAGCAATGTCCAGATACCCAACAGACCACGAAAGACTTACATATGTATATTGTTGGCAAGTGTAATATACATGAACCGAAACTATATTTCATATAGCAGATTATAAAGTGTTCTAGATTAAAATATGATCGTTCATCATAATTTTTTATACTAAATCACTTATATCTTTATTAACATTTTAAAATCGTAATGATTATGCTGTGATTACTGCTATATAGTTTCATAGATATGAACTTGAAACGTCCATTTTGTTATATTGTGAACTTAATGATAAAAGAACAACTTAGATTACTATTTCGTTGAAAAATGACGCGATTAAATATATGTTAAATGTGTCCTAACTTTGATATGATATCCAATAATTTTATTCAAAGATTTAATATAGGGATGCAGGAATAATTGTTTAGTGCATTCAATAAACATTATCTTGTTTAAAATATGTATCCGGATTTTGTAAGACAGGAACATTATGACAATCATTTACATTTTATTTCAATTTTTAATTTTTGATTGCATTTCATGTTTTCTTTGTCTGCCCTTTGGCAGGTCATTTTTTTTCACGTGTATTTCATGATCGGGTCTGTCTGACTAGAACAGACATGTGCACGTGCAAAAGATAGACCCCATAACGGACTTTCTTTTGTTTAAGCAGGTCTATCCGAAAAATATAGACCTTTCACAAACAATAGAGGAGGTATGTAATCAAGGATCGAAAATAACCCGAGCCGTTATGTGAGGTTAATATAGCAAACAACCGTTTATAAAAAAAATATTTTCTCACCTTACTTTATACACTTTACAAAATGACCTGAAGGATGCTAGATCCTGTTAATGATGCATAGTAGCATACAAAGGGAGAATATGGAAAATCTCAATATTCGGTAAAATTACAGTTATCAACATTTCTCAATTAAATTTAGTAACATCTAATAAATTATTTTTACAAAATTAATGTTGAAGAACAATTATATTAATTAACGTAAAAAAATCAATGAACTTAGCGGGCGCATTATCTATTTATCGTCGAACTACCGGTTTAAGTAGACTTGGTTGATATATATAGTGTTTTTATCATCAATATTTTGTTGTAATTAAATTATGACGCAAATGACATTTATGAATATAATACATGTATATTGTACTAAGTATGTTTATATATTTTACTTATTTTGATAATGAATTGTTCGTTATTTGATTAATTAGTTTTGAGGAAAAAAATATTTAAAAAAAAACAATATCAATTGTTTGCTCACAGAGAAAGTCTGCTAACCATAAGACATGTAATTGAAAATAAAGGTGTTGAAATGTTTTACTCGGCGTGCGTGTTTGCCTAAAACTAACAGTTAGATAAGAAAGTGATGCATGTCTTCAAGTTGTATCAATATAAAAAAAGTTAACAATTTACGAGTCTGTCATTAGCAATCATGGCTGATACCGTATTTACATGTATTAACTGCTCTGAGATGGTCACCATGCGGCAGCATGCTGTTTGCTGTGACGGATGCGCGAACTGGCAGCACAGGAAATGCAAGAAAGGTAAATAACTTTCATTTTACGTTAAATACTTTATGAAAAATGAACTTAATTTTTCAACTTTTATATTAATTTTAATTACCATAAATATATTTATCTAAAATTTATTGAATATTCCTATTTAATGTTGTAATCTATTGTCGTACTAATTGAAGAACTTTCATAAACTCATAGATAACATTTGTTTCTTTTTTGTTGTTTCAGGCGGAAGTACGGGTTTGACGACAGACCAGTACAGACAGATGGTGAAAGGAACATTAGAATTAGAATGGTTCTGTGCCAGATGTATCAACGAAGCGCCCTACGAGACTATAGCAGCTTCTCCATTACAATATGAACTGATGAACACCACGTATGTTGTCCGAGACGATGAAGTTCACCAGATACAAGAAGACGATTTAACACTCCTAGAAGACAAATCTTTTCATATAAACAATCGAGACCACAACCGACAGCAGGCCCCGCCTGACGCTAGATTACCTTCAGATGTTCCGCTAGATGATGTGATCCTACAAGACGGACCATTGACATACGAACTCGTAGATGGTGGTTCTAAGCGTGGAGGACAGAAACTAGTCAGTAGCGATGGTTACACTTACACTCGTATGGTATGTCGTTAATTTCTTATTTTTTTCTATTTATAGTCTTCAATTCCATAGAAACGATCGTATTTTGATTTTGCTATGTTATTCTGTTATAAAGATATAATATTATATAACTCTAATTGTGTTTTATTATGTTATTTCAGAAGACTAAGGGAGAGCGAATTTACTGGAGATGTAGTGTTAGAAATAACAACATGAAGTGTGGTGCCACCGTAAAACAATATAAAGACCTGTTTACTCCTGGCATTAATGGACATCAACATCAACCTGAGCCCGGTGCATTAAAGAAGACAAAGATAGCAGCTAAGGTACGTTATCATAATCGCTTTATTACTAAATTGATATATTAATGCCAATTTTATAGAATTATGTATTCGGAGTGTCATAATATCACAAGTTTTGATCTATATATAGCTTACATATTGTGTAATTTTCATCCTCCGTCTTTCAGGTGAAGGAGATAGCCAGACAGGACATTTTCAGACCGGCTGCCGAAATAGTGGATACAGTGATGACACAGATGACGACAAACGGGGACATATTACACAAACCAGAACTTCTCATTAGGGCAGCAAATCTACACCGACAGAAACTAAGACCAAAATTACAGTTGTCATAATCATCAAAAAATATAATTGATTAATAATGATCATAATTATTTATATTAGTATAACGTATTTAAAGACAGACATTTCATCATTGTGCTTGATAAGACTATTTCCCAACTACTGCTACTATGTAGCCACATTTCAGGAATAGGATCCAACAACTCCAACGAAGGGATTTTATATAGAGTGATAATAAAAACAGATTGTTGTTTATTACGTTGAAATCATGGTGTTTTCTCTTTAATACTATGCATGTGTTATTTTATTATTTATTTATACATTTTAGGAACATAGCACAAGATACAAAATATAAAATCATACAGTTAAGAGATAACATAAATAAATCATATATATAAAATGAGATCATAAAACAGCATAAAAGAGCACACTTTTGTCATAAAAAATAAAATAAGAGGTACTATGCACCTATGGATAGCCCATTAAGCTAAATGCTTATTTCCAATGGGGTCCATAGAAATAAAAAAACTAACATAATTTTAACCCTTTCCCCCCCTAAAAAAACAAAACAAGATAAAAAAATATAAAAATATAAACTAACTAACTTTGGTCAAAATTTTGGTTGAAAAAGGAAATATATTTATAAAAGTATGCCCTTTTTAAAATAAGCCTAGTATTACTATCACAGAAATATTTGATCACAGTGCCTAACACATTAGTTGTACACATATATATCTTCTGAAAGACTTTTATAGCTTTCTAGTAGGTACTTTTTAACAGATTTTTTGTATTGCACAAAATTATTAATGGATTTTATATATTCTGGCAGATCATTCCAGTCTTTAATTCCATTATAATAACAGGTCTGTTTAATTACAGAATTACACTGGGGGACAATAAAATTAAAATTGCTTGATCTAGTATTGTAAAATCTTGCATCAGCACAACATCTAAAGTCAGCTCTAAGGTATGATGGACTCTTTTTGTAAAAAATCTTATACATATGATTTAGTCTTAACTGTTTGACTCTGTTTTCTACATTTAACCAATTTAATTTTTCAAACTCATACACTGTTACAGAAGTTCTGGGCGGTAAGTTTTGGACAAATCTTAATACCTTATTCTGAGTAATTTGTAACTTTCTTTTCAAATGTTTTGATAAACCTTCATACCAAGAGGAACAAGAGTAGTCAAAATGACACTGAATCAGGGCTGAACATAAAAGCTGTTTTGTTTTAGTATCTAAAAGTCTGCTCTGCCTGTATAAAAACTTGAGCTTGGCATTCACTTTAGAAATAACGTTATTAACAATAGTTTCCCCAGATAAATCACTATTAATATAAAGACCAAGATACTTGACTAAATTAGTACCCTTTATGCTATGACCATTACATGTAACAGTAAATTGTTCTTGCTTTTGTAATTTTCTTTTGGGGCCAAATAGCATACATTCTGTTTTACCAAGGTGGAGTGACAGCTTATTGTCTACGAGCCATTCTGAACAGCTTTCTAGGGCTGTCCCAAGTTTTTCTGAGATGAAATTCGGGTCTTTATGTGAGAATAAAATAGTGCTGTCATCTGCATATATTTGTATATAGAGAGATTAAGAAAGTATTTAAAAAAGATGTGTTGTTTATAACGTACAAAATCATGGTACATGTACATTTTTTTCTTATTTTTCATGTATTTTTATGTATTGTTTTTGTGTATACATGTATACTTATTATTATACAATACATTGCTAATTCTTATCTTTACAGGCTTTATTTTTTATGTATATGTGTCGATTTTATTTCGAACATTGTTCCTTCTTTTTCAGCTTTTACCATTTGTGAATATAGTTTGACATATCAATGAAAAAAATGTTTTCATATAAGATAAGATAAGATAAGATAATCTTTATTTATAGTCGGTTTCATAAAAACATATAAACATTAGCTATATAAGCTATTTTCCGACATAACTGACTATCCTATAACAATTCAAACAAACAATCTGTATAAAAGAAAATATATAAAAGTATTAAGAAGATCAATGTACATTTATGAAAGACTCTGTAAAACAGTTAAGATTTATCAGCACATATAAATATGGGTAAGAAAGCATTAAATGATTAAAAGCAAATATAACACTACAATCAAACATCACATAAAATTACATCATACAAGAATTCTATTTATGTACACAACCCTAAAATCAGAAATAGAATTAGAATTTTTTTTTAAAATTTAAATTATTAAAATAAATTAAAGTAAATGATTCAATTTTATTTTATTTTAATATAGTTGACCTAATTTCCAGTATGATGCTTGAGCATATATCAGTAGCAGCATCTGATATATACTCAGTCATGAAAATATGGGTGTAACTAAAACATGTACAAGTATCATAATAAAACTTGAAATGTTTGTGTAACAGTTGCTGATCTGAGCTGGCCTAGATAAATTCATGGTCTAAGTTAATTAATTAATTAATTAGAACCAAAATAAAATAAAAGTAGAAATAAAAGGTAAAACATAGACTTTAAGAAGCTATTTTCCCCTAATGGGATATATGAAAAGCTGATCAGCAGCTGTCACATATACAAACACTAACATGCACTGACAAATGACTATACAAATATACATACAAGAAGCACATGAAAAGCATTACATGATAAAAACAGGTCTTATACAGCATTACTTTATGGCAGACAAGAATACAGAAAAACAAAAGAAGAAACAAAAGAAGCATGCAGATTCACTTGATTCACATATCAAAACTCAACAAAAAACATAACACTTAGGCACACATAGAACATTTGCATTTGAAGCCACTCCAGGTTTGGATAAGCCTCCGAAATTCACCGTCATCAGTTTCTGTTCTTAGTTCATTCGGGAGGCTATTCCAGACCTGGGTGGCCTCATAGCGAAAGCTTTTCTTACCATAAGTCTCTGTATTTACTCTAGGAACTTCAAGTGTGTTGTTATTTCTAAAAGAGTAATAAGAGGAATTTACTGTAATAAGTTCTTGAACATATTTTGGTGATATATTTTGTAAACATTTAAAAACTTCAATAGCTAATTGTCTTAATCTACTGATATGTAAAGTTGGCATATTAGCTTTACTTAAAAGAAATTCATATGATGAGCTGTAATCCTCAAAAACTATCTTCAATGATCTATGTTGCAATTTTTCAAGTGTTTTCAGTATTCTGTTTACTACAAAAATGTCAAACTAAAGGACAATAGTTAAAATTTGAACGAACAAAGGATTTGTAAATTAACAATCTAGTATTTTGATTTAAGAATTTACTCAGTCTAGAAAGAATGTTGATTTGTTTTGCAGCCTTTTTGCAAATGTTAGATACATGTAAGTCAAAATTTAGTAAAGAGTCTATTTCAACACAAAGAAGTTTCACGCTTTTTTCACAGACAATTTCTGTACTATTAAGACAAAAAGAGGTTAATTTACTGGTTGTTTTTGCAGGTTTCGCTCAATGTGTATATTTGCGTAAATCATTATTCTTCAGGTTTTACTTTAGTATATATATACACATTTTTATAATGTCGTTTGTTTACTGAGATCTTTTGTATTGCTTTTATGTAAATATACATGAAGTTAATATACTAGCGAAGAAAATAAATGATAGAAAGGTTTAATTTAAATTTTCAATATCTTATCTTTAATTGCATGAATATGTGTGATGCACCACACATTGAGACCTACGATAACTGACATGCCCATTATACAAATTCATCGTGGAAACCCCATCATATTGTAGTAATCTTTATATTTCCATTATAATATTAAAAGTAACAGCATAAAAGTACAATGCCACTCCAGCATGAACTTATAAGAGATGAAAAATCTATTAAACAATATAAGAATATTTATATACATATAAATGCATAAATCATTATAACAACAAGTGATAAAATTGATACATAGACTAATAAAATTAAACATCAGTTCGCCCGAAACCACTTTAGTGCCGTGCAACCATTATCAATTGTCACGAATTGTAAAATAAACGATGAATCAAAATGGCTGAAAGAAAAGAAGGACTACCAAAATTACGCGAAATACTTCGTCGTCAGCGGGATGACACGGATATAATGGTAATAAAACGTTGACTTGAATATCATTTGTATTATTTATATTCCCTTTACTTTGTATATTGATTGCATTGGCAGACACACTGACTTTTCCATTTGAATTGTAACAGTAATCGGGTGACGATCATTCGGGTAAATTTATAATTTAGCCCTCATAGGATTTCTAAGAAGGCACAAAGGACCTCTTGATAACAGTGTACAGTACTATAATATCTTTTTCGTTCACACCCCCTAGCACCGGCTTGAGCGGTACTCAATTCTCAACACTTTATAGTGTTGGCATCAATGATCCCAAAGGACCAGAAAATATAACAACACTGAAGTGAAGTACGGGGCAACTTTTTACGGCTGCCACACGGCACTTGACACCTGCTGTTGTGAAGTACAAAATAAAACATTTTGAATAAATTGTAACAACCAAATTAGGTTCATACATTTACAAGTACCCAACTTTTAGTTTAAATTTTACAGCCCTAGAGCTCTAGTGTTAAAAGATTTTAATAATTTATATGTTGCGGATTACATATATGGTCGTTCTTCTGCTATTAGCATTGTCATGTGACTTTACCAGCAGTGAACCGCACCAGGATAAAGTGGTGAAAGATGTAAATAAAAGCACCGGTGACCAAAATCGGAGATAGCTTGAAAATTTTTCAGAAATTCTAAAGAAATATTTTTTACGCCGAGCATTAATATGCGCCGAGCATTGGTCCAACCACTCTAGTCTCAATATTTCAACTGCAAGACCGAACAATTTTATAATCTGATATTTCATAGATGTCTTTATTTAGGGTGACCATCGTCTTAGTATATGATAAAAAGCGCACAATTTGTTGGGCTAAACGTAAACCTGAAATATCTTCAGTGACCGGGTTTTAAACTCCAGACCTCTTAATTACAAGGCAGACACTCCTGTATGGGATATGCTAGATACTGTCTTTCTGTCTGTAATTGATTGCTAGTCAATTCTGCAGGCATGCAAATGAAACACTAACTTATAAGCATGGTCATTATATTTTTTACCCAAGCACCATTATTCTTAACCTGAAAAGTCCTCAGGTGGTGACATAGTTTGGAACTCCTGACCTCTGGATTACAAGGCGGGCACTCAACCATGTCGCTGAAGGGTTAACATAATGGCAAGGCTGTTAGAAATGGCCTACACCTGTAATCACTTCAGTGTTTACCTAATTTGTTTATGTTTCCGCATCACAGCTTTGAATGTGAGGTTATCAACAGTTGAATACCTGACTGATAAACAAGTCAAACGAAATAGCCGATTATAGTTATTAAGCTGTACATTTTTTTTCACACCTTCTGCATAGATCTGCAAGTGTCCTTATTACCACAACATTCTTTTATTTCGTCAAGGTTACATTTGTAAAAACAGACATTACAATAAATGAATAATCATGTAAATAAATACATATGTGGGTATCAAATAGAAAACAGCTACATGTTTTACATCGAGTATGATAGATAATCAAGTGAAAAATAGTACATGTATACAACTAGAAACTTTTTTTTTTAACCTTAAAACTTAAAAATAAAGAGTGGGGACAGCGATATTTAATTGTCCATTTTCTATAGAAGATAAAGTGAAGCACATGGAAAGCTGTTACTATGGAATGTCATTGACTGTCTGAGTGAAATACTATTTCATAAAGTAAAACTAATGTGTAAATTTGTTCATGATGTACGCTATAAATAAGATTTTTTAGGATTTCGCTGTTTCTACTTTCAAGAAGTTCTTGGTATTTAATGACATTTATATAACTGTGAAAATAATTTGGAATAAGCAGCTTTCTTTTTACCGTGAAATAGTTACAAATCATCAAATAATGGAATTCAGGGCACTAGACAACTTTTGGGGACAGGTACCCATACCCTCAGGAAGGGGAATTTTGCGTCATTTTAAGACAAAAAGGGGAATTTTAAGCCATATATGAGTTCTTTAAATTTAGGTTTTACATTAACTCTTGGCACAATTTCCTACCATTACTTACAATAGCTAGTATATTTATTACTATAGACCTAACAAATAAAACATATAACATGAAGTTTTTCTTGAGATAGGCTATCTCATTATTTTCTTTATTGCTTTGTTATTGCACTTGACTGACTCAGACATCAATCAGAGCTCCAGATATATGTTTTTGGCCAAGGGTTTTATACCCCTCAAATTCTAAAGTGAGGGGTAAAATGCAAATTCTGAAAAACGTTAGGGTTATATTAAAATCTATAACAAGCATAATGCATTTTTGTTTATGATAAAAAATTAAAACTGACAGTTGTTTTTGTTGTTGTTGTTTTTTTTTAAAAAAAACTTGTACAACAAAAATTGAATCAGTGCAACAAGCTCTGGAAAGGCAGACTTTCCTAGGCAAGGGTATGTTGTACCCAAGTTATGGAAACACAGGAAAATTATTTCCTATTATAGTCATTAATTGTTTCTTTATTTTTAAAGTTAAAAATGTATCACACTATTTTGCAATCTGCACTGGTCAGTTCTTAATCTATTTTCTACATATTTCTGCCTGTTCTTTAGATTGAAACAATTATAACAATGAGAATTGAAATAAGAATTAAATAAAAATAAACAAGAAAGTTACATGCCTTTTCTAAAAAAGGGTTTGGTTTCAGAGAAAATTGTCTGTAACTGTAAAACTGGGTACGAAAATATTTGAGTACAAAACTGCAAGAGAAATACGTTTTTTCCACAGGCAATCGGTGCGTGGCTAGGATAGTATACATGTACATGACCACGCCCACTTATTTTTTTATAAATATTTTTTTTTCTTATTAATAAAATATTTTTTTATTCAAAATGTTTTTAAAATATCTTATTTTCAATAAATCAACAAAGAAAATTTGTTTTTAAAAAAATTCATCCATATATACTATATTAATAGTATATTATGGATGAATTTTTTTAAAAACAAATTTTCTTTGTTGATTTATTGAAAATAAGATATTTTAAAAAAAATTTGAATAAAAAAATATTTTATTAATAAGAAAAAAAAATATTTATAAAAAAATAAGTGGGCGTGGTCATGTACATGTATACTATCCTAGCCACGCACCGATTGCCTGTGGTTTTTTCCAACATCAACTGACAGAAATTAAAATAGTTTTGTTTATTAACAAGCAAAATATGACAATGTATGTCTATTCTCTAAACAAATTGAATATAAGGTAAACTCCTACAATGATTATCTGCCACATTAATTTTGTCAATAATTTTAGGAGAGTTACCTCCCTTCTACATTTCTCACTTCCTGCTACTTTCGGTTTTAACATACAGCGTTGTTGACAACTGTAATTTAGTTTTCAATCCATTGAAAGTTAAACAGAAATATATTTTATTTTTATGAAATGAAAACATCACTTTTTTTGTTAGCCTAAATATCAAACATTTATTCTACAATTTTTTTTTAGGGGAATTTTCTGCTGAAATAGGGGAAAAAAGCACATGATTTTGAGAGGGGAATGGGGCCGATATTCGGCCCCAAAAATGGCCAAACGAGTGCCCTGGAATTCATCACCTAAGTCATTTTGCATAGTGGACACTTTCTATTAAAATACAGGATATGACAATGATACAGAAAAAAAATGCTAAAAATGTATTAATTGTTCAGAAAAAAAAATTCTTTTGACATGACTTTATCATAACAATCTAGCTATGAAAAACATTATATTAAAATCGCAAATAAATAAATCAATACTGAATAGTACTTTTCGCATACGAAAGTCCTTTTTACATATACTAGGCATACTGATAAGTAGCATGTTAGGCCTTTCTACACACATAATTCTTTATTGTTTATAATATAACTGAATTCAATTTTTAAAAAAAAAATACTTATAACATTATTTAAACATTTTCTGTAACAGAAAAAGAAAGGTAAAGTGATAAAAAAGATATGAAATTAATTTTTAAGTTACAGTTTTTTTATACCATTAAAAACTTTGTTTTTGGAAGGGGCAAATGTCTGCCCTTCCAAAATAGAGGACGTGACAAATGTCTGTCCTGAGACAAAAAAGGGGAGGCAATGGTCAGAGGGGGCAAATGTCTATTTTCCTTACATCCCTCTTATTTATTATAAGACTGCTTTATGTTTATCTTATTTCTTTATAGAGTACTGGTGATGAAAATGACCTAGAATTTCAGTATGATGATGCAGACAACTTACAGGCAGAAATTGCAGGTGATAATATTTATATATATATTTGCATGTATAAGCCAGTGAAATATATTGGCATTGTTAATTTAAAAGAAATTCTAGAGTTGTTATTTCTTGTGCATTGATAACATTATTTTGTAATGTGCTCCATGCAATCTTGAAAATTTGTAGTTTTATGTAGTTGACATGCCTAAATTTGAATTTGGAATGGTTCTTTGATATTATAAAAAGGTACAGAAATTTTGCAGATCTAATGACAATATAACATTATTATGATCAGCTTTGCATCACATTATAGTGATCTTTAAACAATAGAAAATATAAACTACTCTAATGTTTGTTTGAAAGATTTATTTTTAATTTGTAATGTTTTGTTTTTTTGGATACAAAATAAAATGCTTTGTAAGTAAGTAAGTAAGTAAGTAAGTAAATTGTTTATTATAGTGACATTGTGCATTTATCATTTCACATACATTATAAGAATACATACAAAAACACCCGGCCCATTGGACCTATAAGTCACCTTATTATATATATACAAATATACAAACTGTGAACAGTACATATCTTTTAAAATGGAACATTTAAATGAGATTAAAGTTGCTGCTCGATCTGTAAATTACAGTATCACATTTCAGAAAATGGACAGTCAATATATCATCATGTTGTCACTATTGGCTAGTTAAAAGTCAATTACCTATTATACAGAAAATTTCTCCTTATCACATATGCTTTAACAAGAAATTTTATTATTTTGTTCTGGTGATTTTTAATGAGAAATACTAATTTTTCCGTGTTTGTCATGTTGTTATATACATCATTTATAATAATGTCATTAAATGTCATTGATCTTATATCATTATATACTGGGCACACAATTAAGAAATGAGTTTCATCTTCAATTAATCCTGATTGACACAAAGTACATTGTCTTTGATTTGGCGCTTCTCCTATATATCTTCCGGTTTCTACACGTAAGGGCAGAATACCACACCGAAATTGTGCATAGATTGAGCGTTCATTTCTTTTAAGATTTAGTGACAAATAGCTTTCACCTGAAAATTGAGTCTTAAATGTTTTGTAAGTCCGTAATTTAGGGACCTTTTCATAGTCGATTGTCCATATATTTGCATAATACTCGAAAATTTTCAATTTAATATAATCCATATTCACTGTTAATTTATTGTCAAAGTGGTTGGATAAGTCTAACTTAGACATAATGGTTTTCACTTCACTGCACCAGTTACTTGTTGCGCTTGATTTATCGTAATCCATATTAAACACTCGTTTAGTAATCCTATCATCACTTAATTTAACCAGTCTATTCCAATATCGGACAATACAAATCCATCTTCTATAGGCGCACGGTATCCAACCTGTTTCTCCCAACAATGCTAATTTAGGTGTAAATCTGTGAACGCCTAAGAAGTAACGAATCGCACGATGTTGTACATTTTCCGCCGCTTGAAAATGTTTGAAACCCCAAACGGAAGCACAGTAATCCAAAATAGGAACAACACATGAGTAATATAATTTTTCAAATGTTTTAAATCCACAATGTTTTAGCCCATGTACTTTTGAAAATAAGGCTGCCAAGAGCCCGTCCTGCGCTTTTTGAAAGTGTTTCACAATTGTAGTTAAAGTCGTGTTTTTCATGGAAAATAACACCAAGGTATTTATATTTGTCGACTGTTTCAAGATAATTAGCTCCGATTTTGAATTGGTAATCACTGCGGTTCGTTCGTCCTTTCCGGAAGTGTATTATCTTGGATTTTTCGCAGTTAATCAAGACTCTCCAACGCTTGCACCAGTCGTGCATTGTATTCAACATTGTAGATTTTCTTCAGAATTGGCAATCAAGACTATATCGTCTGCATATAGTAGCATTGATATTGATGTGTCCCCCACCTTGACTCCTAGGTCAAGGTCGTTGATTTCCCTAACTAAGTCATTAACGAAGATAGCAAAAATTGTCGGCGATAAATTGCATCCTTGTTTCACACCTTTTGAACAAATGAACCAGTCTGTGAGTTTATTATTAATGCGCACACATGACGTTGAATAATTGTATATACTTTTCACTGAATTATATATTTTACCATCAATTTTATTCAAGAGTAGTTTATATAGCATCATGTCTCTATCGATGAAATCAAAGCATTTCTTGAGGTCAATAAACGCTGTCATTACGGACGTATTATTCCTTATAATGCTATCTAATGTAAAGATGTGATCCTCACATGAGCGATCTGCTCTAAATCCATTCTGTTCGTCGGCTAAAATATCGTGTTCGTTCAAATAAACCGTAATTCTTTTGTTAATGAATGCACTATATAACTTGCTTATGCATGATAGTAGACTGACCCCTCTATAATTCATAGGTAATCGTGCGTCAGTATTTGAGTCTTTCAAAATGGGACAGATTATTGATTTTCTCCAGGGTGAAGGTATAATTCCAGTATCCATAATTAGTTGAAATAATTGCTGCAAGACCGCTATTATGCTAGGAAATTTAATTACAGCGTACGGGATCATATCATAACCGGATGCAGATCTTGATTTCGCTTGCATGACTATGCTAGAAAGTTCTTGAATTGTAATATTTCCATTCAGTTGTGTATTGGGCGTGTATAAAGGGTCCAACATGTCTAACTCGATTAATTGTTTATGAATCTTTTTCTGACTGAAAAACTCTTCGTCAAAATCACTGCCATTTTCACCATTGTATAAGTTTTCAAAGTCACATTTCCATTTTTCAAAGACTCGATTTTCGTCGGTAATGATATCTCCATTTTCAACTATCTCAACAGGTATATTTTTATTCTGCCTAGGTCCTAATCTCCGGATTTTATCCCAAAAGTCGTTAGGATTATTTGAAGATAAACCTTCTATTTCTAGGGCGATTGATTCACGATACTGTCTTTCTGCTCGTCTTAGTGTTTTATCAAACATATTTCTTGCATCAATATATTCCATACGTAAAGCGTTACGAACGGATTTTATGTCTTTACATTTCAAGTATGCCCGTTCTTTAACATTCATATTGTTCCAAAGCTGTGACAAATTTTCATCCCAGAACGGTTTTTTGTTCTTGAATCGTTTGCTTGTGTGCTTTGATGAACTGTATTTTGGCACTGTATTATTCATTTCGGTTATAAGTGTCTCACAAAATGTGTCGTAAATTGTGTCAATATCACACTGTGTTTCTCGGCAAAGTTCAATTCTAGTAATTATATTTATCAATGCTGTCCTAGAAAGTTCGCTCCCCATAAAGTCTGAAGGTATCCTATTTAAGTTGAAACGTGTCGGATTAATAATATTCTTGCTACTAACGTTATCACAGTCTTTCATTGTAACGGTATTTGACACGCTAAACTCCGTTAATATCATACAATGATCTGGTAACCGCGACCTTTCACCTATTAATCCGTGTAATCCATATTTGTCAACAATAGACTGAACAGTTTGCACACTAAAATTCGAGCATATCTTCAAAACATCGTGTGGTACACATATGTAGTCAACAACAGATTTTCCTTTTCGTGATATGGATGTGAAATTGTCGTCTGCAGCGTCGAATCTACCATTAAGAACACAAAATTTTGCTTCACATAAGAATTCTAAAAATTCATGACCATGTTGATTTACTGTAAAGTCTAGAACTTGTCTGTTTGGTAAAGAGTCTACTCCACTGATACTATCCGGAAGTGAACCTATCCGTGAATTATAATCACCCACTAAGAATAATGCGTCACTGTCACTATTTAAATATACCTGTGCTAACAAATGCGAATAAAATCCCTCGGAATCTCTTCCTCTGGTCGAATTCTCTGGCGGCAGATAACATGCGCATACGACAAATTCATAATCACACGATTTGTGAACAAATTTAACAACTAAAATTCCGTCATACGATTTATCTATAACATTTAATTCGTACTCTTCACAAATAGAGTTTTTCACTAGTAAACCTACTCCCCCAGAAGCTTTAGGAGCGTTCCTGTGTAATTCCGTTCTATTATGTCCAAACCATGTATAATTCAATACATTTATTCCATCGTTCCCCTTTAAGTGCGTTTCGCAAATTGACACAATGTCAGCATTAACGGATTCAATTATACCCGACCTAAGCTCACTATTATCATTTGTCCAACCACACACATTTATGTGTGCCAATTTAACTATGCCATTGAGACGGGGTCCTTCCTATTTCTGTTTATCATCTTGTTGTACTCTGTGCATGATACGTCCATTTGCATTTACCCTTAACGTGTTGCCTTGTGGTAATTCCTTTAAAATAGCTCGCGCATTCATTTCAATCAGTCTTTCAATACGCGACTTGTAACTCTTAATGTAAACTTCTTTATATCTGTCTATATCTTTAAGTGCCATTTTATGCCTCAGCACAAGTATTTTTTCGTCGACATTTTGAAAGCTTATTTTGACTAACGGTGGGCGGTTAACGTACCGTGTCGGAAGCCGCGATACACTAGTAATAAGAACATTCAAAGAAACATCATCGCCTAAAGCACTTATCAAGTCATGTGCTACCGCCATTAAATCTTCCCCCTCAGTGTATTTTATACCACTTGCCGTTACCGTTAAATCTGGGTCATCGCTTGGATTAAACTGTCCGTGTTTGTGTTGATCCGTGCTATCACGTGACTTATTTTCATCTGTCTGGCGTGAACTTGTCGTCTGCTCTATTGTAGTAATCCGAGACTGCATAGCTTGAACAGTTTTCGCGACTTGTTCTAAACGATAACTCTCTCGGTTGATATCCATTGACAACTCGTCACGTAAGGCCCGTATTTTCGTATCGATGCTCTCCATCAGATCAGATCGGAATTTTTCTAATTTCGATTCGAACATACGTTTCATGCTATCCTGACTTTTCTTAATATCCATAACTGTCTCTAGTAACAAGTCCAATTTAGTACTTTCACTCGTACCTGTTTTAAATAATTCCTTAGTATCCTCTTGTTTCGAAGACATTGTAGAAGTTGGGTTCTTTCTTACTATATCGCTAAAAGAAGCCATACTTTGCATCTCCTTGTTGTTAGCACTAGCTTTGCACTTTATATTATTTCTCTCCACTTCACAATGTTGAGAGTCAAATAGAATAGCATGTGTCTCATTCAATATTTCACTTACATTCAAATGCTTTGTTTAATTCCACCTTGGTGTGTCTGTGGCCGTTAATCTCTGACTAAAAACCCCTTGGCTGTCACAGCTGTAGGTTAGATTATTCAGCCAGCTTATGGGGTGTCAGTGGTTATACTCAGGTGTCTGTTTGTGCCTGAAATAATGCACTGAGGGTCACCAGAGGTCTTCCTCCAGTATAAAAGCTGGAACAGGGATTTTTTGGCTTATTTTATAGCCGATTTTGGCCCTTTTTGGGTCATATTCCCAATTGAAAATAGTATATTATTTTCCAAATCCACAGGAAAATATTCCCAATTGAAAGTTACAAAAATAAAAATATTGAATAAAGACTTCTAAAACCTTTGAAAATAAGGGCTTCTTCACTGTTATAGTGTTTAAATGTTTGAAGATGCCATCCTAGACAGTGATTGTTTGCATTCATTTAATCAATGCAAAATTTCAGTCATGCATTTTCCCCCAATTTTTTACAAAATATCACTGAAATTCCCAATTCCATGGGTATGGGTTATGTTTCCAAGATCCTGGAAAAAATCCCTGTGGAAAGTGGCCATATGACCTACATGTATACTGTTTACTTTCAACATAAAACCGAACCAAAAATAAAGAATTTCCCCAATGATATTTTTGCCAAATGCATCTTTGTAAAGAGATGATAAGCTACAATATAAGTTGTCTAAATTTAGCTCTACTAAAAATCCAAATTAAATCATGGAGGGGAGGGCAAATCAAAGTTGATGACTCTTATATAAAAACAAATTGGACTAAGTCAGATTGATGACAGTATAGTTTAGACTGATGGTCATTATTGCAGGTATAATTGGGAGGGTTAATTGATGTTATTATTATATTATATTGCAGGTATAATTGGGAAAGTTAATTGATGTTATTATTATATTATAGAACTGTATAGTTATACTGAGGAGGATGAATACACTGAGAACAAGGAGTGTTTTGAAGAGAATTTTATTGCACAAGGTACATAAAACTTCATATTTATTATTGTGTCAAACATTAGACATAATATAGAAACCTTTTATGTGAAATATTTTTGATGATTTAAAGAGATCTGTGTATTGTTTTTGGAGAATAGTAAAAAAACATTTGTGATACTTAGTGAATAAATGTCAAATTTGTTGTTTGCTATTCTCTTATAGTAAATTTAATTGTCTCATGATAATTGGATTGTTAAGTTTAATTAAATATCCAGAATACATACCGGTAATGCACTTGTGAGACAATTGTAACTTGGATCCATTACTGACCCCAGATGTATGAATACCTGGCCTGGGCACTGTAAATGATTTACATGTTGTCAAAGTAAGGTAGGCACTGTTGCAGACCTAATGAACAATCATTATGTATATACATACCAGTATATAATATATAATTAAAATACTATTAAACGAGGTCTGAAAATCACACAAAAGCTAAAGATATAATCATGTATAATATAAGTTTATAGTTTTACTTGTAAACTACAAAATGTCAGTAAGTTATAAATCATGTTTTGTCTGTTTGTAATGTTTATCATTTAATGCAGGTCACACAACATGGAGAGCTTTAGATGATGAAAACAGGAAGAAGTACATCGTATATCTACAAAATGAACTAGAGGTTGCAGACAGAGTCAGGAGAATGAAAGCTATACGATCTATACTCTATCTTGTACAAGGTATGCACTTTTTATCTTATAACTTGTATACGCAGTCCAGATGTACACGTAAGATAGAAAAAAAAATAGATAAAAATTTGTTTTGCAAAAGGAGACATTGTTGGGCTTGAACTACTTTCATTGTTTGTCCAGATCCAATTTAAGATATTGATTGTATTTATTAAATGAAGGTTTCATGCTGGAATTGTAGATCTGTGACACCATACAGGTACCCATAATTTTATAAGTTCTCTTCATTCCCCCAGGAATTGTCATGTGACCTTTAAAGTGCCAGTCCAATATAAAATCTAACAACAAATTTTTTCTTCATAAATGAAGAGGAAATATTGTAACCGATAACAACAAAATAAATGATTGTCATTCATATTTTAGAGATTTTATAATTGATATTTTATTTGAATTTGATGAGTGTTATAATAGAATGAGTTTTCTGATAAAAATACGGGCAAAATCAACTTGAGTAAAACAGGATAGCACACTTGTGTAATATTTCTGATTTATATATAATGTAGGAGTATTTGATGAGTGTGTAATATTTCTGATTTATATATAATGTAGGAGTATTTTGATGAGTGTGTAATATTTCTGATTTATAATGTAGGAGTATTTGATGAGTGTGTAATATTTCTGATTTATATATAATGTAGGAGTATTTGATGAGTGTGTAATATTTCTGATTTATATATAATGTAGGAGTATTTGATGAGTGTGTAATATTTCTGATTTATATATAATGTAGGAGTATTTGATGAGTGTGTAATATTTCTGATTTATATATAATGTAGGAGTATTTTGATGAGTGTGTAATATTTCTGATATATATATAATGTAGGAGTATTTGATGAGTGTGTAATATTTCTGATATATATATAATGTAGGAGTATTTGATGAGTGTGTAATATTTCTGATTTATATATAATGTAGGAGTATTTGATGAGTGTGTAATATTTCTGATTTATATATAATGTAGGAGTATTTGATGAGTGTGTAATATTTCTGATTTATATATAATGTAGGAGTATTGTAATATTCTGATTTTATATATAATGAGTGTGTAATATTTCTGATTTATATATAATGTAGGAGTATTTGATGAGTGTGTAATATTTCTGATTTATATATAATGTAGGAGTATTTGATGAGTGTGTAATATTTCTGATTTATATATATGTAGGAGTATTTGATGAGTGTGTAATATTTCTGATTTATATATAATGTAGGAGTATTTGATGAGTGTGTAATATTTCTGATTTATATATAATGTAGGAGTATTTGATGAGTGTGTAATATTTCTGATTTATATATAATGTAGGAGTATTTGATGAGTGTGTAATATTTCTGATTTATATATAATGTAGGAGTATTTGATGAGTGTGTAATATTTCTGATTTATATATAATGTAGGAGTATTTGATGAGTGTGTAATATTTCTGATTTATAATGTAGGAGTATTTGATGAGTGTGTAATATTTCTGATTTATATATAATGTAGGAGTATTTGATGAGTGTGTAATATTTCTGATTTATAATGTAGGAGTATTTGATGAGTGTGTAATATTTCTGATTTATATATAATGTAGGAGTATTTGATGAGTGTGTAATATTTCTGATTTATATATATATGTAGGAGTATTTGATGAGTGTGTAATATTTCTGATTTATATATAATGTAGGGTATTTGAGTTAATATTTCTGATTTAATAAATGTAGAGTATTTGATGAGTGTGTGTAATATTTCTGATATTTGATGATATTTCTGATATATATGTAGGAGTATTTGATGAGTGTGTAATATTTCTGATTTTATATATAATGTAGGAGTATTTGATGAGTGTGTAATATTTTTGATATAAGTATATATATATGTAGGAGTATTTGATGAGTGTGTAATATTTCTGATTTATATATAATGTAGGAGTATTTGATGAGTGTGTAATATTCTGATTTATATATAATGTAGGAGTATTTGATGAGTGTGTAATATTTCTGATTTATATATAATGTAGGAGTATTTGATTGATGTAATATTTCTGATTTATATATAATGTAGTGATGAGTAATATTTCTGATTTATATATAATGTAGGAGTATTTGATGAGTGTGTAATATTTCTGATTTATATATATATGTAGGAGTATTTGATGAGTGTGTAATATTTCTGATTTATATATAATGTAGGAGTATTTGATGAGTGTGTAATATTTCTGATTTATATATAATGTAGGAGTATTTGATGAGTGTGTAATATTTCTGATTTATATATAATGTAGGAGTATTTGATGAGTGTGTAATATTTCTGATTTATATATAATGTAGGAGTATTTGATGAGTGTGGATCAGAGGCACAACAAGCAGAGTTAACCAAGATAAATGTACATATGCTGTATGAACAAGGACTTTTCTTCTCATTCATTGAACTACTCTGTATGGAAGTTGAGTAAGTTACTTAATACATACATATTTTCTCAAAACAGTCACAAGATTTCTTTACACATATTGACTGTATAAATACATTCCCGTATTTGTTTGTTTACATACCTCAAAGTACAATGTAATGTACTATTTTAGTTTTTGTATGTGGAGTAGTCTCAAAGTCAATTTAATGATAAAGTTTGTGGTCCTAGGAAATGTTGGAAAATAAACAGGCCATTTTTTTTTTCAATATTACAAACTTAATCAAATTTATAACTGAAATTATATGCTTAAAATTATATGCTTAAATCAGAGCTCCAGATAGCATGCATATCAGCGTGAAATACGCATAGAAAATCTAAAATATGCATCACTTTCAAAATTTGTGCGTCAAATTTACGCACAACAAAATGAAAATACGCTTGTATGTCAAAATTTAAGCGTGAAAGAATAGAAGTGTTAACATTTGATATTTAGAAAGAGGATGTTTTGTGCATAAAAATCAATATATTTTTATTTTATTGCTTTGAAAACTAAAAATTCTGTTGTCAACAACGCATGTTAAAAACGAAAAAGCAGGAAGTCACAGAAGGGAGGTAACTCCTGTAAATCCACCTGTGAAAGTATTGATAAAATTTGTGCCAGATAATCATCATAGGAGTTAACATAGTATTAAGTTTGTTTAGGCATCTATTGACATGCTTATGCCTCAATATAAACAAAAATATATTTTAATTTCTTTCACTTTTGTTGTTGGAACAAAAAAACATGTTTTTCACCTGCAGTTTTGTACTCAATATTTTCGTACCTAGTCTACAATAACGGGCAATTTTCTCTCAGACCAAAACTTTTTTTAAGGAAAGATAAAAAAATCTTGTTTATTTTTCTTTAATTCTTATTTCAACTATAATTGATCAAACTGGAGTACATGATAAGGTACATGCCAACAGAAATAAAGAAAGAAAATATTGACTCCTAGAATATAAGAGTTTCCACTAGTGGAAGTTTGGGAGTCATTTACTTCTTCATTTTGGCTTGTGACTTTGTTTTACATTGAATCAGTATTTTATTTGTAAACTTTTTCCAAAAAAAGAAAGAAAATAAACAAACAAACAAACAAAAACAATAAATTTAATTTGTTTATAAAAAATACAAAATGATTTTTTGACAGATTTTACCCCTTAAGTTTTTCAGAATTTGCATTTTACCCCTCACTCTAGATTTTGAGGGGTAAAAACCCCTTGGCCAAAAAAATTATCTGGAGCTCTGTTAAATGATGCATACAAGATTATATAAAACTATTGATGAAGTAAGTTTGACTGAAATGCAAAAAAATCTTAAGTGAGCAACAAATACAACTTGATTTATCCAGATTCTAAAATGTTTGTTACCGTATACCATAAATGGAGTAACTTGAATATGCTTTAAACCCCAGTATTGATAAAAAATGTTTCTTGGTAGAAAACCCTGACATCAATCTCTAAATATGTGAGATTTCTAATTATATAAATAGAAAGTCTTCAAAACTTTAAATATTATTTTATACACTTAATAATCGGAATAAAAACTTTCAAGAGATACTAATTCAAGTGCAGCATATTTTTTTATGTCATGTAAGAGTTGTTTCCCTTTGCCCATATATCAATTATTGTCTGTATTTTATCAATTATTGTCTGTATTTTAGAAATCAAGATGCTATTGCAGCTGCTATGAGAAAGTCATCAGTATCTATAGAAGATAGTTTTGATCTCAGGTTTGTTATTCTTCAAATGTCAATATTTTGAATTTAAGTAGTTAACACTTAAAGTTACAGACTTGTTTATAAATATCACATTAATGTATTCAAGATGTTAAGTTAAGAAAATGAAAGAAATGTTTTTGATGTTATTGGCAATAAATCAATTATTTATTGTTGTAATTGAGCCATATTTCACCTCTCTGTGTCCTATTAAAATTAGATTTGAATTGTCATGACCAAGGACAACTAAATTTTGTCAAGTTTGGGTGCAGAAATTTATTGAATTGAATATGTTCAGTACAACTTATGGACCTTATTTGTCTTATAACTTAATATATATAGTCACTTTAACCTTAATAGTCTCCTAGCAGTTTACTCAGAGGGGACTGTAGGTTTTCCCTCTCTCCCTCTGTCTGTCTGTCCGCTTGACCAAATAGGAATATGATCTAACTGTAAACAGAACAAAAGAGAACAATAGAGTTCATTCCATAACAATAGAGAAGGGTTCAATGGTCATCTATTAAACAAAACAAAAATAACAATAGAAATGGCCATTTATCAATAAATAAAAAAAAAATTACTGGTCACCTGAGACAATTTATAACATTCATACTTTTTTAATTGTTTCTTTGTCATTCTTTTTTGTAACTCAATTAGTAAAACATTTACAATGTAGGTATGAATTAGAATTGTTAATATTTCAGGGGTATATAAGTGTATTGTACACTATGTATTGTATTTTCAGCATTATATTAAGTGTATTGTACACTATGTATTGTATTTTCAGGGTTATATTAAGTGTATTGTACAGTATGTATTGTATTTTCAGGGTTATATTAAGTGTTTTGTACACCATGTATTGTATTTTCAAGGTTATATTAAGTGTATTGCACACCATGTATTGTATTTTCAGAGTTAAATTAAGTGTATTGTACACTATGTATTGTATTTTCAGGGTTATATTAAGTGTATTGTACACTATGTATTGTATTTTCAGGGTTATATTAAGTGTATTGTACACTATGTATTGTATTTTCAGCATTATATTAAGTGTATTGTACACTATGTATTGTATTTTTAGGGTTATATTAATTGTTTTGTACACCATGTATTGTATTTTCAAGGTTATATTAAGTGTATTGCACACCATGTATTGTATTTTCAGAGTTAAATTAAGTGTATTGTACACTATGTATTGTATTTTCAGCATTATATTAAGTGTATTGTACACTATGTATTGTATTTTCAGGGTTATATTAAGTGTATTGTACACTATGTATTGTATTTTCAGGGTTATATTAAGTGTATTGTACACCATGTATTGTATTTTCAAGGTTATATTAAGTGTATTGTACACTATGTATGGTATTTTCAGAGTTAAATTAAGTGTATTGTACACTATGTATTGTATTTTCAGGGTTATATTAAGTGTATTGTACACTATGTATTGTATTTTCAGGGTTATATTAAGTGTATTGTACACCATGTATTGTATTTTCAAGGTTATATTAAGTGTATTGCACACCATGTATTGTATTTTCAGAGTTAAATTAAGTGTATTGTACACTATGTATTGTATTTTCAGGGTTATATTAAGTGTATTGTACACTATGTATTGTATTTTCAGGGTTATATTAAGTGTATTGTACACTATGTATTGTATTTTCAGGGTTATATTAAGTGTATTGTACACTATGTATTGTATTTTCAGGGTTATATTAAGTGTATTGTACACTATGTATGGTATTTTTCAGGGTTATATTAAGTGTATTGTACACTATGTACTGTATTTTCAGGTTATATTAAGTGTATTGTACACTATGTATGTATTTTCAGGGTTATATTAAGCGTATTGTACACTATGTACTGTATTTTCAGGGTTATATTAAGTGTATTGTACACTATGTACTGTATTTTCAGGGTTATATTAAGTGTATTGTACACTATGTACTGTTTTTTCAGGGTTATATTAAGTGTATTGTACACTATGTACTGTTTTTTTTTTCGGTTTTTTTTTCCCAGGGTTATATTAAGTGTACTGTACACTATGTACTGTATTTTCAGGGTTATATTAAGTGTACTGTACACTATGTACTGTATTTTCAGGGTTATATTAAGTGTACTGTACACTATGTTCTGTATTTTCAGGGTTATATTAAGTGTATTGTACACTTATTGTATTTTCAGGGTTATATTAAGTGTATTGTACACTATGTATGGTATTTTTAGGGTTATATTAAGTGTATTGTACACTATGGTAGAAGTCATGAGAACAGAACAGGATGATGACACAGAAGAACAAAGAAAAAATAGAAAAACATTTGCTGAGGAATTAGGTATACATCACATTTGTCATGATTTTATTTTCATTCCTGCTTTGTTTTTAACTGACATTACCTATTTTTTGGTGGTCTATAACCCAAAAACTGCTATTTTTGTAATTGGAGTTGTTCAGTTTAAATTTTTGAGACTGTTCATTATCAATTTTGGGGATATCAAAACAAAAATTTAAAGTTTGTCAGTTAACAGTAAAGAGTCTGGCCTGGTTGTATACTGGTATCAATGGCTAATCATTTCCTGGTCGAGCAGGGTACAGATTAAAGATATTTTTAAAAGGGAATGCTGGTTGTTTAAACTAGGTGAACTTAAAGCAAAAAATACTTAGATATTGCCAGTGGTTCTTATATTTCCAATGATAATAGTAATTACAAAATTATGCTCAATCAAGATTAAGGTTTTAGTATTTATTTCTCTTCAGTTTTATTACAGATCAGTTTTCATTTTACTTTTATAGTAGAAGATGTTAGGGTAATTTACTGTCTGCATAGCCCTCCCACTTACCTCAAATGGCAGAGCAGCAGATTTTCAGATACAGGGGTTGCAGATTCGACCCTCTGGCAAGGCAAAATTTGTCTGTGACAAATGATCTCAGACATTTGAGTCAAATGGTCATTGTCTCCCATTGCTGATCCAGATATCATGTTGTATTAGTAGTCGGCCACTTGCAGAGATATTAGATACTACTGGTTAGTTATTCAGGAAAGCTTGTAAGATGGATTGACTGTTGGGATATTTCAGAAACATGTTAAATTGTTGTAAAAACCAGGAAAACATAACAGTCAAATACTGTCTCCTTGTGAACCACCTGCCCAGTATCTATGACTTCGATCATTACAAGAATGTAAGGTCTCCAGGTTATTTGGTTGTTGGGTCTACATTGTTGCGCAATTTTAGGAGAAATTATGATCAAGAAGGTAGCTTGTATCTGTTCTCTTCCTGTAAATGTAGAGTCATTGATTGATCTTCTTGTCATCATGGCTGAAACCACAAATAAATAGATAAGCTATTCAAACTTTAAATATTATATTATTTAGTGGAGCCAACATTTGGACAGGAACTATTGCCAGTGACATTATTTGGAATGGTAACAAAGTTTTGCAGTGGATCAGCTCCTCATTTCCCTATGAAGAAAACACTGATGCTATTGTGGAAAATTATCCTAGTAAGCCTAGACATAACTGCTTGTAATTTAATATTTATTAAATGGCATAAATTTTAAATTTCTGAAAAAAAGAATAATGAAAATTACAGAATACATGAATATCTTTTATTAAGAATCTTCATAATCAATCTGTTTAAAGTTGATTTAAAATTATTTCAGCTGTTATCACACTAGTGCATCATATTTTGTTATTAAATCCCTGGCCCTCGTGGCTTGGACTTTAAATGTGTCCTTGTGTTTCTGCAAACTTTAATGCATGAAATAAGGTGCATTAACCCCCTCTTGTTTAATTTTTTAAACAACTTTCATCTTTGGCTAGATTTATTCTATAATGGCAAATTTGTACTGAAATATTTGTAATCAGGTGTCAATGGGCGGTCTTGATAAGCTTCAAGAGATGAAAAATCAGTACAGAGATCAGGCAGGGTTACCTCCCCTCCCTGAAGATCCTGGTGAAGTTTGCCGCCTTATGAGAGCCTCGTCACCTCCAGCCTCGGCTGCCGATCTTATAGAGCAGCAGATCCCTCATCGAGGCCTCAGAGCAGGGGTTAATAAACGGGTAAGAAAAAATGCACATTTATATATGCATGATGACTTTTTTTTTCTTACAATATTTATAAATATATAGGCCCTTACATTAGGAGTTAGACGAGATTTCCAATTCTGTAGTAGGGAGTATAACAAAAAACAAACAAAAAACTGAAATTTGCATAGAATATTAAAGAATGACTTTTTGGGCAAAAAACATTTGCTATTAAACTTTGCTTCGGGGTTATAAGTTTAAATGGATTTAAAAGCAAACAAACAAAAAAAAACAAAGAATGTTTCTATAGAATACCAAAACTATTGACTTTGGAAATTTCACTTTTTTTATTCCACACATATTTTAATATAATTTTAAGCTTGTATACAACATGTTATTTCATGAAGTGCATTGAATAATGTTGTTTTAGATTTGTGTCATGTAAAGCAGCAAAAAATAAAAAGTGAAAAATACAAATAATTGTACAATACCTTAGTCACAAAATTATTATGGTATTTTTGGTAAAGAAATCATGTAAAATGACATGTACTATACTTATTATTTATTTTACCATATAGCACATTTTTTTTCATTACCTTGATTATATAAAACATAGTTATTTATTTGTTAGATATATTTATAAATCACATTTTAAAGTTTACATTTTATTTCACTGTTGACTTTAACTTTTAGCTTCTATTTAACCTCATTTACTTTAAAATCTCACAAAATATGTGTTCAACATAATTGACGACTTATTTCTTTCATTCTAGATTTCATTTTATTCTGCAGCAGGATTTGCTATAGATATTTTAACTGTAACATGTATAATTTATTTTTTATATCATTGTGAGCATGTAAGTTAATGTTCATGATTCCCTTGTTGTAAAACATCAAGCTTGCTAATAAAAGAGAAAAAAACAACACAAGAGCAGTTTTGAAAGTGTATTCTTTAAAATTAAACATCATCTATTTTTCTGACTACTGGGGTGGGGGGGGGGATGTTTCTTACCTTATAGTTATTTTTTAAGCACTGTTTAATTGTGTGTGAAATTTGAATCATTATTTATTTGCTATATTTATTTAAACAATATATACATTGCTAACAAGATATACTTTATTATGCTTCTATCATTTGCTATTTATTTTACAATTATTTATTTACATTATATCTAGGCACAATTTTCATTGATGTATTTCGTTTTTAGTTTCTATCAATGAGTGATTTTAAGGTAATATCAGACAGTTATTTATCCTGCCAATTATTTGGAGCTAAGCTTTGTAAACCAAATATTAGTATATAAAAAGAGAGAGAAAAATTCCGAATATAGCAATTAATGCAAAAATGGTCTTGAGTTGAAAGTACTATTTAGTGGTCTATTTGATGAATAGGGAGAGCTGTTGTACTCACCCAAGTGTCCAGGTCACACTTTAGTTAAGTTTTTGTTTGGTATTTCTTGGTATTTCCAAAACTACTAAAGGGAATGGCTTGAAACTTTACTCACATATTGAGAGTATATATAGGAGGTCACTGGCTAAGGCCCATAACTCTAACATGGATTTATACAGAATTATGTCCCTTTTGAGCTTAGAAAAGTCTTCATTACCAAGGACTATCAGGCACTGTGAATAGTCAAGCAGACTGCTCTATCAACAGCTCTTGTTTAACAAGAATAAGGCAATCTCTGGTGGAACTCAAAATACTTGTAAATACATTGTAATGTGACAGGCAAGATTTAAAGTGTCATTCTTTTATGAAATTAAATTGTGTCTTATGAATTCTTAGTCTGTTGTACCTTTATTCAAATTGAAAGAAGTCCATTTAAGATATTTATCTTGTCAGTGGTTAATTTGCTCAAGATCATTATTTACATTTGATTCAATTAAATGTAATTTATATAATCTTCACAATAGTACACAGAGCTACAACTTCTTCCACAGTTAAATATATGAAATATTGCTTCCACCAGTTTTCCCTAGAAGCTTTGCTAGAGGTTACCATAGTTACCATCATTACAAGCTTTAATAATTAAAAACAACTTATATAGCTCAACCTTGCTTATAAATCACATATAGATAAAATAATTTTGCATTTTATGTATTAAACAAAAGCAAACAAAAGATCATAACTTTTGTTAAGTTGTAAGTAGTTGGTATGAAAAAGGGACATTTTACCACATGTTAATTATACGGTACCTACCCGGTATATATGCTTTTACCAATGCAACCAGTGCAGACCGAAATCAGCCAGCACATCCATGCTGTCAGTTTATGGTCTGCACTGTATGCTATTCTGTACATTCCCCTAAAAATCTGAAAATAAGCCTGTCTAGATAAGCTATGTATTGGATTCTATATAGGTTAGTTGGTATAAAGTCTAGTCATAAAACATCTTGCAGTTTTAGGGATGTGTTACACAAATAGCTTCAAAAACAAGAGCCAAAAAAAACCAAAAGGCTTTTGTTTCTTCCTAAATTAATGAAACATTTTGTGTTGTATATCATTAGACCTTATGGTCTATGTTACTCCAGTATGTTAAACTGATTTTAACCACAGTTTACATTTACAGTGTTGTTATGATAACAGTTATAATAATTTCATTGTAATTGTTATTGCTTTATTTATTCATGTAAGATTTAATGAACTATTATTGAAAATGAAGCAAATTTTTAATGGTTAGGTTCTTGTCTATAAAGTATCTTTTATATCGTAATACAAACAAAAAATCTTGTTCTTGAAGCTATCTGTGTAACTTGAATGTATCAATATGTGACTTGATTATGTTAAAAACTTTTATGTTTTAACAGTTATTAAGGAAACATACTTGTTAGCTTGTTTGTTTCAGAGAAAATTTCAAGCTTTTATGAATTTGTGATCACCGGGTTGTTGTCATAGTCGCCATTGTCATGGTGTAAAAACTTTATTGTAGCCCATTATACAGACAATTAGTATCCACATGAAAGTAGGCATACTGTATAATCATGACAAGGTGCAGTTGTAGGGTCTGAAAGCTATTTTCTTGGAAGTATGCCTGTTTTTAACTTTGATTTTTTGGGGGGTATCAAAATTGCTTATAAAGTAGAATGATTTGATTGTCAACGCATAACTCAAAAGACATGATTATCATGACATGACATAGTTACAAAATAAGGGGCATAATTCTTAAAACTATTTTTGAGTTATGCCCCTTTTTTCGTGAAGTATTTCTTAAAATTAAAACAAAACCATAACTGAGAGATCAGTGTTTTTAGAGTTATGCCCTTTGTTACATGGAAAATAATTGAACTTTTGTACAAATACCAGTATGTCCTCACAAAGTTAATCATCTTTTTAGGAAGTGACTTGCAAAACATCCGTAACACTTATGAATTAAATTTTTATTTTAGTTTTTGCCCTTTACAGATGAGCATAGACACCACATTTGGTGCTGTTGTTTTGATAAATGTTTTGTTTAATTTCAATAAGTTGTATACCCAGTTCATGATTGATGTTATTTTATGTTATTATGAATTGTCATTGAGTGTACTTGTAATGCATGTTTCCCCATCCCTCTATATCCACCCTTTACCTTTCACTTCACCTCTATCATGCTTCATTTGGCCTTTCTAGGGGTCTATACAGAATCTTGTGTTGTGAAATGAAAGAGTTGTAAATGGGCGGAGATCTGTTGTGAGTGGGAGGAGTTTAGATAACTGGCAGAGAATAAATGCATACATGTTGTCAGTCTGTGTAGACCCTTCTAAGGCAGCCTCATTTCCAAAACTTTTTTCAAATTGCACAAATTTATAATCTGAGAATAAAAAAGTTTCGCTGTAATTAGAAAATTCAGAAGAAAAATTTCCATTTGTGATTATCATTGAGTAATGTAATAAGACTGTTTAAATATTGTTTTTTTTGTTTTAAAAGAGGACACTCATTTTAATTTTTTTTTACAAACATCAATATAAAAATTTCCTGGTCCATTAACAACAATATATTCTTTATTTAACAGTGTCTTTATGTAAAATTGAAATAAATAACATAATATAGATACTCCAATTACTAACATGGCTGCCTTTTCTAACCTTTATTTTCTGCTGCTAACTTCTGCTCCTAACAATGGCCTTGACCTTTGCATGACTATCATCGGTTGTCATGGCAACGGCCTAATTCAAGAGTTTGATAAAACAGAGCAGCCTGGATGAGAATCCGTTTGAAAATGGGAATGGTGTTGAAAATGGCGACGATGATCTACTGAAGGAGTTAGATTCAGCAAAATCAGGAAGTGATGATGAACTTCCACCTACCCCACCCAGACCATCTACACCTAGAATCACACCACAGAAAACCTTGCCATGGAAACCAAAAGTGAGGTAGAATATTTTGTATTATTATCAAGTAAATGTTAGTTTAGCTGACCTGAGGACCGGTCAGTTGTCTTTCGTTGATAATCTATCCTAGTGTGAACAGATAACAATTTTGGTTAAATCTTTGTCTTTCATTGTACTTGGACAAAATACAAGGTCAATTTTGTTTACCATAATAAAATCTTGATCTTTTCATCATTGATATATGCTTGAATACTTTCACAGTCTTCAGTCACACGAGTGGTAAAGGGCCCTGATGACCCACTTGTTTTAGTAAAAGCTGCTATAATATCGACATACGCTTTATTATATCATGTAACCTCTAGGAATGATGGTGCCTATATGACTGAAATACTTTGGAAGAAGGTGTAAAATGAAACAACAAACAAAATATCATATAACAGTGTTGTTGTGATTTTTTGCATATTTTAGGACAAAGGATCTGGAAATGTTTTTGGAGCATACAAGAGCCAAGTTTGTAGGATTTCAAGTAAAGCATGACAAGGACTCTCTGGCTGGGCTACCTCAACCTATACATGAGGGCGTTAAGGTCCTAAAACAGGTATAGATATATGCATGTTCTACACTTACTGAAGGCAAATAACATTTTATTAGCTCAACTTTTGGAAGAAAATGGAGAGCTTTTAAACACACCCAGTCATCAGCATTATACTTTAAGTTTTTGTGTGCAAGTTTGTATCTCCAAAACTACTGAAGGGAATGGATTGAAGATCACACACTTTTTTGAGAGCATAATAAGCAGTCATTGTATAATATTTGAACATGCTGTCTTACCAACAGCTCATGCTAGTAATTCTATTCTTCAGACATTTTTTTAATTTTTATTAACAATGTTCCATTGTCAGTTTGTTAAACAAAACTAGTTGGTAATGTTTAATCAATTTGAGCAATAGAATACTTAAATAGTTTTATAGACTTAATACATATTATTATATGTGTGTTTTTGCTCAATACTTTTATGAGAAATGACAGAAGCTTCATTTAAAAGATATAATAATTTGTAATGTAACAATTTGTATATGGTTATATTGCAGCACCTGTACGTGTCATTGTCAGAGCTACAGGTAAAACGTGAAGAAGAGATCGCTAAGAATCCATTATCTCAGCCAGAAGTTGATGTCCCTAACACTCCAGCTGAAATACTCTTTCAGGCTATTTTACCTAATCTGCCACAGTATATGGTGAGAACTTTAACAGTCATTAGGTTATCTAGTTATGACTCAAACAGTAGATGTGTATTAAGTGCTGATTTTAATTGTTATGCTGAATTTACAAGTCCTGTATATCACTATTCCTGTGTTTATGTTGCTGACTAAATCATTACCTGTGTAATTAGTATCAAATGTTGTTGCATTCATGAACTTCAAAGCAAACTTAAAACATTGTTTTACAGCTGCATAATACCTGTCAATTTAGAGTTAATTTATAATACTGAGCTATTGTGTAACATGGCTATAATCAACAAGTTTTATAATCAAATGATGAAATGAAGTGATCATTGTTTTACAGATAGCATTGTTGAAGATCTTACTAGCAGCTGCACCAACATCTAAAACAAAGACAGATTCTATAAATATATTAGCTGACCTCTTACCTGAAGAAATGCCGTAAGATTTTATTTATTTCTACAAATTTGAATTGTCATATATTATATAAGAGGGCTAATTAGGGCTGTAAAGATTATTTGGATAATTGGATATTCATGATTCAGATCTGGACAATATGGATCGACTAATTGTAAGTCCTAAGATCACTGATCATTGTGATTCACACCTTAAACAATCATGATATCATATTTTACATAGTTCAGTGCAAAAAATCTTTAATTTGAAGGATTAATATAGAAATTATTTGTGGCTTAGTGGTCACCCTGCGATGTTGATGGGCTTTTCTGCTTCTTTTGGCTTTAATCCCAGAAGAGATATGAAATCTTTTATTTCAGAATAATTCAGCGAACTTGCAAAAAGGCTGAGTTCAGGCACCAGCTTGTGTTTGATATTAGGAGAGTAATGTTAGTGTTTTGTATCAGAAGAGCTTGAAAGTTGCCAATCAATCTTGACATGTCCTATGTGACTTATAACCTTAATGACAAAAACCATTAAAGGCACGTTATGCCTCAAAAATGAATAATTTTTCTTAATGTGAGTTTGCTAATGTTTAAATAACTGTTTTAGAGCAAGTTAGATTCTTATCACCTGAAGGAATTAGTGCAGAATGTGAAATTATTTGTCACAAAAGCAGCAAAATGTCAACAAAATACTCAAGCACTATAATTGTACAAATTTCTAAAATGCAACAGAAGCAAAAGATGGTTCATGTAATTGGTCAGTGAATAACCTTTAGAAAATTTACCAGGAAAGCAAAAGAAAAATGCATAGAGAAATAAAAATAAAAGCTTTTCTTGTGCACAATGGGGCTTTTATAAGATGTGCCTGTGTTTAATTTGTATAGGGAAAATGCTTGAATCTTTCATAGAACTGTTTACATGTATAAATATAATCAGATAGTTTGTCCATTTCTTCATTACAGAACAACAGTATTTCAGTCAATGAAACTTGGTATAGATGTAAACAGACATAAAGAGATCATAGTGAAAGCTATCTCAGGGCTAATTCTCCTCATGTTAAAACACTTTAAACTTAACCATATCTATCAGGTAAGAACTTTTTTGTCTTAATAAAATTATTTGATAAACATGTAAATGCATAAAATTTGAGAAATTTTTATAGAACTAGATATGCATTGAATTATCAAGGCATTTTTCACTGTTTAACATCAGCAAATTTTTTGGCCAATTATCTATCATGAGAAAAAAATGAATATGGATGAGATTCCCCAATATACATGTATGTGCTGGTATGAAACCAGTTTCTGAACAAAATTTCAGGGTTTTTTTTACTAGTCAATTTTCTATAGACGCTAATGAAACTTATCATACTAAAAACTTGAGCTCAAAATATTTACAAAAATACAAACTAAATTCTATCTTATGATGTCATTAATGTATAAATAGGTCATAAAATGTGTAACATTTTTTAACACTTGAAGAACCAGCTTCAACACAAATTATAATCTGCTGATATTATTTTTTTTATTTTAAGCTGAACAAAATCATGGAACAGTTTGGAAAAAAAACACTGTATAATATTATACAGTAATATATATTTATAATATTTATTATAAAATGTCTGCATACTTGAATTAAAAGATTAATTCAGTGCTCAAAATTCTTGCTAAATGCAAGAAATTCAAAGAAAAATGCATGTTATCTTTATGTTCTTTTATATAATACATTACAATATTGACATTTTTGTTTCAGTTTGAGTTTATGTCACAGCATCTTGTGTTTGCCAATTGTATACCCCTGGTTTTGAAATTCTTCAACCAAAACATTGTCTCTTATGTTACAGCCAAAAATAGGTATGTTTCTCCCTCCATTACAGCCATAAAATGAACTATCAGTATTATTTTCTTATGTCACTGCCCCAAATAGCAAACTATTTATAAAAAATATTGCCTGTCACGGTGGTACTATGTAACAAGTGATTTGTGGATACATCAATGTTTGCATAGGTATTGTTAAATATTTAGAAATATTACTGGGGCAAGTTGCTGGTTGTGTTATTTTAGTGCCAGTTGTAGCTTACATAGTGTCCAGTTGGAAAGACTATCAAATTTTAGATGGAGAATGTGGGGATTAAACTTGTAATCCTTAGATAGTTAGATAGTGTAACAATTAACCCTGAAATACATTGTTTGACATATTGTTTACTTTTACAGTATACCAGTGTTAGATTTCCCATCATGTGTACTTGGAGACCAGAAGGAACTCACAGCTGATGCTTTGGTATGGTATAATTTATAAACATGCTCCTTTCACTATAAAATTCATTGTAAAGGTAGATTTACCTACGCTGCAGTGATTTCTTGCAGTGAGTGTCTGCGTTGTTTCGAGTATGAAACTACTTGTCACTGGCAGAATTGTAAGATTAAGCACAAACTGTTTGACTGCATGGAGGTCACTAGTGCTAAAAATAAAGTTTTACTCGTTTTGCTCATACAGTCTTCAAGCATTAACTGATGTCTTAAATATTTAGTAGGTAGTTATCTTGAATTGTCTTCTTACTGGGTAGGGTTAGAAACCTCCAGGATCAAGGACACAGGTGCTAAAAATAGAGATTTTACTTTCAGTTAAGGAGCCTCCTTGGCCAAGTGAATGAGGTTGTTGTCTTCAAACCACTTGCCCCTCACTATTGTGGGTTTGAATCCTTACAGGGACTTTGGATTTTTTCATGTGAGGAATCTATCCAGCTAGCGTAAAGAACATCAGTGGTTTTACTCTGGTGCCTCTTTGTGTCTGAGATAATGCTCAGACGGGCACTTGTGAAGTATAGGACATAAAAAGATTTTTGGTTTTTGATAGATTGTTGAAATCTGTTTAGGTAAAGTTTTGATATCCAGTTCTAGTTTTCTCAGGTTTATTTGTATATTCACACAGGAAAAGGGAGATAATCAACCATATTGTTGGAGGAATGTTTTCTCATGTATAAATCTGTTGAGGATTCTGAACAAACTGACCAAATGGAAGCACTCTAGAACAATGGTAGGTATATCATATAGGTTTCTCTTCATAAAGTGTGTAGTTATGTTTTATACGAGGTATACACATAAGATGCTTATCTTAGTATAGTTTTTTATCACATACCTGTATTATTTTTGGGTGGGACTGCTGAAAGATAATACTGCATGGCTATGCATATATTTTTATGTGTCCTCATTTGCGTTATATAGATGTAATAAGCAGGTAGGTTAATTTGCAATGCAGCTTTATACAACAGTTACAGGAGCTCCTCTGAGATTTAAAGATATAAAAAATATATATAATAAAAAAAACCTAAAACATTTGATTTGAAGATTTGAAATTTTTACATAAGTTTAGTGAAGCACTTAAAATGGAAAAAATCTACAAATGATAATAAAGAAATATGCTCAGAATTAAATTGAAAAATTGATTGTGCAATTCTTGGCCCACTTTGAGTGAAAGTGTAATGCTTTTCTTTTTTTGATCATTTTGCATAATGAAAATGATGATTCTGGAAATATTGGGTGATAGAATGATCTGAAAATTTGCACACAAGTTATATTTAACAAAGCAGAAAATAAAAGAAGTAAAGAAAAATTTTACTCCAAGCTTCTAAAACTAAAAGTAACAGAAAATAAACACGTACATTAAAAACTAAAACAATCAAATACATGTTTTTATATTCCATGAATGAATATACCTATCTTGTTGGCAATTAGATATTACTTTGATTGGGATGTGTATTCTAGTTTTGCAGGCACTGAAAAGATTAACAAATGTATATAATAAGTGTACATGCATCATAATATCTTGAATTGAACTGCATATGTTCCTGTGTATTGCTGAATATTTTGTAATCAAATCATCTTTGGCAGACTCTCATGTTTATATAATTGTATCCATTTTCTTATACTTATAGAGAAAATTTGTTTTAAACAAGTCCAAAATAGCCCAATAAATTTTCTACAGAGTTTCTACAGAGAATCAGGCCTTTCTGGACTGACTCATTTGCTTATTAAAAAAGCTATCATGTATCATTAAATTTTATTCTAATCATATTGGGCAGAAAAAATTATTATCTCAATGAAATCTGGTAGTGGTAAGTAAAAAAGAATGTACTTTCTGCTTTGAAGTTTGACAGTTTAAAGGAATTCAAATTTGCCTTCAATAATAATAACTTGCATGAATATGTCTTTTAGATTAGGAACAAAATACATAAAGAAACTTAAAGATTCATACGTGACAATTGGTTTTTCCATTCACCATCTTAGTAAATACCAGTGCATGGAAAATCTACATGACACAATGTTATAGACAATGTTGATATCCTGCCTCAAAATATTTGTTTGTTAGAATATTGACCTGTAATATATTTTAAGATGCTGTTAAGTAAATGACAATCCCCATGCAATTTAGGAAGGCTGCTTTTGTTGATAGACAAATTTACGTGACAGTACTCATGTAGGATAGTCTGTTTACCTGTTGTTGTTATTCTGGCCACTGTGAAGGATTTCTAAAATAACTGTTAATACTAACTGGACAAGGAGTGAGTGTAACAGGAAATCCTGTTCCCGGTGTTGTTATGTAATGTTACTGATAGGAACATTTTTCTATATCTTGAAAATAGATGTGGAAATGACTAGTTGTACAAACTAATTCCATCATTACTGACCTAGCTGCACTATGACTTGTAGACCAGTGTATTCACTTGTTCAATTTCCCATCACCCATCCCCTTTCCCCTCCTTGACAAAAAAGACCAGAAAGGCCCCCAGATTGCAGATTTGTGCCAAAACACATTCATTTGACATCTAGAATAATATATACATGAATAAGATATCACATTATTGGTTGAGTGAGACTATCTCTGTCCCTATCTAGTGAAATGTGCTATCCTTTCAAATCAACCAGCTTCACCTATGATGATTTATGTTGAAAAAAGTATGCTGATAATGTAGCACAAGTAAGTATATAAGGCATTAGTTGCTTTAGAATTTATGAAGCAGTTGGACTACATGTATTTTAAAATAGCCTAACTATACAAGAACCTCTAGTAGTACTGAACTCCTACTCATTGATATTGTATAACATATTAGTTTACATTTTGTATATAACTTTATATCTTTGTAACTTCTGGAGCTTTTCTCTTGAAACATCACAGATATCTTCAGTATTATAACTGTGGGGAACTGATTAAGATACACTATTCTAGTATGGACTTTGACTGAATTATACTCTATTGTGAAGTTTATCTCTCATCAAGTATCAAAAAGATTCATTTGAAACTTGAAATAAGTCTTTGAGATCATAAAAGTAGATAACTATCTAGTCTTATAACCCATGGGTATTGACAGATTGACAGAATTATAGTCCTTTTTGAACTTTGAAATTTCCCGGTTAAAGTGCTGTGTGCAAGTTCTATTTGAACCACTGGAAATTTTAATCTAAAAACTAACCTGCTGTTTGGTCATAATTTTAGCCTAGCATGAAAATTTACTGAGTTAATACATTGTGATTTTTGAACATTCCTGCATTCTTCCTTCAAGTTATGACAATGGTCGAGCCTGCTGTTACTTTGACAGCTATTTTTTTAATTTTTCTATAAATGTAAAACAAACTGTAGCTTAATTAAATTTTATGTTATACAGTTGTACTTTTTTCGTAATTGTATCTTCTGTGTTTTATAATGTTATCTTAGCCTGAAGTGAAAGCACAACTTAGGATAACGAGTTTCTACAACTTCGGATTACATTATGTTTGTTGCGGAACCAAAAATTTGTACAACATATAATAAAACATGTGACATTATTGATAAAAAAAGCCCTTCCTTAATGGTCACGTTGAACTAAATTCTGTGCATAAATGGATATGCTAATTGATGTTGCATGATAAAAGATTCGTAATGACAATAACAATATTTAAAATTCTCTTCTACAAGTTATTATATGACTATATCTATCTTTTTGATAAATAAAATAATCTTAAATTACCTTTAATGAGTAAAATAATTAATTTGCATGTTTATTTGGACAATTATTATTTTGGTTGAGAAGAAGTGGCAATTATTTTGTAAGGGTTGTTATTCATCATTTCACATGAGTACATAAATATTCCAATGGACCATGGTCTGTACTGGTCACATGGGTAGGGTCAGTTCCTACCAGCAGATTTAGAGTTAAAAATCTTTTCTCTGGAAACTGTGAGACTAAGAACTTAAATATTCATACATGGCCTTTGTTTTAATATCAAGCATTGTGAAGTTTGCTGTCATAATTCTTTTCTTTTTGAAAGATTGTTCCGAGATTGCAGCAATATGATTTTATCCATTCATGTATGTTTCCTTCTCTGTTAATGTATCTGTATGTTCACAAATTTTATGCAAAAATAACACTTAGTTAAATTTCTTTGTTTATATTTTTAGATACTTTTGTGGTAAGGTAATTTTCAAATGACTTGAACAATACAATGAGGGAAAACTAGGACTCCAACTGTGCCAGTGTGCATCATAATAATTGACATTCTGGTGGAATTTGAAAAATATCAATGTTCGAAAGAATATAAGATGTACTAGTATTCAGTATTACCCATATGTTTAGAGACATTGCTTTAAAGAATGTGTTACTGCTTTATACTTCAGATGCTTGTGGTTTTTAAATCAGCGCCGATTTTGAAGCGGGCTTTAAAGGTTCGGCATGCGATGATGCAGTTGTATATTCTCAAGCTTCTAAAGATGCAGACCAAATACCTGGGTCGTCAGTGGCGGAAATCCAACATGAAAACTATGTCAGCCATCTATCAGAAAGTCAGGCATAGATTAAATGATGATTGGGCTTATGGGAATGGTAAGTTCAGCTGTTATTAGGCTGACATACATATTTGAAGGAAGTGATGTGCACATGGGTTAGCTGAGGAGGGAAAAAATAAGTTTAGATAGGGTAACATATCCAACTATCATATTGAATTTTGATGGTTCTACTCTTGTACCTGAAACAATGTATGGAGGGACACCGGAGGTATTTCTCAATCTCATAGCCAGTGATTGGCCATACAACCTTTACTGTGAAATATAAACCGCTAATGCAATTTTGTCTCATACACCGAACTTTCAATATCCTGTTCACTAATGTCCAAAGAAATGGCAGGTTATGGAAATAGATATCTGTCACTTAAAAAAAAATCCTTTGTTATATATTTCTATTTGGTACTTTGAATAATAATTAATAGACCTTAAATCAGTAGTGAATTTTCAAATGATTCACCTTCCTTAAATTTCAGTATGATTTGTATTAGAAATTATAAATTTCTATACATGTCAATAGAACATCATAATAAAAAGAAAGAAATATTCTTACAAAAAATAATTTATAAACAAAACAATGTTTACATTATTTTCTTCTCAAACTTGCAGACTGCAATAAAATAAGTTTACATGCTATTACCCTTCAGATATGGATGCAAGACCATGGGATTTTCAAGCAGAAGAATGTGCCCTTAGAGCTTGTGTGGATCGATTCAGTAATCGTAGATACGGGACTAATGGGGCCGACCCTGATTTCAAGCCTGTTGATAACTGTATACTTAGTGTATTAGGACAAAACCTTGATCTTAGTGAAGAGTTCAAACAAAATTATGAAGTCTGGTTAGATATGGAAGTTTTTACAAATCAAATTGACTGGGACCAAATAGTGCAATATTAAGAGTGATATATTTTTGTTGAGAAGACATTTAAGCAGTTTTATGAAGACATTTTTGTATAAAAAAAAGTCAGACTGAACATCATTTAAAGAGAACTCTTGATATGATGTAGATTATTATATTTCTTGTGGAAAGATGCAAGTGCTTGTGTAAATTAACCATGTAAATGTAGATTATTTTATTTATATGTTCATGTCTAATGTTTACTTTACTTCACATTTTGTTAAAATTTTGCCTCATTTTGTGTGTACTTTTAAGTTTTAAAAGTTTACATCAACATGAAACTTGGAAAACTTTCTGATCATGACAAGGTGCAGTTGTTAGACAAGTGGCATAATTCTGAAAGCAATTTTTTGTGTTATACCCCTTTTTTACTCAGAATTTTTAATAGATCAAAGTTAACACCACCTGCGGTGTGTTTGTTAAGATTTACAGTTAGCATGTATGATAATAGCATGAATACATGACAGATTATGTAAAAAAATAAGTATGCCTTTCACATAGCAATAAAACTTTATCCTATTTAGGCCTTGTCTCAGTAAGGATATGGTTAAGTTATAGCCCTTAAGTTGATTATGTCTCTTCCAGCCTTAGCCTTAGTAAATGGCAACTGCTATCTATGAAAGGGAGCATTTAGAAAAGGTTACCAAGCTATGAAATGTTATTGTCAATAGGCAAAGTCAATACGTAGGAAATCGGACGCACAGAACGATTTTTTTCATTTGCTTTTAAAGGTTATACCAAAATGAGCCTATAACCGGTAGTATCTTTCCTTTTCATTAAAATTACTTTTAAAGGTTTTCATAAACATGTAGATAAAACTGTGAAATAACTTATACAGGGGATATGAGACTATCAGAATAACAAACTGGTGGTCTGTAATTCTGCACGTAGATGGTAGATTATACATTAAAAGTTTTATAAAATGTTACACTGAGGATTGTTCATTGCTCGATGTGTTAATTATGGTACATGATATGTCACATAAATTTACAGTTTGGAAAAATGGGAAAGTATGGCTGATAATTAATTCTTACGTATTTTATCTCTACATGAGGCCAGTTTGTTTTTATGTATAATCCCTAAACATGTTTAAAACTGAGTACATACATTCATATGTACATGATCCCATATGAATAACAATACCAGACTGACAGAAGTCAGGACTGAATTTTGTTAAAACTTTCTAAATGATTATTCATTCTAGGTAATAAGAAACAAAGTTATAACTAAAATAATGTCTCTAAACATATAGGTAATTTTTCCTTGAGTTTAGAGTCAACTGGTGGCAGTCATGTACCAAATACGATGTATTATGAATTTACCTGCATTCTATACCAGCTTTAGATATTATTTCAGCAAATTATGTCAGTTATTGATAAAAGATGTATTAGAAATATACATATTGTCTCTGGTACATTATTTTATGGACCTAGCTTTGGAAACTTATTTGTATTCTGAGACTCAGGAACTTGTTCCCAGCCTTATCCCTTTTCCCAGTGTCAAAAATGTGTAACCTATTTTTATTTCTGACCTCGGGAACATGTAACTTCCTTATTCTAAGACTAAGAAATTTGTATTAAAAGCTTGTAACTTATTTGTATTTCCAGCTGTGGTAGAAGAGTACTAATTACATTAAAACAATTGACAAAATTATGAACAGAACAGAACATATTATAATTTTATTAAATAATATACCCTAAGATTATCAAACTTATTTACTACTGGGCATATGTTAAATATAGGAGTTGTAATGTGTGTGAGACTTTGGATGATTAACCTTAATATGCAGAATATAATGTGATGTGCACTTATTAGACCATATTTTACATCAGAATGGAAGGTGGTCTGTATGCACTATTACCAGTTTGACTGTATTTATAATGAGCTATATGTGACACGTTCTATCATGAATGTTTATTGTATGCTTGAAATATTGTTAAAAATGTAAATTTTATAAGCCTTATGTATGATTTAATGTGTTATAATGTATGAATATAGATTAAAATAATGAATCTCTTAATAGAGAAGTGTTGTTATTCCTTAATAACCCTGATATAAAATTCTAGTTTGACATAGTCATGAAATTGCATTTTCCAATCAATGTAAGTACAAACTGCGCAGCTATTCAGTGCGGAACTATGGTATTTTATGAATGTGACAGGGCTATTTCCATTTAGCATATTGACCAGTTATAATGAGCAGTGTTTTGCATCAGAAAATAACAGGTGTTTATTAGTTCCAGACATGTTCAGCGATGTTTTAAACTTATAATGTTTAAAAACAATGGAACGTTATACCATGACACTATGATTTATTGGCTATAAGTATCTTTGGTTCACTTTCTGTCAATGCCAGGGTTATTTACTCGTTCCTGTTGAAATCACTGTTTCATCTCCCGCAGAATCGTCTGCTCATAGGCCTGTGTCTCATTTCAATAGTTTTATTAACGCCTTTGAATGTTTCAAGTCTGGCACACTCACAATGACCGAATGACAGCGGAATATTCCAGCGTAGCTTTGCCATAACCCGCTCATTACACATTGTCCCTTTCTTGTGCCATGAGGCAAACACTCCGTCCTGCGTGGTCAGGTGAACGGATTCTATTGTTTTTGTAGCGTCAATTACGTCAAAACGCCTTTGCAATGCCCAACCTATGATGGCACGAACAACATACGGTCTTCCTATACTCACTTTTGGTGCCCTTGCCCATGGAAAAAGTTCGTTTGAGAAAAAGTAGTCCGTAGACCTCACAACAAGTGTCCCCTTTTCGGCCATTTTTCCTACGTCAGTTGGTGTGTCGAGTGTAAAATTAGCATGTTCAATAAAGTCAACATTATGCCTTCTACCGACAACTAGAACCGGTTTAGTTTTCCACGGACTATAATGATAATACAGAAACTTCATCGTTTTCTCGAGACCGTCACCAAAAATTATATCAGCATTTGAAAAGCCGTAAAAATAAGCATCATGTGCTTTTGATACATCAGTAAACATTTTTGCAAGAACCGGTGGTCCGTGACACCCGGGGTCTACACTCGTCACGGTTTGAGAACCCCAACCTGCCAACGTGCATTCATTCTGCACTTGTGTATCTGTTGTCACCACAGCTGGTTTGATTGAAGACCAAGAGTTCCATAAACGCTTTACAACACCTTGCACCTTTGCCTTTTCGGGACTAGACACCCATGATGAAAACAACACCATCAAAGGTTTTTTAGTAAAGTTTGTTTCGTCGGAAATTATTTTTTCTAGATTAATGGTTGCATAAAGGTTTCTACGCGCATGTTTTTTCGAAGACTTTATTTTTGACTGATTTCTGTTTCCCGCCTTTTCATTGAAGTCTGTTGATTCTCTAAAATCAACGACGTCATTGTCTGCGCTGTTATTTGTGTCTGCTATAGGATTGCTATAATCAACTTGTTTTTTCATCAAATCCGTTTCGTTATATTCAAAATAGAGCACATCGGATGACTTTTCATTTCTTAACAAGTTCTTGCCTTTCCCGCTATTATAATGTATAGTCCGAGAGATCTGAACGTTCAAATGAACGAATTTACCCCATTGTTCCAAAGCAACAAGCTGTATATATGCCAAACTAACTCCAGTCAAAACTAGCAAGAAAATGCCTCTCTTTATGTTCCTGAAGTCGGTATACCGCATGTTTGTCCTCTTACAGCTGCGAACTGTTGTCATTTTCTTGAGCTTCATCACTCATCATTTATCTGTAGTTTCACTCTTACTCTGTCCGTTTTTTATACTGAAACAAATAAAGAAGTTTCACGTTTAATTAAATACATCGAGATTAAATAATCACAAAGAGAATAACAGATGGTCCACGTTCTAATCCATGGTGTTGATCAAATCAGTGGGGCTTTATTTTGAGTCTAATTTGTTTTCACAGTACACATTTTAAAAATCAGTCAAATCAGTATCAACAGTTATGAGTTCTAAAAGATCTAGAAGTGCAGGCTTAATCTTAATATATTTGAAGCAAGACACGAGTTATTATTTAAACATTAATCTTATTATAAAATGTGTTTATTAATGATACTTACTACTTAAAAAAGAGCGTCATCTTTTAGAAAAAATAATAATCCGGTAACCATGATAGTTTTTATAACTAGGGAATAAATAATAATGGACGTTGCCACGTAAATTTACTGAAATTTTAAATAAATTTTTAATTAGTTTTGCTGGGTCTTTTTCAAGCCTGCGGGGATATGACGTCTCTTTATTCTTCTCGTGAAATAGTGATATTTTATCAGATATATATCTCGTTGTTTTATGATGTATATGGTGGGTATTGTTGTAGCTCGTGCTTTATTACGTACATCGTGAAAATTAGTTGTTACCCGTTGTTTCATAATAAACATTAATGCGTATTGTAGTATATGGTTGCTTTGTAGTTCACGTCACATGATGGGTAATAATATGTGGTTGTAGTGTCTGTTGCTTTGTTTGTTGGTTTGATTTGGGTTTTACGTCACACCGACACAGTATAGGTCATTTGGCGACGTTCCAGCTTTACTGGTGGAGGAAGACCTCAGGTGGCCCTTCGTGCATTTTTTCAGGCACGAACGGGCACGTGAGTAGAACCACCGACGTTTCGTAAGCTAGCTGGATAGCTTCCTTACATGAAAGAATCCAAAGTCCCTGTCGGGATTCGATCTCACAGCGGTTAGGGAGTCAACGACCTTAACCATTCGGTCACGGACGCCCCTATTTGCTTTGAAGTTGACATGGTGGGTTATGATATATGTGTACAGTGTTGGCTGTTGTAGTGTCTGTTGCTTTGTAGTTGACATGGTGTGTTATGATATATGTGTAAGTGTTGGCTTTTGTAGTGCCTGTTGCTTTGTAGGTGACATGGTGAGTAGTGATATGTGTACAGTGTTGGCTTTTGTAGTGTCTGTTGCTTTGTAGGTGTCATGGTGGGTAATGATATGTGTACAGTGTTGGCTCTTGTAGTGTATGTTGCTTTGTAGCTGACATGGTGAGTAGTGATATGTGTACAGTGTTGGCTTTTGTAGTGTATGTTGCTTTGTAGCTGACATGGTGCGTAATGATATGTGTACAGTGTTGGCTTTTGTAGTGTCTGTTGCTTTGTAGGTCACATGGTGGGTAATGATATGTGTACAGTGTTGTAGCTGACATGGTGAGTAGTGATATATGTGTAAGTGTTGGCTGCTGTAGTGTATGTTGCTTTGTAGCTGACATGGTGAGTAGTGATATATGTGTAAGTGTTGGCTGCTGTAGTGTATGTTGCTTTGTAGCTGACATGGTGAGTAGTGATATATGTGTAAGTGTTGGCTGCTGTAGTGTATGTTGCTTTGTAGCTGACATGGTGGAGTAGTGATATATGTGTAAGTGTTGGCTGCTGTAGTGTATTTGCTTTGTAGCTGACATGGTGAGTAGTGATATATGTGTAAGGTGTTGGCTGCTGTAGTGTATGTTGCTTTGTAGCTGACATGGTGAGTAGTGATATATGTGTAAGTGTTGGCTGCTGTAGTGTAATGTTGCTTTGTAGCTGACATGGTGAGTAGTGATGTATGTGTAAGTGTTGGCTGCTGTAGTGCCTGTTGCTTTGTACCTGACATGGTGGGTTATGATATGTGTACAGTGTTGGCTTTTGTAGTGTCTGTTGCTTTGTAGGTGTCATGGTGGGTTATGATATGTGTACAGTGTTGGCTTTTGTAGTGTCTGTTGCTTTGTAGGTGTCATGGTGGGTAATGATGTATGTGTACAGTGTTGGCTTTTGTAGTGTCTGTTGCTTTGTAGGTGACATGGTGGGTTATGATATATGTGTACAGTGTTGGCTTTTGTAGTGTCTGTTGCTTTGTAGCTGACATGGTGGGTAATGATATACGTGTACAGTATTGGCTCTTGTAGTGTATGTTGCTTTGTAGCTGACATGGTGAGTAGTGATATATGTGTAAGTGTTGGCTGCTGTAGTGTATGTTGCTTTGTAGCTGACATGGTGAGTAGTGATGTATGTGTAAGTGTTGGCTGCTGTAGTGTATGTTGCTTTTGTAGCTGACATGGTGAGTAGTGATGTATGTGTAAGTGTTGGCTGCTGTAGTGTATGTTGCTTTGTAGCTGACATGGTGGGTTATGATATGTGTACAGTGTTGGCTTTTGTAGTGTCTGTTGCTTTGTAGGTGTCATGGTGGGTTATGATATGTGTACAGTGTTGGCTTTTGTAGTGTCTGTTGCTTTGTAGGTGTCATGGTGGGTAATGATATACATGTACAGTGTTGGCTTTTGTAGTGTATGTTGCTTTGTAGCTGATATGGTGGGTAATGATATATGTGTACAGTGTTGGCTCTTGTAGTGTATGTTGCTTTGCAGCTGACATGGTTGGTAATGATATATGTGTACAGTTTTGGCTGCTGTAGCGTCTGTTGCTTTGTGGCTGACAAGGTTGGTTATGATATATGTGTACAGTTTTGGCTGCTGTAGTGCCTGTTGCTTTGTGGCTGACATGATGGGTAATGATATATGTGTACAGTTTTGGCTGCTGTAGTGCCTGTTGCTTTGTGGCTGACATGGTGGGTAATGATATATGTGTACAGTTTTGGCTGCTGTAGCGTCTGTTGCTTTGTGGCTGACATGGTGGGTTATGATATATGTGTACAGTTTTGGCTTTTGTAGTGTCTGTTGCTTTGTAGCTGACATGATGGGTAATGATATATATGTACAGTTTTGGCTTTTGTAGTGTCTGTTGCTTTGTGGCTGACATGGTGGGTTATGATATATGTGTACAGTTTTGGCTTTTGTAGTGTCTGTTGCTTTGTAGCTGACATGGTGGGTAATCATATATGTGTACAGTTTTGGTTGTTGTAGTGTATGTTGCTTTGTAGCTGACATGGTGGGTAATCATATATGTGTACAGTTTTGGTTGTTGTAGTGTCTGTTGCTTTGTAGCTGACATGATGGGTAATGATATATGTGTACAGTTTTGGCTGCTGTAGCGTCTGTTGCTTTGTGGCTGACATGGCGGGTAATGATATATGTGTACAGTGTTGGCTGTAGTAGCGTCTGTTGCTTTGTGGCTGACATGGTGGGTAATGATATATGTGTACAGTGTTGGCTGTTGTAGTGTCTGTTGCTTTGTGGCTGACATGGTGGGTAATGATATATGTGTACAGTGTTGGCTTTTGTAGTGTCTGTTGCTTTGTGGCTGACATGGTGGGTAAATGATATATGTGTACAGTGTTGGCTGTTGTAGTGCCTGTTGCTTTGTAACTGAGAAGGTGGGTTATGATACATGTGTACAGTGTTGGCTGTTTTAGTGTCTGTTGCTTTGTAGCTGACATGGTGAGTAGTGATATATGTGTAAGTGTTGGCTACTGTAATGCCTGTTGCTTTGTAGCTGACATGGTGGTTAATCATATATGTGTACAGTGTTGGCTGTTGTAGTGTCTGTTGCTTTGTAGCTGACATGGTGGGTTATGATATATGTGTACAGGGTTGGCTGCTGTAGTGTCTGTTGCTTTGTAGCTGACATGGTGAGTAGTGATATATGTGTAAGTGTTGGCTTTTGTAGTGCCTGTTGCTTTGTAGGTGACATGGTGGTTAATCATATATGTGTACAGTGTTGGCTGTTGTAGTGTCTGTTGCTTTGTAGCTGACATGGTGGGTTATGATATATGTGTACAGGGTTGGCTGCTGTAGTGTCTGTTGCTTTGTAGCTGACATGGTGGGTTATGATATATGTGTACAGTGTTGGCTGTTGTAGTGTCTGTTGCTTTGTAGCTGACATGGTGGGTAATGATATATATGTACAGTGTTGGCTGTTGTAGTGTCTGTTGCTTTGTAGCTGAGAAGGTGGGTTATGATATATGTGTAAGTGTTGGTTGTTGCAGTGTCTGTTGCTTTGTAGGTGACATGGTGGGCAATGATATATGTGTACAGTGTTGGCTGTTGTAGTGTCTGTTGCTTTGTAGCTGATATGGTGGGTTATGATATATGTGTACAGTGTTGGCTGCTGTAGTGTCTGTTGCTTTGTAGCTGATATGGTGGGTAATGATGTATGTGTACAGTGTTGGTTGTTGAAGTGTATGTTGCTTTGTTGTTGACATGGACCTTTTTGGCTATAGTAGTATATCGTTTCTTCATTGTGTACAGAGTTGGCTATTGTGGTGTCTGTTGCTATGTATTTTGATGTCTGTTACTATGTAGTGGTGGACTATAATAGTATTCGTTGCAGCATGGTGTACAGAATACAGAATTGGTAATTGTAATAGCTCGTTACTTTATGGTGTTATGGGAGGGTCAGGCTTTACAGCTCGTAACTTTTTGGCGTCCTTGGTGGGCTATGGTATGTTTTTCGTAACTTAGTTTTAGTAATCTTTAAAAGTATGCTTTATGTTTTAAAAGTATTCTTTCAAATATCTTTATATAATGAAAAGTGCGAAACAAAACAGAACAGTAACAAATATTTAGCAAAGACTTATACATTGTACTGCACTACATTCATTTATTTTTTTATTATTATTTTCACAGACAACACCCACGTGACTATAAAACAGATAGAGCAGAATATACATTTACTGTATATATTATGATAATAATTTTGTTGTAAAATAATAGATATAAAATAACTCGTTAAATTATCCATGGAAGGATGGAAAATGTGTGTCATTTTCAAATGAATTTTTATTCTCAAAACCTTCATTTTATTGGATTTTTATGCGCACGAGAATAGTATTACTGTTTTTATGAAGAAAAAGGGATTCACGACTCTGTCAATACAAAACTTAAATGACTTTATATATACACCATACTTTATCAATTACATGTGCACATGTATATTGTTTTTCGCCTCTTCCCCGCCTCCCCCACACAATGGTTGAAAAACAATCCGGTTTGAAAGTTGTTGTTTATATTACTTGTATTCTATCTTTCCTTTTTTACTTTTACAAAAGCCATGTTTTGGTGAGTTTGTCGTATTTTGAACATAAAAACGATAGTAACTGTAGTGTTATTAAATTATTTAAAGATTGAAGCATCTTCTTTTTTTTTTAATTTTAACAAATTTCTGCCTATAAGCGCATAAATATTTTCTGACAAGTTACAAGAAATTTATAGCTTTTCGGATATTTTTCTTTCTTCGTCAGTTTATCAAGGGGATAATCTGATTGATAAGGCAGCAAAAGTTGCACGTGTATTTGGTGTTTTTATATTTTGCGTGTGAGTTTTAATACTGTACCATACAGAATGTATTATGTACTTTTTTTTCATGTGTATAAATCACCGTAATAAACTTTTTTGGGGTGTATGATTTCCTTGTTATTTTCTTCAATTGTTCTGCCATTCACATCCTTAATTATTAGATATATTTTAACTGAGCATTTATGCTAGTATAATTAATTATATGATGTAGTCAAATGATATTCTGAATGTCCTCATAACTCAATTTTTATGTATGTCAAAGAAATATAAAAATATATTTGAAAACAATAACTAAAGAAATGGTGACGCTGTCATAATTAATGATTTTTATCTTATTTCACAAATATGTGTCGTTTGAGAACATGCAAATTGTGCATCGCGAGACATGTGTCACTATTCCGTTTAACTCCACGTGAAATCAATACACCAATCACGTGTCAACATAAAAGACATTATCAATAAATAATGTGGCATCATTAGGAACGGTACATCATCATCTATGTTAGTAGTAATTAGTGAGGTTTTTATAACCCCGTATACTTGTGTTTTAAAGGCGTCACGCTGGGCCAGACACCTTTACTATTTTTGAGTGACACAATCCTATCATTTCAGAGCAGTTAAGATTTAACCTTGCATTTTTTATGGACCTTGATTTGCATGTTATATATATACCCTATATATATAAATAAATATTAAAAAAATATACAATGTATATCATTTAACAGTATCATCAACCGATTCTTTCTTTCTACCTTTCTTTCTTCTTCATCTTCATATTTATTTATTCAGATATGATCCATTAAAAAATGAATCAATTGTATGCCTATTGGTTTCGTACACAAAATGACAAAATCAAGAGGGATTACTCCGCATGGCACATAAGTAATAGAAGAAAGATAACCCTTCCTGGTATAATGCTTGTCCGTCCCGTCTGGGGCCTCACACAAAATGTAAACACAATGACAGATGTTGAAATAATGTAGTAACCAATCAAAATCGACGAGACAAAGGAACATTCTGAAGTGTCAAACAGATTTACCGTAATGCCTCTGGCGGTAGTATTGTTATAATCAACATGCTTCGCGTTATCAAATATTTAATCATAAAATGCTTGAGGCTCTCTTTGATCAAAGGAAAATTAAATAGCCCCGAATAGCGGCCCTTTTTCAGGTGCTGTTTTAAAAGATTTTTGTAATCCTATGATACTATTTGCGTATAGTTCAAAGGATTCCTTTTCACAAGATTTGATACAAAATAGCAGCCATTTGAAGTCCACATACCTGGTGGCGATACCAAATTGTATTTGCTAATTGACAATTATGCATTTTTTGTTTTGATAAAAAAGAAGATTTATTACAAAGTAGCAAAAATCATTTCAGTTTTATATCATCATCATCATCATCTCAAGTAATTGCATCACTCCGCAAGGAGTATATCTGTGAATATTTGTAGAAAACAATATATCTTGAACATTAATGACATCTCAAAAAGTCCAATATACCATGTAAGTGAATCTTTTTTATATAAAAATAAGATTTGTTTAATTAGGTTGCATTGTTAAGAGAAACAAGGATGTTTTAATTAAATGTTATTGGAAACACTTAATTACCAATTAAATTAGTGTTTATAATTTGTACAAAAAGAATGATTAACTAGACTGATTTTTAAGCCAAATTTCTAAGCATATGTGTGTAACGATTCATTAAAAAGTACTGCAATACTCAGAGATGTAGATGTTATATCTATGTCTCTGCAATACTTTAGAAAAAATAAATGCATTAAAGCCATAAAGTGTATTTCTTAAAATTCTAACAGCACAGACAGAGTAGAGTTCATTTTGTAAAGATGCATCGGGGTCTTTCAATTACACTTTCGAGAAGACCAAAAGTTTGATAAAAAATATATCACAAAGGAAAAGTGTATTGTTTTGAAACCTCAGGACTATCTTATTTTTAGGTATAGATGTGTTATATTATACATATTCAAGAAAAGAACTGTTCGACCACTTTTTTTTTGAAGATTCGTGAATATATCAAAAAATCAATTAAATAAATAGCTTCATTAAAATTAATTGAGTAAATTAATTCATTTCAATCGAAACATTACTCCACTATAAGGCACCCCCTGAGAATATCTGTTTACTCGGTCAATTACATGTCAAATGTCATGTTCCAGGAGTACTGTTTCATTGATTAGAGTATTTACGGTAGTGACGCACTTAAAGTTGACCTACAACTTTCTGTATTTTGTTTATCCAGTCATGTTCTATTTTTAGATATTCCATATATGGCAAATAAGATTAGTGACGTACAGTTATTCGCACGATTTCATTGGTGCTTACTCAGTCGTCATACTGAGTGACGTAAACAATATCGATTGCTTCGCAGCGACCGACGCCATTTTACAAAGCGAAGCGAACAAAGACACAAGCTAAATAAACAGCAATATTTTAAGAAAATATTTAGGCTCGCGCCTACTAAACTTGAAGAAAATACCAAAAAAATATATAACTACGTGGAGTCAAGAAAACCAATCTGTAAGTTTGACATTTTTCATTTGGAAATAAGAAGAAAAATCATTTTTTGCGGAGGACTAGAAAACCAAGCCACAAGGCACAACAGAACAAAAAGGAAAGAACTTGTATAAACTATGAAGGAAGAAATTAAAAGTGCTGTCGATTTTTTAACGAACATTATCAGATCAAGAGACGATGTAAACGAAACACAAACGCGTCAATTCAACGATAGTTTGACAAATTTGCTTAGTGATCGATACCAAGATCATTGGTTTCCTGAGAAACCATTCAAAGGTTCAGGCTACAGGTGTATCAGATTGAATCACAATATGGACCCATTGATCTTACAAGCTGGAAATATGTGTGGACTTGATCTCTTATTCCTTGAGTCATCATTGCCACCAGAGCTTACGATTTGGGTGGATCCTAGGGACGTTTCATTCAGAATTGGTGAAAATGGAAGTGTTGGTGTCCTGTATCAAACAACTAGGGACTCTCAGTCACAAGTGCAGGCAACCCCATCTCAATCTACGTCAACTCATATGGTGCAGCAATCTAGTGATAACTCATTTCATCAAATGAACAGGAACTTCAACAATACCATAATGGCGTGCAAGGACCAGTTCATGAATGTTTTGCCAAGTATTTCCAGAGAAGCAGTGCATTATCAACAATTTGCTGGATTTGTTTCCAGTTAATTGTTCATGGATATTTTTTAAAAGAATCTTAGGGCATGCATTTCATTAAATTGGTTTTCGACTACAAGCTCATGTTTTACGGACTTTGACAAATGCCATTTTATTTTATTTTGATGTTTTAAATCATGTATTGGCTATTGTGATTTTAGACTCGAGACATTAAGTTTTGAGCAGTGCTGTTGTACCAATGTGATAATTTCTGGGATGATATTTGACATGTAGTTCAATGCATGATTTTTTATGTATTTTGTGACAATGTAAATCTGTTTTTAATCTTTATTAGTGTGATTCCTGTGGAGTTACTTTTAAAGACTGTTGGGCAAGTCAATCATAATTTTTGCCAGAATAGCTCAGGATATCATGTATTTAGCATTTCCAATGTTGATGCTTTGCACTTAGTGCAATTTAAGTCTTTCATGTACACTTTAACGCATCCTGATCTCCAATGGGATATTATTATATGTATTAATATAAAGTTGCAATGTATTTTTGACCAAAGTCGGGGTGTAATATCCCTGATATAGGTGCAAAATATTAAATATTTTAAATATAAAATATGTGCAAAAAATAAAGATTAAAAATATTAAAAATGTGCAAATGATAAGAACGTCTTGTTCTTTCATTCACCATGCCATACAGAAAATGTATCAGAACCTAGCCACAATATCTTTTGCAAAATTAATACATATCTGTCCAAAGTACATATTTTATTGATTAATAAGTTAGAAAAGAATTTCTGTTTAAGTTAGAAAATAGTCGAAAATAGAGCAAATATTTCCATTTTGTAACTCAAGATGACTTTTCATACAGGTTAATCATTACATTTAAAATGGTGTTGGTCTGTCAGAATAGATAAACCATTTTTTTTTTTTATCGATTCTTTGGACAAATTTGTATTAATGCTGCAAAAATGCTGAAACTATTGATCAGCAAATTATTAAGCTGCAAAAACAAGTTGATAACTAGGAGAACCTGAGTGGCACAATATCGATTTTCATAAATGCGTGGTACTAAAGATTTTGTGCTTGGTACAGGTCCCTTCTACACTATACCACAGTAAATAATCATATGTACAGTTATACATGTACGGTATTCTTTGCCCATATCTACCTTGATTGTAATTTGCAGAGCTTTTAAATATGGAATGAATTGGTGAAATTTGTTTGAAAAACAAATCTATAAGATAACTATATATACTAATCAAGAACCACTAATCAAAACATTCCGATAACAGAAACATAAGTATTCTTATTTAAATTTATGCAACTTTTTTAAGATGACAACATGCTTATGGGACTTTTGTTATGTAGATTAATTAATACTAAAAGTAGCAGAGAAAATGATCCTCAATGGTATAAAAGAACTTTAATACAACTGCATTCCTAAGCTGAAATGTTCTCAAAATTTTATAACATACTTAAGTGGAATGACTTCAATGACATTGAATTGTATTTTGTACGAGTTCAGGATATCTATCAGAAAAAAAACTAGATCAATATGAAGCTACATAGGAAATATTTTTATATTTGGAAATACACACATTCTGCTAACTATCGTATATAAAATTAAAGGGATGCAGAAGTTCTACAGAAGAACTAATGCAGATGACTATGAAATTGATACATCATGTATAATTATGACCTAACAGACAACATAAATAGATTGACATATACTGGTATCCTTTGCATATTTTAAGCAAATGAACTTGGATTACTCCAGATCTAATTGGGAAATCAAACTGTTACTTAAATATATGAAACAAATGTTAATAAGTTTGCCATATAAATAAGTATATTATTTTCTGCAAGTGTAGTTTGATTGTAAACTTATCTATTTAAGCTTGAATGTGAATCAAGTTCTTTCACCTTATATTAATCACTTTCGAGTCCGCTTCCTGGACCAACCAGTACTGGTGTCTGACCTGATTAGGGCTCGAACCCATGATCTCTGGGTTGTTAGGCAGGCACCTTTATCATTAGGACACAGCAAGTGTAGTATCCAGCAGCATGTAATAAGTTGTATTTACCAGTAAACATACATGTATGTCTTAGTCTGTGAAGTAATCTAACTGGCCTTTCACTTCATAATTACCAAGCAGACTTATGACCATTCGTCTAATTTCATAACTACAACATTCATGCATATGTGTGATAGTACAGTTTGATGCCATTTAATGAATGGGAACAAAAAACATACAAAAATATGTATAAAGTAATCAATTTCTTCAATGCTGTCTCGTAAGAAAAAGTAGGGAACAAAATAGTGCATGTTTTATGGGAAATAATGCAATACTTGTTGTTATAAAATTTCTTTTAACTAGATGATTTTCCTGGTCAGCATGTCTTGTTACTGTAGGGAGGAGGACTTTGTTCAGACATATTTCCCTTTAAAAAGATCATGAGTGTCAAAAAAAAAAAATCAGTTAATAATTTTACTGCTTTCTAGTTGTACTAAATTAAATACCAGAAGTTTATATGTAGACACTTGTGAAATATATTTCGATCGGACATATAAACCAAAAAAATTCCTCCATGATAATACATTGTAATGCTTGATGGTAAAGAAAACTTGATTCATGAACCATTCAACAGTTCCACTCCATTCCCTTTTTTGTGTCACCTCTACAGAGAAGTGGCGACATACAGGGATCACTTCTCCATAGTCTGTCTGTCCCTCACAAAATTTGTCTGGACAACTAAATTATTTCATCCAAACTTACAGGAAGGATCAGTACCAAGTCTAGTTGGGTATAACGTCGGCATTTTCCGGTTCGAAAAAAGCACCGAGTTCTCAGTCATTGGTCAAACAAGCACATTTGTCAATGAGGAAACCTTAAAAACAATCCCTTAACCACTGGCTGACCACTCCCTTTGTAACAACAATTGAATGTTCTTATCTTTGACTGATGTAAACAGTTACTAAACCACATCTGCTAAATGTTTAAAACCTTCAATGATATACAAATGACAAATATTTCAAAATATCAGTTTAGTTCATTGTTCATATTTCAAAATGGCATTTCTATTTGCATGAATTTTGGCTGATCTTTCCAATAAGTTATACTAAGTCTTCCAATTCTTACCAAAGTGTACTTTATTCTAGCTTGTGTTTCATTAGGTATTTTAGAATACATATACTTACCTCTTACTGACTGAATCTTGTAAATGCTTATTATCCCTCATCTAGCTGCCTTTGATTTGTTGAATAAACTGGTCAGACTTGAATTGAAATTTAATCAACCAAAGGTAATGACTGGTCAGACTGAGTGACCAAATGTGTGTGCAGATTGGTGGAATAAATAAGGAATAAGGCCTAAATATCTAGTTGTCGCCTAAAACTCACTTTCAAGTCAAAGTTTAATTAGAAAATAAAATAATTGACAATAATACAATCATCTGTACTGCAGAACTTGAAAGGGAAGCATTATAGCTTTCAAGAATATTAAAATAGAAATTACGATAATTTTAACAAGTGATCAGGACTGGTGATGTTTTTCAGATACTTTTTTGTTGGGAAAACAAAAATATTTTCTACCTTCATTTTTTTTCATTGTCATTTTAAGCAGAATCAAATTATTTCTTTTTGTTCGCTGTACTGCTAAATTTTCACTGTAACGGACTCAAAATTATTTGAACAGAAATAATCAATACATTGATTTGAGCAAGAGAATAGGATCAAAACTGGGTTAAAGTGCAAATTTCATGTGTACCTCTTAATATGTACTTTATCATAATTAGATAAAATCTATTTATTTTAAACTTTGCAATAATGATAAATTATACAATATTATACATGCTACTGACGGTAGTGTTACCTAGGTACAAATATTCTTTATTTAATTTTGGCAACATTTCTTGATTCATCAAACCATATTTGACTTGTTCAAACAGAGCCTAAGTAGGTCTTTTTTCACTATTTTATATTGAAGGATGACTATAGAATAATGGTTGTTTTCACATCCTTCAAACATAAAATTATATCCCAAAATTTGGCCCATATGAAAGAAAATCTTCAATTTTGTGATGCATCAAGACATAATTGAAATTATGTACTGTCTGTTAATTCCAAATACATGTATTTAACACAGACGGTTAGTAATCAGGAAATACCATATTTTTGCAATTATGTGTAAAACTGCTTCATTTATGTTTCAAATTAATAACAATTTACTCACAAAAATGGAGGGATTAACAGTAATGCCTTAAATTTAAATGCTTATTTTGTTTGAACACACCTGACTCCTGATTAATATTGCTATTGAACTGAAAATAAACTAATAATTATAATGATAAGCTTTAAAATAATAGGAAACATCTGCCAGAAGAGATGGTTTTGTAAGAACTTTGTGTATGATACCAAATATAAAACTCTGTTTTAAAGCTTGTTTATCTTTTAACGTTAATATTCAGCATGCTCTTTATACTTATATAGTACCTTGATAAAGATGAACATTAGAAACAACCATACAGTAATAAATAACAGTTATAACCCATAACCTGCTTAACATCTTTTAAGGAACGCCACTGAAGTTAAACATGAAATTTTCAAATCATACTCAGATCACCTGGGGCACTTAAAAGAAAAAGATATGAAAATGATAATATTATTAAGAAATATACTAGGAGAATTTTTTTTTTCAATTTTGGGTTATTATTTAACCCATTACTGCATGAGCATTTTGTGAAAAATGGCTGTTTTCATTGAAAAGTCTACTGTTACAAGTTCAAATTGCTATAAAACTATAAAGACTTCTTTAATACTATTCAAACTTGGCACAAATGTTGACTGGACCATTGCCTTTGTAACAACATGCTCAGTCTTAAATTTCATGTTACCATGGCAATGAGGGGACATCTCAAAATTGCCAAAAATCACTATTTTGTGTTGATTTTTTACATCAAAATTGATTTCAAAGTGCTGCAACTTCTCAATGGATTCAGATAGAGTCAAAGGCTTTTCGGCATTGGTTACACGTTACCTTATGATCGACCTGGGGTCATTTTAAGCCTCTCACAAGTCAAAAATTTTCTTGGCGATGAGGGGGACTGCCGCCCCCCAAACAGACAGGGGCACATCCCCCTTCTGGCAACCCCCTGATGTACTTTTTGGATGGGGGGCGGCGCCAGAAAAAGTGCTCACTTTTTTATCAACATTTCTCAAACGAAAACATGTGTTTGGAGCCAAAACAGAACATTTTTTCACTATTTGAGGCCTAAAAGAAGTGGGGGGTGGGTGGGGGGGGGTCGAAAATGCTTGGTTTCGCGTATATATGAGGTAAAAGGTTAATTTCACATTTAGAATAATAATTCTTGATAAACAGAGTAAGTAAATGATCTGAAATTTTGCAGACAAGTTATTTGTCTAGACCTACATCAAATGGAACATTAATGTCGAAAAATATTTTCAATCCGTCATGACTCAGTGGAGTCCCTTTAAGGCTTGGACTATATCATAAAATTCATTTAATCTTTGCATGATCTAAATGAAACAGTTAAAGGAATTTAATGCAGTCACCAACATCATTTTTCAGTTATCTTCACTTGAATTTGAAAATTTGATTATTCATAACCAAGGTAAGCAATTGCCTTATTTGCCTGACTTCAGAGTGATTGTGCAAAATTTCAAGAATTGGTAAGATTAGTACATGTGTCTGAAAGGCACTCAGCTGAGGTTTTTTTGACAACAGGACTGGACTCCCCCCCCCCCCTCCCCCCCTGGGATTTTCAAACCAATAACTTGTGTGCAATTAAGATCATTCCTTCATCCTGTTTTTCCAAAATGGTCATTTTTTAGTGCAAAATGACCCAAAAATATAATGCTTTTCATTCAAATTAGGCAAAAAATCACAAAAAAAATGAATATTCTGTTAATTCTGAAGATATTTCTTTATTATCCTTTGAAGATTACCCTAAAAATGGCTATTTTTCAGTTTCTGTACTTTTTAAATTGAAAAATGAAGGGAACACAAATTACCATATTACCATTCTATAATAAGTATATCATGATGTGGGGTTTATTTATTTAGAAATGAAAAGTAGGAAATGACTCAATATTGTACATGTCCCCCATTGATGATCAGCTTATCAATAATTATTACAAAAATAATTAATTATAAATGTAATGACATAGATCACAATTAGATTTAAACATTCTAAATGTTTGTCACAATCATCAAGGTGATCTTCCATGCAAAACCTAAAGGAAAGACTAATGTAAATTTATTTTGTATCATAGTTTGGTCAGAGATAAATCGTATACATATACATGCACAGTGCGTTAACTGGAGTGCAGGTATTAGTTACCCGCACTCCTGAGCACTGTTGCCGTCCAGAAACTTTAATATTGATTATTATTTTTCTATTTCTAGGTGGCTTGTCTTCATACATGGACACATCAACCCATTGCGCAATGCCTTAAAGTAGACCATACTGAACATGACATATATTGACCTATAAACGACCCTTATCTTCAATGTCAAATCTTTTTTTTTTTTTTGCTTCAGTTGGCTTTAACTTTGTTCTCTATGAATGGATTGTCTTCAACACTTAATATTTAGACATGAACATCCTTTGGACAAGACCTTAAAGTAGACCAATTTGACAACAATGACCTTAACTTATCCATGACTGTGACCTTGATTGTTGCTATAATTTGCTATGACTTTGTAAGTAATGAATGAATTGTCTTCATCCTTGGGAATAACAATCCTTGGGATATAAAATTAAAGTAGATTTATTTGAACTTGACCTTTATTTGATCTTGAAATTAAAGGTCAAATAAGTGAATTTTGCTACATTTTGATTTAACTTTGTTATTTATTTATGTACTTGAATGGTCCTTGGAGAAAAGATGACAAAATTGACGTGATGGATAATTCGAAATGTGACTGACCTTCAAATGACCTTGACCATCAACCTTTTTAATTATCATTATTGATCATAATGGACAGATTTGATTCATACTATTAGGATAAAACAACACTTATGACAACACCTTAATTTTGAATAATTTAAGTGTATGACCTTGATCTTAAATGACCTGGACTGTCAAGGTCAAATAAGAAATTTTAAACATAATTAGTAACAAGCAAGTTAAATTTTCTAGGAGCATTCTTTACTACAATATTCTCCTTCCAATGTGTTCCACTTTGGAAATAAGAAAAAGCTAAGCATGTCCCCCCAACTGATGGTGGCTTTTGTTTAGTCAGTGTCATCATAGCTTAAGAAAAGAAGACAATTCTCAAAAGTAACCAAGAATTGAGCAATTTTCAGGCGTGATCCAGGTTTTCTGATGTGTGGGGGTCATAAAATTTAGACAAAGGGTAATTGCATTTTCTAAACTGGAGCTTTCAAGAAGGGGTTATGAGTAAAATCTATTATTATATATGATTATTATCTTATTATTCCCTTTAAATATTTTTTTAAGCGCACAATTTGCTTTATGCAATTAAAAATTTTTTTTTTACCTAATTACTTAAGTGAGCTCTTAACAAAACTGCATCTCAGAAAAACTCGCTCTTAGCAGTATTCAAACTCAACTCTTCTGTTGTGCAAACAAAATAAACCAAATGCTATGTAGGTACAGACCATTTAGATCTAGTCACTAAATTAATGAAGTTATAAATTATATAAATCTAGAATCTAATCAGAATGTAATCTAATCTAATTATCCAAAATAAACTTAATCATTTGAAAATATTAAATATAGATAAATAATCAATGTTATGAAATAGTGAGCCATTAAAAAATAAATTTGATGTATCAAATATAGGTGAGCGATTTCCGTCAAAATACAATCTCTTGTAAATACTCTTCAAAGGAGATAGAAAAGTTAGTTAAAGATGGCGGACGCGAGCAAATGGAAATTTCGGGGCGAAGGAAATGCATGTTTGGTGCTTGTAAATTTAGAGGTGAGCTTGTTGAATAGATAGAAACACTTAAATCTAAAAGTTTACAGTGTTAGAAAAGGTTGTCAGCAATATATGACTCTCTTGTTTGAGAGACTTTGATTTGCGATGTGCAATGTCAGCATCCGAAACATTTTCCCATAAAAATTATGTTGTTTAGGTTTGTTATTTTCGTTTGTTACAATCAATAAAGTAACAGCAATGAAAAATTATAATATTATTATAAAAGTCAAATATATTTGTTAATTCAATATGTAATTAGCATGTTGGATAGACATGATAAGCTGATATGGACTAGTTTTTTAGTGTACAAAAGTCAACCTTGTCCTTGAGAGTCAAAACACTTCAGTTAATGTCCAGAGTCTTGTGAGGTTTATGTGATGAAAAGAAACAATTATTTCACTTTTAATAATCTGTTCTGGAAAGGCATTTTCATCTGTTCCCAGCATACCATATGTATTGTCATGTTGCATTCGTAACCTACATCATGCCTTAATAATTTTCGCTATTTTTCCATCACACTGTAATTTAAATGACCAACTGTGGCAGGTTTGTAAACATTTTCATGGCATAAGGGAGGTCACTCAGCTGAATAAACATATAACTTGGCAGTTTACAGTGACAGCGTTTAAGTGTGTCTCATGTAAATTAGGGTCAACATCGTGTTTTGTTTCTACGCTGATGGTCACCCTACGAAAGAGGATCATTTATGATGATTTCTGACTGTAAACCATTTTGAGATTTTAAATAGTATTTAACGACAGAAAACATTGATACCAGTACAATAAAATGATAAGATAATTTGATGTCAAAAACTCTACCAAAATGTTGTGTCACATGTAGCTCTAAAAGTGCTTGAGCTAGAGAAGAAGCCAGAGTCAACAAACATTACACATGTAAAGTTGTGCACCTGGGTTTTTGTGTGTGGATTATTTTAGTTTATATTGCCCTCAGTAAAAACACGGATTTATATTACAAGGATCGGACACTTTCGTTTAGCGTAAAGTCTCGTCGCGCGCATGCGTGGAATCGGACATCGGATAAAGGTGGACAGAATGAGAGATGGCGGAACGCGCGGAGTGCGAAATATGACAGATTTTCACAAGAGTATGTGGTGTTATTGCAGCTTTGTCAAAAATTATACACATATGAATGTATTGATATAGTATTATTTTGTGTCGCTAAAGTATTAATATATGAAAATATGCCGATAGAACTATGCAACGCTTAGTTAAAAAAGTACCTTATTAAAAAAATATTCGCCTATTGTTTAGGCATACTCTCTACACTTTGACGCCCTTTTACTTCAAGCACAAATTATAACCGCGATTCAGATTAAGATAATTCTTTTTTACATGGTTCAATGGGTGCATTGCAAAAAAATGTTTCTTGATTGCTTAAAAACTTTTAAAGAAATTCATGTCTGAAATTTGTCCTTATTTCTGTGAATTATTTCCAAATGATTTGTATATTTTTTTTATTTTATTACCTGTATATTATAATAAATATAGTAAGATTTACAAAAAATAATAATGACATAAATGATGAAGGAAATTTAAACATTCTATGAATATGGCAATATTAAAATCTCGGCAATATTTTGTACTAAAAAAATGAATAAATTTTCTTTACGTGTTGAGTGAATTGTAAAGCCGTACATTACCCGTAAAACAATTGTGCGTTAATAAATTTAACTACATAACCCAATGAATCTTAAATATTGCATCTTTGATCATCTGTGAATAACTTACATCGGCTTCTTTTTTATTTTGAAATTGAATTTATTATGTTACCATATTAATAGATTTCAAATACCCGCTTTTTATATTTTTTTTTATAAATTTACCGCGGATTTCGTCAAGTTAATTGTTTAATCGTCGTTGCCGACAGATAAACTGTACCTTTAAAAAATAAATTAGATATTCGAATTAAACAAGTATTTTTCTTCAAAATAAACTTTAAATTTTCAAAATCGGATAATAAATGGAAAAGCTATATGGTATTTTGTAAAGTAGGTATCCGTTGCGAACACGCATTTACGCTAAGCGCCGATAAATTATCGATCGATGTACCTTTATCGGGTGCACGACAAGATATTTAAGCGTTTATATAGGGTTAACTGGGAGTGTCCGATCCCTGTAATATAAATCCGTGGTAAAATTGACAATATTCAACTTACATCGCATGAAGCTCAAAAAGTATTTGACCTGGAGTCATGAAACTTAACAGGAATGTTGATGCGCATGTGTAGTTGTGGACCTGAAGTTTTGCTTGTGGTTTTATTCAGTATTTAAAGAGTTATTGCCCTTGAGTCAATTTATTAAAATTTGCAATTTTCAGTAGCTTTACCTACAGCCACAAAACCTTAAAGGAATGTTGGTCAGCATTTTGACCAAGTGACCTTTTTATTTTGAGAACTACATCATTGAAAACTGCTGTCACAGATTCAGATTTTAACTTTGATATCAGTTGACCTTGATTTCGACATAATGCCTGTCTTTCATTAGTAGTTATCAATATTATCAGTCCTCTGTTATTTTGAGCCTTTATACTTAGGTGTGCAATATAGAGTCATCATGATCCTTTTGTTTAACAATTAAGTTAATGTTTACAAAAAATGTAACCATGGGTGCCTTAATAGATACTATATAGTATTTTACATGACAGTGCATACCAATATCACATATCACACAGCTAAATTATTTCAACTGGTAGATTTTTTTGTGATTGAAAATGAAATGTTTGGATTTTGAAAGAAAAGTAGGTATATTTGAATGGTTAAAAGCTGCATGATGTTCCTTGTTGAAGAAGCTCAGTTACAATGCTAAAAACAATGTATGCTAAAAGACCAGAAACAAATTCAAGTTTTCCTTTACCAAATGTGTAGTTTTCTAAATTGCATTTCAGGAAAAGATGGTGTACAGACTTGCCAAATCAAAATACTGGGGTAAAGGTCATTTGTTAACAAATGCAGAGGTAATCTATTTTTGTCTTTCTTTATGTTTGTTAGAAATAAGTATTTAATATTAAAGGAACCTCACTGATGTCTTAAAACATTTTTTTTCATTCATATTTAGATCTACTGGGACACTATAAATAGAAAAATAGGGAAAAGTTGATAAGGAAATAAACACAACATTAAATTTGATTTATTAGCCTGATTTAGTTGAAAAACTTAATAACACATTTTTGCTAAAATGATAATCCTGGAACAATTTATTATACTTTGGATGAATATATGTTTAAAACAGAATATAACTGCAAAGTTAATTTTATTTTCAGGATAAAATGGACAGGATACATGAAGAATTGCAATTAGTTGTTGATTATATGAAGAACGTCATGCAGCCATTGCTGTCACCATATTTTGTTATTCTCCCAGTAAGTTATAACTCCTAGGTTACAGAATACTTTTGTCATCTTTTTACAAGCAGTGATATGATTTTTCTATATCGCCTCCGTGGTCGAGGGGTTAGAGGCGATGACTTCTAATCCAGTTAACCCGGGAGATGCTTTGGTAGTTTAGCATGGAGGAAGGTAGTCTAGTACTGGTGTAACTCTCCAGGAACGATGATTAGGAAACTACCCGCCTATATGACTGAATTACTGTTGGGAAAAGGTGTAAAATGAAACAAACAAGTGATTTTTCTCTCATTATTGGGAAGAGGCCTTAGCCACTTGATTTTGGGAAAATATTATTGTTAAAATTGCTTTTTTTGAAGTAAAAAAGCAGGTTTAAGTTAACATTTTTGGGAAAACTGCATGATTTTAAAGAAAATTTCAATTGGAAAGAGGCCTTTTATCAAAGTCAGTTATATAAGCAAGAAAGTCACTGATAAGTGACTGTTATCTTTCATAAGTTTTGGTGATAATCATGTCAGATTGGAGGTCAATTCCAGCTTCACTTTTGTAAAAAAAAAAGTGATCAGGAGTTATTGTAATGACCATGTCTTCGGTGTTGGCATTCATTTAATTTTTGTAAATATGGAGAGTGCTGTCTGTAGACAGGTATTACAGAGTCTTTTTAAGGTGTGCCTTATTTTTCTGCTGAATTTCATGTTACCATTTGATTTAATCAACCAATAGATAGATACCAACATTCATGTTTGACGGTCATCATCAAAGGGTTAATTTATTTCCTTGTTATATATTTTGATTGCCCAGAATTGATTGACTTACACAATTGCTCATCATTTGAACACTTTCACAGTGGTGTTGCATTATATTAGGAAAATTCACAATGTCACTCATGAAGGTCAAAGGTCAATAATTGACTAAATCAACCTTGATAGTCTGTAGTGTGTATTTTTAAAGATTCAAGGTCAGGGACTGAACAATCAAGGTCAAATAACATAGTGATTATATAAAATACTGACATCATGGATATCTTTTTTCCAACAATATCATTTTCAGACTAATAAGATATATTATATAGACTTTTAGTATCCACAAACAGGTAAACAGTCTGAAAGCATATGTTTGATTGTATTAAATTTTTTTTTAAATTGTATGATTTCATAGTTAAAACATCATAATAGGGGAAAAAGTAATTCTGATGCATTGTCTGCCACATGCGTTATTATTTCTTCCATAAGAGAAAGGTTAAACCCATTAGAGAGAATTTATTTCAGAGCTTGAAGGATGTCTAGATGCCACAACAAAATAATTATAATGTTCCACTCGCCTTTTAGTTTGGAAAATAATTGTCTATTTGCGTAAATGTGATTGATTTTTCTCTCTTTTTTTTCTCAAGGAACTTCGTTTGCTTGAAGGTCGACTAACACAAGAAGCTGAGTATCAAATAAAAACATCAAGACCAGGTAATGTGAAACAATGTTTTATTCTTCTTACATGTCTGTACAGTTATATAATACATGTATATGCATTGTTTTATAATGAAAATATTTGTTCGCACTTTGAATATTTAAACTAGAAACACTGGGGTGTTATATAATATTAAAGAACGAAACTTATGGATAATGATTTGTTGATGTAATAATGACTTTCCTATTCTAGTAGGTCTAAGGTCAGTTCTTTAACTTTGTTACAGGATACATATACATGATTATTGTGCCTCTGTCAAATGTTGCACTAAATTTATAGATATAACAGTGTAGCATTGATTACTGTTAGAACATTGAGCTCATCATTATCAGAGTACCCTGGACTGATAAAACAACAGAACTGGCATCTGATGGAATGATATATTCCAGACACACATTTTTAATTACAAAAACTTTGAAAACCCAGAAATGGTTGTGAGAGGAACTTAAATATTGTTTAATGAATAAGAAAAAAAGATTTTGGCAGCAATCTTCTGCAATGAATGATTACATCAGTAACATATTCACGAATTCGAAAACCTAGCTAAACGCCGTTTTCCGGTACTTTCTGTACATAGCTCTGGGGAATTCACCTAATGGAGTGTAATAGCGAACTCAATGTTTTCGGCCTTTTTTTAAACTAAATTGAAATAAAACAGTTATTTCTTTATAAGAAAATAATTAAATATCATTGTATGAATAATTCCATACAAAAAATAAATTAAATACACAAGTTTACGCAGAAAATAACCTTATTTATTATGGAAGATTCCACTACGTCAGTTTAAATTTTATTGATTTTCATTATAAACAATTTATTTTTTACAAAAAATTGCAATAGATATTAAAGGAATATTGATAATTTTCAAAAACATCATTTTTTTTCACCTTAATTGGTAAAATAATGATAGAAAAATAGAAATATCATGTAACTGTGTTATGTACCTCATTTGGTGTAATTCCCCAGAGCTAAATCCGCAACGTACCGGAAAACGGTGTTTAGCTAGGTTTTCGAAAAGGTCAATATCCCTGAAGAAAATATGTTGAAACTTGTTACAAAAATGGCAACAAGTGTCCAAAGATTTCAGTTCTCATTATACTTTATTTATGTAACTTTTATTTGACAGCTCAGAGGAAAGGAAAAGATGTTGAGCACAGTACACTTGACCCCACAACATTATCGGCTTTAGTGATGCCAGACCTGTGCTACATCAGAGATTCACACTTGTACCCAAAATGTTCATATCCCATACTAAGTGTAGAAATCAAGGTAACATGTTAATGTTTTTATATGCATATATAAGCTTTAGTTGATGTAAACTTATGCTTCATGTACATGATGTTCCCAGTGACCACATTAATCATGGGATGAACATGACTCTATGGTAGGAGACAAGATAGGCAAACTGGTCAGACTGTATATACTTGGTTGCCAGGTTATTGGGGCAATGCACCTCAAAATTCCTATGTAAACATTTGATCCATTGAAAGCCTTTACAAAACATGAAAAATGCATCAGACCGTATTGAAAAAGGAATAGTTTAATTGTTTTTTATGTGATGTATACATTGACCTAAATTGATCATATTTTCAGTTTAAAGCATACCAATTTTATTGTTCTGAGGTACAGAAGTGTATTTAAAATTCATTTCCTTATTGATGATCATGATATAATTTCCATTAAAATATTATGGCTGTTATAATACAAGCTAGCATTTTCCTGTACACACTGCATTAAATATTAATAAAAGTTAACCTAGATCTGTCCATGCTAACAGATTGACAATCCTAGCTCGTATATGTATATATGACTGGAGGCTTTAAGATTGGTCTGTGTTTTTCGTCTCAATTTGTCAAGCAGACGTCAACTTTTCGTTCATAATTAAGTAGTTATCATAGGCACACTTAACCCCTGGTTATGAGTAAATATGACAGGCGACGCAAGGTTATTTTTGTTACCTCTAAGTTACATATGCTCAAGATTCGTTACAAATTATGTCTAAATTTCTATTTCCATCTAGATATGTCTTTGTCCTTAAATTTTAACATGTATTCGTGACTGAATTTTATGGTTCTGTCAGAATAAATCAAAGATATATGCATATTAAATTTATGACTCTGAAGAGACACAGTGATGCTTTATTGTAAACAACACACAAGTTTGTGTCAATTTGTTGCATTATTGTAAGATGTTTATTCAAATTAAATAATAAAGGAGTGAGAAAATCTAACCTGAACAGTTGATTATATACTTGCTTTCTCTACAGGTTTAAAAGATTCGAGTTTTGCATCTTGAATTTAATTAAATTCTTGTCAATAATAAAGACAGGTATTTGCCACAACCAAACAGACTTTGTAACATTAGCAGCTAAATGTTGATATTTCTGTTCTCAAATCCCTTTAAAGGGACTCCACAAAGGTTGTTTGACATGACTGGATTGTATTTGATGAGGGACTTCCTGGCAAAATTGCAGATCAAACCAAATGATTTAAAATTTAGAATTTTCATCAACTCAAATCAAGCTAAGAATTGCACTTAACATTGATTTTCAAAATATATCTGTGTATATTTCTTTCTTTATTTTCCACCTTTTTCCTTTGAAGTTTCCCTGCTGATTTATATAAAAGTTTCAAATTTAATACTTTTAAGCTTTGGACCTCAGTGGAAAGCCTTTAACTGTGGTCTGTCACATAATGTCAATAGGGTAAAAGTGCAGGACAAAAGTTAGAATTTTTTACTGTTTTGTTTTCATATGCAGCCAAAGAAAGCTTTTATGCATGTCCCGGACTCTTTGAGTGTAAAATCAGAAGAAAATAGTCAAGTGTGCAAATTTTGTATGCATCAAAGATTAAAGGTATGTATATTGTATTTCTTTGTTTTTTATCACCTCCCTTTTTGCCTTTTACTAGTCTTCATTCATATTATTCTCTCTTGTCATAACAGTACAGTGTGTGTTGTATTTCCGTAATACTGTCAACAATTACGATCATATTGTTAGGTATATATAGACTGGCTGGCTATTTGTTTTACATATTTTAATGGACCCAGGCCCATCTGTTTCTTCTGGTTAAGTTCTGTTTTATGAATGATACCATGATCCTTAGTCCTGATGTATTTAAAATATTTATTTGCTTAGCGTAAGCACCAAATTGTAGCACTTGTTTAGTCATTTCACAAATGTACATTTACTTAGTAAATATTCCTGGATTCTTAACCAGTTGTCAAGTAATAGAAAGAGCACCGAAACACGAGGCTATCTGATTTGTACGAGGGGGGCGTAGCCCCCGAGTATTAATCAGATTGCCGAGTGTTTTGGTGTTCTTTCTCTTTTGTATCATAGTCAAACATAAAAGCACGTTCCCTGTTGTCACAATATGAAACCCCGGCAAAAATGAACCAATGAACGAACATCTGAATATGACATTTCTGTCGCTTTCCCTTTCTCTGTCGTCACAGTATGTAAACCCCAGCAAAAATGAGCCAATCAATGGGCATGCTCTGGAGTGCGGGTAACTAATACCCTCACTCCAGTTAACGCACTGTGCATGTATATGTATACGATTTAACCCTGACACATTTTCAACAGAAAGGTCTCCAAACTATGATACAACTTCTTAAAATGAACTACTGTGGTTGGGTGTTATATCGCTGATCTATTACACAATATTTTATAATAAAAAAGGTTCCAAATCATAGATTTCACATAGAACTCACAGTCCATAGGTCTTATACACTACCTAGTTAGCCAATTTGGTAGGATTGAAATAAGATCAAAATAATTCATTCGTATCACAACTTTCTATTTTCAGATATCCTTATTTTCAAACATTCTAACCTTGTTTTGTATTCAATTTGGTTTTCTTTCACCTTTTTGAGAACAAATCCACACAGTTGAGTAATAAGGTTTATTAAGAAAAAATATATGTCAACAAAAGCAAAGCTCGGGTCTTTATTGGCAGCATTTTTAGGAGGTGGATGTATCAATTTTTCAGCCATTATGAATTGATACCATTGTGAAAAGAAGGAAAAAATATCACCGATATAGAATATTTTTCACTGATAAATCAGTTACAGATATATATGGATGGGAAATATAGATTTATATTGTTAAACACGTGAGCAGCCAATCACGCTCTCCTTACAGCTCTCCTATAAACATGTGCAAGCAGTTGTATAGAAAGTAAATTACTGGGAAATTACCTGTTTTATATAGATTGCTATTATCAAATCATTGAAATAAATGTCAACTAATCTTTCTTGTGCTATAGCGTAGTTGATTGCTGTCTGTTTCATTTTTTTAACCATATTAGTTGAGTAACAAGATAGCATCAGACGTACTTCTGGGAAGGTCAAGGTCTCTTAAGCTGTTGATTATTAAGAAATATGTCTATTATATTTTATTGAGTAAACAGATTCCTATTATTACTTTTTATTGATTTAATTAAATATGAAAGAGTTCTGAGTGACAAAGCTGTATACTTGTTGAGTATTTTCAGTACCTCACTATGGACAATTTCAAATTTAAATCAGGAAAAAAATCCACATCTTTTATTAATTTAGTTTAAACATATTTACATTTTATGCCATGATGATCTACCAGTTTCATGATTGGAGGCTAACCAGTAGTCCGTATAAACAGTTCTTCATGGTCAAGAAGGCATCTTGGTATAACCGATAAACAGATAATGCTAAGGGCTTGATACAAAAATTGTTAACAGTGTTGTACAAGGAGTAAATGTAAATGAAATGTCGAAACATTTTTATTAATTTATGAAATTCTTAGAAATTTAATTTTCCTTAAATATATTCTTGTAACATAATTATAACTATTACTTGAAATAGGAGGATAAGAATAACACTTTTGTTGTTTAGTTTCAGATTTTAAGTATTCAGGGAAAAAAGGATATAAATTGATATTAATCATGGTCATATGATAATGTTATATCCCACTTGATATGGGTATTTATATCTCAATAGATTACTTTTGAATAGGAATATAGACAATATCCTTTAAGGATGTTGAAAGTGTTTTCTCAAGTATCTTATTTGTTTACAAATATCTGGTAAAACCCAGTAAAATTATCTTTGCCTCCTTCTTGTGTTTTATTAATCATACTCAATAATGACTGTTTGAACTTATCAAACAAATAGTGACAGTTTTAACTGTAGCCCTTGGGTGTAGAGTGATTAAACTAGACAGCTGTAGGAAAATATAAGAAAACAGCCCGAAAGCAGATGTTTTTGTTTTACAATAAATATGGTATCTTTATACTTTATTTTTTATGATACATTTCAATACACATATCATGAAATTTTAGTCACCGCTATAAAACGATTCAGTTGGATAGTATTTACTTTAAGCGCTGACGTAATGATACGTGGGCTGTTACAGTCAACATGTACGTGCCTGACCTACTTCACATACCGGTTTTATGATTTTAAAATGTTTTACACATCCACCCTCAGGCAATTTAGATGCATGTAGTAGTAAACAGGTAAAATCGGATGTGAGGTTGATGTATTGCTAATTGCCATCCTTCTTTGTAGTTAAAGTTTTATGTGATAGTTTCTCAGAATTCTGTGTGTGTCAAGCTAATTGTTGATGTTTTAGCTTTATTTTTGTTGCCTGGTCTGGTAAACAATTTGAAAAATGGTTTTGATGTAAAACAGTGATGATAAAGTGAATGTTTCAATCTCTAATTGTTTGTCATGTCTTTTGAATTATCTCATTTTTCTCCCTTAATGATGAGTTTACATCAAAGCAAACAAATCTTGGTATATTTTACAAACTTGACTTTCAGATTTTAAGGCATGTAGATTATATAGTTTGGATTTTACTGTCAGTTATAAGGTTGTTTCTAAATCATCAAGAGTTTGTAAAATTGTAAACCAACAAAAAAAACCCCAGAAAACTTTTGTATGTTACTGAAAGTTTAATACTACATACCATGTTTGGTTGAAACATTATAAATGATTATACTCATCAAAATGTTATAGTTTTTGTTTGTTATTTAAGGGGCAGGTCATTGACATAGATATTTATTAGAACATAATTATCCTCATAATTTTATTGCTCATGAAAAGTAATCATAAAATTGTTAAACAATATTAATTGATATATGTGTGTCCTGTTTTATGGGAAGTTGAACATCTGCCATATGACACATATAACATTTAGTGACTTGTTTTTCTGTGTTGTAGAACTTTGATCTACATTAATGATAGCTTTGTTTGCTAGATACAGTCTAGATACAGTACCATTTGAACTGCCTACCAGTACATGCTCCATCATACATCATATAATAGTATTATTAATGTACTGTTTGTAACCCCTATCTTTGAGCTGATAAATTACATAGATAAATGTTATAGATATAAAGTATATATTGGCCCCTGAGTGATAAAAATCATATTTACAATACTCATGTACTTCAATTGTTTGCTTTAAAATTTATGTTTACGCCAGCAGATTTTTAAGCTTAATTAAAAGTGTTATTTTCATTTTGTACATTTAACTTATGGGTAGAAAGTAGTGACTTCTAAAATGAGTACTTTGTCATATGCACAATTGAATTCATAAAGAAGAAGTGTTGTCTGTTATACTGACAGCATCTTCCATGTTGTCTTGGAATGTTTGTGATTGTGTTGTAAGCAGAATGTTGCCCAAAACAGACATGAAAATCTGTCACACAACAACTACAAGTACATGTATTTAAGTATTGAAATCTACACTGGACAGGAAATTATAGGGAAGGGACTTGTCCTGTATGGAAAAAAAAACAATGGAAGGAGAATTTTCTTCTTTGTAAAATATAATAGGAGGGGTATTGTCTGGGTTATCAAATATCACCCAAAATTATTATTAAGTGGGAAACTGTAAGGCAGGTTCCTTTTATTATTAACATATTTTTATAATGAATTGATGGTCTCTGTAATAAGTTGGGCTCTATATTTGATGTTTTACAAATTGTAAACATGTTGTCTATACTATTGTGGTAGAAAAACAGATATGAGAGGTTGAAAGTTTGATTCTGTGATGTGCCATATAAATCTCACCGGCTTACTTTGCCTTTTTAATTAGGTAACAAGAATGATGATTAAAAAATATAAGACTTTATTTTTCATTATTTAGGGCTACAATTTTTTCATTGTATTCATCTAGGTTTTGAATTTGAGTTTGTTTGTGTTTAAAACTTTGAGTTGATTTAGACCATGCTCAAGTTTGTACCTTGACATCACTGTCAGCATTATAAATAAACAATGATTGTGTTATACTCCTGAACCAAGGGCGAGACACCTTGCTCATTATGTCATCACTTCCTTATCATGCAGCAACTTTGATGATCATTCTTGACAATAGTATGATTCTTCCCAACTTTGTGTACCGGTAATTATGTACATGCATTTAAACTGTAGTCATTTTAAGAATTTGTAATAAAATTTTGCTTCCTTAATTAACTGTATAGTAAAGATTGATTGGCGTGCTAGCATGTACAGGAGATATAGTGAAGTCACGTATTATAATTATTGTTTGTCATAAAAGAGCAAGAAGCACACGATGTTAATGTGTACTCATGTCATGTTCTGCAAGTTTTTACTGGTCATTGTCCAATAAACTACTAACATGAATGCATGTGAATAAAGCTTACATTATATAAGTCTTACCATGCTAAATTTTGTAATGTCTGGCCATTTGTAGTACATATTGTTTGAGTTTGTGTTTAAAACTTTGCATATAGTATAATAATTACATATAGTATAATATTGCCATTGTCCTTTATGTAGAACTTGATAAGTATTGTTTAGATAATAGTGATGATAATTAGGTTGCCAGAGATAATAGTAAAGATAATA